ACTACATACTGATATACACCTGAACATCAGCAGGAGAGGACTCTTTAAAGTAGAGACACTACATACTGATATACACCTGAACATCAGCAGGAGAGGACTCTTTAAAGTAGAGACACTACATACTGATATACACCTGAACATCAGCAGGAGAGGACTCTTTAAAGTAGAGACACTACATACTGATATACACCTGAACATCAGCAGGAGAGGACTCTTTAAAGTAGAGACACTACATACTGATATACACCTGAACATCAGCAGGAGAGGACTCTTTAAAGTAGAGACACTACATACTGATATACACCTGAACATCAGCAGGAGAGGACTCTTTAAAGTAGAGATACTACAGTGAGTAGATCAGTCAGTGTTGAACTCAGTTCCAGGTCAAGTCCTTTTATTTTTCTTGGATATAAAACCTCCTCCCTTTTCCTTGGAAGATCCTGCGTAGGAAATCCTGTAAAAGTTGTTCTGATTGTGCCAAACCAGTAGTAATTACATAACATATGTCTCAATGTAACATGCAGATCTGCTCTTTCCCTTCAACCCATGCCAGAAACATAGAAGCCAAGTGTGTCTCGACATGTTTCCAGTGTGTGTTCGCTGCTTCAAAGCGTCCCTGCAGGAACTCCCAGAGTCACCAAACCCCATAAAATCAGGGCGAAAAAAACCCAGTAAAACTGAACGATTCAGACACGGGTGTTTTTCTGGTTTTGGTGTGTAATTATGACTTTAGTTGAGTTGAGCCTGAGTGTTTGCTGGTGTTATTTTAACCCATTCATGAAGCACTTTGTGTGTGGTGAGTTGATGGAGCTTACTGGAAACACTTTGGCAGTTACTCAGCGGAAAAAGGATCTTTCACTCTTGACACTTTGGTCCATTTGTCATCTAACAGAGCAATTCAATACGGCTGCTGTGTTTGAATATGGTCACGCTGCTAATGCTGGATCCTACATATTGCTACTCAGTGTCTACGCTTTAAATTTGAGGTTCCCAAGCCCAGAATGAGAAAATTAGGAGTATAATATCAAGAAATGTTTTCTCAGACTTGAAAAGCTCCTCCAGAGACAGGTGGATAGGTTCAAAAAGGACATGTTCTGCTCATTTTCAGGTTCATACTAGTATTTAGTTTCTCTACTTTAAAGAGTCCTCTCCTGCTGATGTTCAGGTGTTTATCAGAATGTAGTGTCTCTACTTTAAAGAGTCCTCTCCTGCTGATGTTCAGGTGTATATCAGTATGTAGTGTCTTTACTTTAAAGAGTCCTCTCCTGCTGATGTTCAGGTGTATATCAGTATGTAGTGTCTCTACTTTAAAGAGTCCTCTCCTGCTGATGTTCAGGTGTATATCAGTATTTAGTGTCTCTACTTTAAAGAGTCCTCTCCTGCTGATGTTCAGGTGTTTATCAGAATGTAGTGTCTCTACTTTAAAGAGTCCTCTCCTGCTGATGTTCAGGTGTATATCAGTATGTAGTGTCTTTACTTTAAAGAGTCCTCTCCTGCTGATGTTCAGGTGTATATCAGTATGTAGTGTCTCTACTTTAAAGAGTCCTCTCCTGCTGATGTTCAGGTGTATATCAGTATTTAGTGTCTCTACTTTAAAGAGTCCTCTCCTGCTGATGTTCAGGTGTTTATCAGAATGTAGTGTCTCTACTTTAAAGAGTCCTCTCCTGCTGATGTTCAGGTGTATATCAGTATGTAGTGTCTCTACTTTAAAGAGTCCTCTCCTGCTAATGTTCAGGTGTATATCAGTATGTAGTGTCTTTACTTTAAAGAGTCCTCTCCTGCTGATGTTCAGGTGTATATCAGTATGTAGTGTCTCTACTTTAAAGAGTCCTCTCCTGCTGATGTTCAGGTGTATATCAGTATGTAGTGTCTCTAGTTTAAAGAGTCCTCTCCTGCTGATGTTCAGGTGTATATCAGTATGTAGTGTCTCTACTTTAAAGAGTCCTCTCCTGCTGATGTTCAGGTGTATATCAGTATGTAGTGTCTCTACTTTAAAGAGTCCTCTCCTGCTGATGTTCAGGTGTATATCAGTATGTAGTGTCTCTACTTTAAAGAGTCCTCTCCTGCTGATGTTCAGGTGTATATCAGTATGTAGTGTCTCTACTTTAAAGAGTCCTCTCCTGCTGATGTTCAGGTGTATATCAGTATGTAGTGTCTCTACTTTAAAGAGTCCTCTCCTGCTGATGTTCAGGTGTATATCAGTATGTAGTGTCTCTACTTTAAAGAGTCCTCTCCTGCTGGTGTTCAGGTGTATATCAGTATTTAGTGTCTCTACTTTAAAGAGTCCTCTCCTGCTGATGTTCAGGTGTATATCAGTATGTAGTGTCTCTACTTTAAAGAGTCCTCTCCTGCTGATGTTCAGGTGTATATCAGTATGTAGTGTCTCTACTTTAAAGAGTCCTCTCCTGCTGATGTTCAGGTGTATATCAGTATGTAGTGTCTCTACTTTAAAGAGTCCTCTCCTGCTGATGTTCAGGTGTATATCAGTATGTAGTGTCTCTACTTTAAAGAGTCCTCTCCTGCTGATGTTCAGGTGTATATCAGTATTTAGTGTCTCTACTTTAAAGAGTCCTCTCCTGCTGATGTTCAGGTGTTTATCAGAATGTAGTGTCTCTACTTTAAAGAGTCCTCTCCTGCTGATGTTCAGGTGTATATCAGTATGTAGTGTCTTTACTTTAAAGAGTCCTCTCCTGCTGATGTTCAGGTGTATATCAGTATGTAGTGTCTCTACTTTAAAGAGTCCTCTCCTGCTGATGTTCAGGTGTATATCAGTATGTAGTGTCTCTACTTTAAAGAGTCCTCTCCTGCTGATGTTCAGGTGTTTATCAGAATGTAGTGTCTCTACTTTAAAGAGTCCTCTCCTGCTGATGTTCAGGTGTATATCAGTATGTAGTGTCTTTACTTTAAAGAGTCCTCTCCTGCTGATGTTCAGGTGTATATCAGTATGTAGTGTCTCTACTTTAAAGAGTCCTCTCCTGCTGATGTTCAGGTGTATATCAGTATTTAGTGTCTCTACTTTAAAGAGTCCTCTCCTGCTGATGTTCAGGTGTTATCAGAATGTAGTGTCTCTACTTTAAAGAGTCCTCTCCTGCTGATGTTCAGGTGTATATCAGTATGTAGTGTCTCTACTTTAAAGAGTCCTCTCCTGCTAATGTTCAGGTGTATATCAGTATGTAGTGTCTCTACTTTAAAGAGTCCTCTCCTGCTGATGTTCAGGTGTATATCAGTATGTAGTGTCTCTACTTTAAAGAGTCCTCTCCTGCTGATGTTCAGGTGTATATCAGTATGTAGTGTCTCTACTTTAAAGAGTCCTCTCCTGCTGATGTTCAGGTGTATATCAGTATGTAGTGTCTCTACTTTAAAGAGTCCTCTCCTGCTGATGTTCAGGTGTATATCAGTATGTAGTGTCTCTACTTTAAAGAGTCCTCTCCTGCTGATGTTCAGGTGTATATCAGTATGTAGTGTCTCTACTTTAAAGAGTCCTCTCTTGCTGATGTTCAGGTGTATATCAGTATGTAGTGTCTCTACTTTAAAGAGTCCTCTCCTGCTGATGTTCAGGTGTATATCAGTATTTAGTGTCTCTACTTTAAAGAGTCCTCTCCTGCTGATGTTCAGGTGTATATCAGAATGTAGTGTCTCTACTTTAAAGAGTCCTCTCCTGCTGATGTTCAGGTGTATATCAGTATGTAGTGTCTTTACTTTAAAGAGTCCTCTCCTGCTGATGTTCAGGTGTATATCAGTATGTAGTGTCTCTACTTTAAAAAGTCCTCTCCTGCTGATGTTCAGGTGTATATCAGTATTTAGTGTCTCTACTTTAAAGAGTCCTCTCCTGCTGATGTTCAGGTGTTTATCAGAATGTAGTGTCTCTACTTTAAAGAGTCCTCTCCTGCTGATGTTCAGGTGTATATCAGTATGTAGTGTCTTTACTTTAAAGAGTCCTCTCCTGCTGATGTTCAGGTGTATATCAGTATGTAGTGTCTCTACTTTAAAGAGTCCTCTCCTGCTGATGTTCAGGTGTATATCAGTATGTAGTGTCTCTACTTTAAAGAGTCCTCTCCTGCTGATGTTCAGGTGTTTATCAGAATGTAGTGTCTCTACTTTAAAGAGTCCTCTCCTGCTGATGTTCAGGTGTATATCAGTATGTAGTGTCTCTACTTTAAAGAGTCCTCTCCTGCTAATGTTCAGGTGTATATCAGTATGTAGTGTCTTTACTTTAAAGAGTCCTCTCCTGCTGATGTTCAGGTGTATATCAGTATGTAGTGTCTCTACTTTAAAGAGTCCTCTCCTGCTGATGTTCAGGTGTATATCAGTATGTAGTGTCTCTACTTTAAAGAGTCCTCTCCTGCTGATGTTCAGGTGTATATCAGTATGTAGTGTCTCTACTTTAAAGAGTCCTCTCCTGCTGATGTTCAGGTGTATATCAGTATGTAGTGTTTCTACTTTAAAGAGTCCTCTCCTGCTGATGTTCAGGTGTATAACAGTATGTAGTGTCTCTACGTTAAAGAGTCCTCTCCTGCTGATGTTCAGGTGTATATCAGTATGTAGTGTCTCTACTTTAAAGAGTCCTCTCCTGCTGATGTTCAGGTGTATATCAGTATGTAGTGTCTCTACTTTAAAGAGTCCTCTCCTGCTGATGTTCAGGTGTATATCAGTATGTAGTGTCTCTACTTTAAAGAGTCCTCTCCTGCTGATGTTCAGGTGTATATCAGTATGTAGTGTCTCTACTTTAAAGAGTCCTCTCCTGCTGATGTTCAGGTGTATATCAGTATGTAGTGTCTCTACTTTAAAGAGTCCTCTCCTGCTGATGTTCAGGTGTATATCAGCATGTATTACATGCTTTAATGTTCAAAAAGCTCTTTACACTTCCTCTGGAGGGGATTTTAGCCTTTGCAGACCATTGACATGCACAAAAACCTATGTAACACGCATTCATTTAGCCCTTAACACGGCAAATCAGCTGTAAGACGATGGTGCAGGCTTGAAAAAAGACAATTTCACAGTTACATGAGTACATTATTTATTGATTACAGCATCTTTGAGGTGTTTGCTCGATTAGAAAACGATGAAACGCAAAGAAAAGACAAACGTATAAACAAAGTAAAATATTATACAGCAAACGCACTGTAAGCCAGGACATGACTGTTATATATAAAAAACAAACAGCTGTGTATCTGTGCTCTCTCCTCTCATACAAAATAAAGCTGCAAACATCCAAATCGTCTTCCTCTTCAAATGTACATGAGTTCCTTCTTCTGATCAGATCCAACACGAGGATAATGGTGCAAATTAAAGGGATCCGTGAGTAGTGTTTCCAGGTCGTAGCGTCATTATTTTACGATGAGTATTTGAATATTGTACCAGTCAGTTTTTAATCTCTAATGGTCCAGCATGAACTGTGTTTCAATGAAACTCTTCCTGGTATCCAGAGACGGTGTGTTCAGGGTCCTGTGTACAATGTGGGGACAGATGGCGCCCCCTGGTGGTCACTATGCACTCTGCACGGCACTCTGTGGATTTGAGGACTCTGAGAAAACAATGAAGAGAAACCAATTAAACACTTAAGGAGCTGAAATGATCTCATCACAGTAGTCTTTGTATCATTGTGTGTGTGTGTGTGTGTGTGTGTGTGTGTGTGTGTGTGTGTGTGTGTGTATGTGTGTATGTGTGTGTGTGTGTGTGTGTGTGTGTGTGTGTGTGTGTCTTCATCAACATACATTTTCTTTGCTCTTGAGAATGCATCAAGCAGCCACACACAGTGCACATGTTTTACGTGTGTGTCTCTCTGTGTGTGTGTGGCCTAGTATTACTATCCTTGTGGGGACCTAAATCTGTTTACACAGTCACGTGTGGGGACTCATTTCCCTTATGGGGACATCCCTTATGGGGACATAAGGGATGTCCCCATGAGGGGAATCATTACTTTTAGGGTGAAGACTTGGTTAGGGTTAGGCATGTGTTGGTTATGGTTAAGGTTAGGATAAGTCTCCAGGAAATGTAAGTCAATGTAATGTCCCCTGAAGTGATGTATACATGGTATGTGTGTGTGTGTCATATGTTGCCACACCCTAAAACATGTTTTACTTTGTTTTTATTGTTATTACTGGCTGCTACTTTATTTACTTTAATAGGAACTACTATGGACAATCATTTGCACTAGTGTACATATTTTTACTGTAACATATTCATCTTCATCCGTTTATAAGTGACTGTTATTTTTGTATATATTGACTGCTGTGCCTTTATATTTTTATTTTGTATTGATGCCTCTTGATGTGGGGATTTATATATTACATTACATTACATTGCATTAAGCTGACGCTTTTATCCAAAGCGACTTACAATAAGTGCATTCGACCAGGAAGATACAAACTTGAAGAAAACAGAATCATATAAGTACATCAGGTTTCATAGAGCCAAAACATTTCAAGTGCTACTCAACTGGCTTTAGATAAGCCAGTCCTTTGTTAGTATATAAGTGCTTTGTTAGCATATATTTGTCTATGTTTGATTTTGTAGGTATTTGGTATATGTTATTAGCTGAATCGTCTCTGGAGCTGCTTTTAGCTACAAACACCAAGTAAGTGTGGACGCTCTGGCTCTTGTTCTCCCTCCCCGAGGCAAGCGTTTGCTCCTGCTGTAGATCTCTCCGGTTAGTCCACCAGCAGATGACAAACACCCACCTCTCCGCCTCTTCCAAGGGACGAGGGGACCGTGCGGCAGAGTTTCAGTTAGATTTTTTTTCGCCGGTCAACATGTCCGTTAAAGTTTAAATCTTCCGGACAAAATTAGAAAAGTGCCGGTCAGAGGTCTTCTTTGTTATTTATTGAGCTTTAAAACAAATTGATAACGACTCTATATAATAATATAAGAATAAAACACGGAGCCTCTCTTTTCCTCCCCCTCTTCTGAGAGCCCAGCAGCTGATCTCTGAGCAGGAGAGGTGGGAGAGGCGGGGCTATTGCTTCAACGTTATCAGGAAATGATGGTATAGGCGTAAACACGGAGCCGTTTGCCCCCCAGAGCGTGTCGTTTGCAGATCTACCCACCTAGGGAAAATGTATCGTTATCGTTTTATGCGTTTCCATGTCGGTCTCGTGTAGCCGAACCGTCTATATGATAGAGAACTGTAGCGGATATGACCTTTATTGTCCTTGTGTGGCTGGGGCCTGATTCTCAAGCCACTAGAACATTAGTAATTTTCCCCCACTATGACCATATTGCACCATGGGCATCAAGAGCTGGTGGGCGGGGAGTTTGAGTCACGTGAGCATCAATGTGCTCTGTCAACATCACTTTTTTGTATGCAATGCTGTATTTTAACACCATATGTGCACACATTTTTTTGCAACTAAACTTCCTCAAAAGAAAAGTTAGTAAAATTAGTCAGAAGGCAAGTTGAACTAACTTTAATATTTTCTGTGCACTTTTTATTCACTTTGCTCCTTGTGGTCTCTTCAATTTCCCATTGCATTGAGAATTACTTCTTAATTTGCAAATACGATCAAATACAAATACTACTAAAAGGACTAAAGTCACAAAAAGCAAGTGACATTTTATTTAAAACAGGAAGTACATCTTTCTCTCATTAGTCATTAGTTCAGAGACGTCAGTTGAGGGCGTGAGAGCGAGAGACAGAGACGCAGAGACTAGAGATGGCAAATCCGGATCCTTTTACGGACTCAGGGTCTTCTGAGTCAGTCATTGAAGAGATCCGGATCATACGAGTCATTTGAGTCAGCATCACCAAGACCGTAGAAATCCTATCGGTGAAACCGAAAAGTTGTTGCATTTCACGAGCATATTCAGGGTTCTTACACCTTTTCCAAAGTCAAATTCAAGCACTTTTCAAGGTGCATTTTCAAGCTTTTCAAGCATCTTACAGCTGTTGTAAATTACATATTTATATACACATACTTATACTCAAATGATTATTTCCCTACCTCACATTAAATCAGATGTTCTTTATGCTATAAACAACCAAATGTGTGTTTCATAATAGCATTCTACATGAAGATGAAAAATTAAAAATGTTAGAAAAGAAAACTAAGTTTAATATTTCAAAATGAGTGACCCATCTGTACGTAGACTCGGCATCCCATATAACCTGGCTGAGCCAATATAAAACAATCAGCCAAATAACTTTTCAATATATTATTGATTACTATTTTTGAGGTACTTTTAGGTTGGCAGTAAACACAAGTCAGAGGTAAATGGTGTACTTTGACTCCACTACATGTATTTAATACATTTAGTTACTTTACAGATGTGGATGAATGATGTGAAATATAATCAAGTGTTAAATCAGACTTTAGTTCCACCTGGAGTAAATTCACAAGCTACTCTGTAGTATATAAAGTCATTCAAACTAGCTGCACCTTTACCAGCTTTGATAACACTTTCATGATCAATCATTATAAAACATATCATATACAATTATTAGGGATGCTCCGATCGCCAATTTTGGAGCCGATCGCCGGAATCAGTATCGGCCGATACCGATATCGCTCTCTTTTCCTCTCTCCCCCTCTCTCCCTCTCCTGACAGCCCGTCAGTATCTCCTGCAGCTCACTGATCCAGTAATGAGTGACCCGACAGTGAAGAATAAATATATGTATAACTAGTTTAGCTTGTTCCAGAGGTAGATAAAATAGCTAAGTGTGTTAGGTCTAACTCTTAGTGTGTGTTGCTCCGCTCACCGGTCCGTCACAGCGGGTGGAGCTGCAGGATTTCTGCTTCACACACGTTGCATACCGCTATTTTATTGTCATTTTCGGACACTTAAAATACTGCCAGACTAGTGAAGCCATTTTGGCGAGCTTGTTTTGCCGCGCACAGAGAAAAGTGTCATGTATTTTACATGCAACGATAGCCTAATCTAAAATGCTCTACTATGGCGTACCTTTCGTGTGGTGTGTGGCGTCAGCGCAGACTCTCGCATCGTTATTGTTGCACACTTTGCAGGAGGCTACTCTTGGGCTTCGCTTGACCCTCGTCTTAGCCATGGCTTGGATTTGTCTTCTGCTAGCCAACGCTCGTTGAAACGGCAACCTCCTGGCATACTGTCATCTATCACTCTCATCAGAATGCCCAGGTCACACACGTAACAAAAACACTTGCCGGTCACACGCGCGGGAAGGCCGGGGCGGAGCTGTTTTATGTAAAAGCGAAGCAATTAAACGCGCTCCGACTTCTTTATTTTCTTTTAATCTAAAAAGCGAAGTAAAGCATTTACAATTTCAAGCACTTTATCCCAAATTCAAGCACCATTCCCAAAATTCAAGCACTTTTCAAACCTTGAAAACACCTCGTACAATTTCAAGCATTTTCAAGGATTTCCAGCACCCGTACGCACCCTGCATATTAAACTGACGTTATATTAACCTCCGCTACACAGTGTATTTTGCTTTAATAAAACATGTTGATCACAAAAAAAAGGGTTATTTTGCGATTTGGCAAATCTGAGTCTGCTGTTGAATCGTGCATGAGGACGAGTCTGCTGGATCTCTGGATCTGCTGCTATATGGTTACGGCTCTGAGTCCGCACGAGTCTGCTGTGTTTTGCACAGTGAGTCAGGATTTGCAAATCTGAGTCTGTGAAGTTCCGCTGACTCGTAGGCTACTGGTCTCTCGATCATTGACCTGGATTCACGGATCCCGCGATTTTGATTAAGTCCATTATGTTTCCGGCTCTAAATGAAGTTTCAGTGTAGACTTCTAACAAAATTGTCATGTTGTGCAACAGTCTCCTGCGTGTAATAGCTGCATTTCCAATAAGGATCTTACTTGGAAAAACGTTTATTTTGAACATAGCACACAAAAAGAAACAAACAATGACAAATGATAGAAAATTGCAAAACAGTTAGAATATATAAAATGTCTTAATTATACAATTATTATTATTAAACATATAATTATATCTAATCATATGCCCCCCATATTTTCTCATGGACTGCGTAATCATTGCAATACTGGTGTTTGTATGTGTTAAATCTGTGTAAAGTGGTGTCTTTTGCTTTAATAAAACATATTGATCACAAAAAAAGGTCATTTTGCGATTTAGCGAATCTGAGTCTGCTGTTGACTCGTGCATGATGACGAGTCTGCTGGATCTCTAGATCTGCTGCTATACGTTTACGGCTCTGAGTCCGCACGAGTCTGCTATGTGTTGCACAGTGAGTCAGGATTTGCGAATCTGCGAGTCTGCTGTTGACTCGTGCATAATATAGCCGCGGGAGCCGGGTGCTGGAGGAGGGGCTATGCTCGTGCACATGACGAGTATGGATCTCTGGATCTGCTATGCTATTACGGTTAGGAGCCGTCGGCTCCTCTGAGTCCCCACGAGTCTGCAGGAAGTTTCACTGATCTGTGTCCCCTCCCCTGAGCCAAACGATAACTTCTGGCAGCTATCCTGTATACTTGCTAAAGGGTAGATGGACTGGGGTACGTTGTAATGTGATTTTACATGTTATAAAGAGAGTAGCGAGTGACGCAATTTATAGTTTTAATTTGTACGTCACACCAAGTGTGGGACTCAAAGGACTCGGGTTAATGGAGAGGGGAGACTCGTCACGACCAGCTCATTTCTAGGATCCGGGTTAATGATCCGGATGAATCAGGACTCGCCCATCTCTAGCAGAGACACGATGGTTGAATTCAGACGGATTAATACGACTTTAGTGGTGATACTGCTGCTTCAGTTTACAGGTAAGGATGAAAAACACATACATGAACTAAAGAAACTTTACTTAAAGTATTTAAATAACTAAAACTGATTTGAGTGAAGGGCCAAGTTTGCTGTTTGTTTTGAACAAAGTGTAATGACTGAATTCTTGGAGAAGGGACATTTGATAATGTTTGTTATATGTATTATCATCCTATCACATGACTATAAAGAAACTGTTTTACATTTTTTATTTTATTTTATCTTTAACAGCAGTCACTGGAAAAACTTCCCTCTCCCTCACTGTCAGAGCTGGACATAGTGTCACTTTGCCTTGTGAACATGTGATAAAACATCAGGACAGATGTAACAGTACTACCTGGCTCTACGGTAATTATGAAGGGGAAACAACAAACGAGCTGATTAATCTTGGGCAGATAAGTACTAACGGGATTTCCAAAACTAAATCAGACAGACCGAGTGTTACAGAAAACTGTAATAAATACTCCTAAAGCCCAGGCAAATGCTGTAAACTGTGAACATTTGTTGCTGAATTTAGCTGAAAATGCAGAAAAAGCTGAATATGTTATTAGCTGAATCGTCTCTGTAGCTGCTTTTAGCTACAAACACCAAGTAAGTGTGGACGCTCTGGCTCTTGTTCTCCCTCCCCGAGGCAAGCGTTTGCTCCTGCTGTAAATCTCTCCGGTAGTCCACCAGCAGATGACAAACACCCACCTCTCCGCCTCTTCCAAGGGACGAGGGGACCGTGCAGCAGAGTTTCAGTTAGATTTTTTTCCGCCGGTCAACATGTCCGTTAAAGTTTAAATCTTCCGGACAAAATTAGAAAAGTGCCGGTCAGAGGTCTTCTTTGTTATTTATTGAGCTTTAAAACAAATTGATAACGACTCTATATAATAATATAAGAATAAAACACGGAGCCTCTCTTTTCCTCCCCCTCTTCTGAGAGCCCAGCAGCTGATCTCTGAGCAGGAGAGGTGGGAGAGGCGGGGCTATAGCTTCAACGTTATCAGGAAATGATGGTATAGGCGTAAACACGGAGCCGTTTGCCCCCCAGAGCGCTTCGTTTGCAGATCTACCCACCTAGGGAAAATGTATCGTTATCGTTTTATGCGTTTCCATGTCGACCTCGTGTAGCCGAACCGTCTATATCAGGGGTCGGCAACAGGCGGACCGCGGTCCGGATCCGGACCCAGACGCCGACCTATACGGACCCGGACCTATAATCAATACATTAATAGGGGATTTCAATTTTGACGGGGCGATTCTATTTTAACCGCTGCCGACAGGGGGCGAAAGAGACGAGTGAGCGATACAGGGAGAGAAACACAGAAGAAGAGATGAGAGCGTGGCAGAGAGAAGCGGAGAGGAAAGTGAGTGAAGAAGAGAATAATTAGCGATACAGGGAGAGAAGCGGAGAGGAGAGTGAAGAGGCGTGTTAGCGGCAGACAGGGAGAGACAAATAATTACACATGGCGCTCTCCAAGAAGAGGAAAGTGGACAGTGAGAACAGAGCTTGTAATCCTGAGTGGACTCATTCATGTTCATCCTGCCCACTGGGAGTACAGAACCAGTGTGTCTCATTTGTTCAGAGACCGTGGCGCTCATTAAAAATGCCAAAACGCCACTATGAGACAAAACACAAAGTGTTTGACCAAACATTCCCTCTCAAGTCAGAACTGAGGTCACAAAAAATAAGCAGTCTCAGAGCCCGATATGATCAGTCCACCAGGATCCAAATTAAAACTAAATATCGTTCCAGGGCAGGCTAACCGAGGCTAACCGAGGCTAACCAATGAGCACCTGCATGTGTGTATGAGAATGGCCCTGACACCATTTCAGCCCAGATTTAAACTCCTGGCAGGACAAGCTCAAGCTCAATTCTCGCACTGAATTAAAGAAAAGTGAGTGAGGGACTGCAATATAAGAGGGAACGAAAGAGAAACTTTAAAACTGTTCAATTGTTATGATGTGTAAAGACTGATATTGTTCTATAATCGTCTGAAACTGTTAGGTCATGATGTGAAACGGTTAACAAAGAAAAAGGGAAACTCAAGCTGCTGCTACACTTTATTTGATTTATCTAAAATTAAGTACTTTTAAGATGCACACATTTTCAAAAGCTATTTTATTTATTTTCTCTATTTTATTTTTAAATGCAGCCCGAGAGGAACATTACACATATCCACAGTATTTTACTGTATATCTGTAAAGTTCAATGTTAATTGACAATAAATATTGTTGTTTTTTTAATTGTACTTTCTTTATTTGATTGGCAGTCAGTTGTTGATTACATGCAGACGTAGATAAAGCTACAGGCTACTTCAATATATATCACACTAATTCATAAAGCAACTTAGACATTTTGATGTTCCGGACCTTTGCATGGGGAGATTTTCTCTAACTGGACCTCGTTGAATTTTAGTTGAATACCCCTGGTCTATATGATAGACAACTGTAGCGGATATGACCTTTAATGTCCTCGTGTGGCTGGGGCCTGATTCTCAAGCCACTAGAACATTAGTAATTTCCCCCACTATGACCATATTGCACCATGGGCTTCCAGAGCTGGTGGGCGGGGAGTTTGAGTCACGTGAGCATCAATGTGCTCTGTCAACATCACTTTTTTGTATGCAATGCTGTATTTTAACACCATATTTGCACACATTTTTTTGCAACTAAACTTCCTCAAAAGAAAAGTTAGTAAAATTAGTCAGAAGGCAAGTTGAACTAACTTTAATATTTTCTGTGCACTTTTTATTTACTTTGCTCCTTGTGGTCTCTTCAATTTCCCATTGCATTGAGAATTACTTCTTAATTTGCAAATACTATCAAATACAAATACTACTAAAAGGACTAAAGTCACAAAAAGGAAGTGACATTTTATTTAAAACAGGAAGTGCATCTTTCTCTCTTCTACAGAGTCATTAGTTCAGAGACGTCAGTTGAGGGCGTGAGAGCGAGAGACAGAGACGCAGAGACACGATGGTTGAATTCAGACGGATTAATACGACTTTAGTGGTGATACTGCTGCTTCAGTTTACAGGTAAGGATGAAGAACACATACATGAACTAAAGAAACTTTACTTAAAGTATTTCAATAACTAAAACTGATTTGAGTGAAGGGCCAAGTTTGCTGTTTGTTTTGAACAAAGTGTAATGAGTGAATTCTTGGAGAAGGGACATTTGATACCGTTAGTTATATGTATTATCATCCTATCACATGACTATAAAGAAACTGTTTTATATTTTTTATTTTCTCTTATCTTTAACAGCAGTCACTGGAAAAACTTCCCTCTCCCTCACTGTCAGAGCTGGACATAGTGTCACTTTGCTGTGTGAAAATGTGATAAAACCTCAGCACAAATGTGACAGTACTATCTGGCTCTACAGTCGTCATGGGGAAACATTTATAGAGCTGATTAATCTTGGGCAGATGGGTAGAAATGGGATTTCCAAAGCTAAAGCAGACAGACTGAGTGTTACAGAAAACTGTTATCTGGTCGTACATAATATCACACCTGAGGATGCTGGTCGTTACACCTGCAGACAGTTCAGATCAGGAGGAAAACAACAAGGTCCAGACTTTCAGGTTCTTCTGTCTGTTATTGATAGTGAGTATTTACTTCTTAATGTTTTCAGTTCATACTGTCAATACTCAGAAACATTACAACTGTTATAATTACAGTGATGAAGTTAATTATACTCTTGTTGTCTTTCTCTCACATTATCTCTATTTTCAGTGACTCAAGATAAACACAATGATATGATCATCTTGTACTGCTCTGTGTTGACATACAATAAGTGTAAACACACAGTGAAGTGGGTGTACGAGGGTAATCAGAATGACGTGGAGATAACACCATTAGCCTGTGTATCCATAGTGACATTTGCTTCTCATCTTGATCAAAAGTCGCTCAAGTGTAACGTGAGGGTTACTAAGACTGGAGAAACTCTGCTGTGTGATGCTGGACCCCAGTCCTCGTGTCAGAAAACGGGTACATTTAACTTTATTTGATAATTTTTTATTTTAAAGATTACATTATTATGTCTCATTAAGTCTCGTCAGATGTTAAACTTAAAGTTGTTTGTTTATCTTGTGTTGTGTTTTGTGATTTCATTGAATCCTCACCAAAAGGAAGCACACCAGCAGGGAGAAATGATCCCCCAGGACAAGGTAGTGACTAACATCCATCTCTCTGACTCTTTCTGCAGCCTACATTATAAATGTCAGACCAAATAAATATTAAGAAAACATGTGAATTCTTTGAGGCGCAGGATTTGAAATCGTCTAGTAAGCTGCAGCCAAAATATTTTAAATGTTTTTTCTCTCTGTTCCAGATTGGTTGAGGTTCATCATCGTGTCTGTCGGTTTAGCATCGCTCATAATAACTGTGGTGACGGTCACGATATGGACGAGAGCTAAAGGTGAGAACATTCACTGAAGTCATTTTATTAAATTAATATTAGATAAAGCCGGATTGAGACATGAAACTGAAGTTTACTCTTTCTTGTCTTTTCAGGGAACAGAGCACAGACGGATGATAATGCAGTGAGTTTCTGAATAATCAACGCTTGTGTTATTAGTATTTCAGTCTTTACAATAAGAATGAAACAGTACTAATTGTATTATTTATTATGTTAGTGATTGCTGCAAAAGAGGTGATTTACTTCTTCCATTTGATATCAGTTTCTCAAGTGTGTTGTGTTTATTTGTACAGGTGCATAATGATGAAGATGAAGGTGTAGTGACCTATGAAAACGTTGGAGAACCTTCTGCTTCCATCAGACTCCACTGATCAACAAGTTCAACATCAAAACAAACTCGTAAAGAAAAGTAAAGAAACGTGTAACATAATATTAGGTCGTTTCCTATTTGTTGTAAAAAGTAAGTCTAAATTGGCTTCAACTTTAAAAAACAAAAAATTACGTTTTTTTAAACTTTTTATTGACTTTTCTTTCTCTGGGTTTAAATTAACTTTAAGTCTCTTAAAAATAATTGATAGTTAAATAATCTACTAAAAAAAATTGCCAAAAACTTGCGATATAATCGGGAGTAGTTCCTTAAATGTTGAAAAACGTCAGTTTAAAGGTCCCATGTCATGCTTTTCTGGTTATTACCCGTCCCCTTGTGTTATGTAACTTTTTCTGCATGTGAACGGTCTGCAGAGTCACAAACCCTCAAAGTATAGTGACCCCACCCCCACACACACACACACACACACACACACACACACACACACACACACACACACACACACAACACACACACACACACACACACACACACACACACACACACACACACACACACACACACACACACACACACACACACACACACACACACACACACACACACACACACACACACACACACACACACACACACACACACACACACACACACACACACACACACACACACACACACACACACACACACACACACACACACACACACACACACACACACACACACACGTAACGCAAAAAACCTTCCGACCACACGCAATATACACCGGATTGTGTCAAGCTCCAGGAGACGGCTCCGTTTACATCCAACCGCTGGAAAAGCTGCAGTACATATGCCGAACCTGTACGTGGCGCTGTAACTTCCTCTACAAAAGCAGCAACTTCCTCCACAAAAGCAGCGAAGAAGAATGGTTGTCATGGCTGCACTTCTGTTTATTCTCCGCGGTGGGGGCCGAGGGATCCGGGCAGAGTTTTTCGCCGGTCAACGTGTGTTAAAGTTTAAATCTTCCGGACAAAATTATAAAAGTGCCGGTCAAAGGTCTTCTTTGCTATTTATTGAGCTTTAAAACAAATGAATAACGACGATATAATGATATATAATAATAAAATACACGGAGGCTGTCTCTTTTTCCTCTCTTCTGACAGTGTCAGTGTCTGTCTCATGCAGCAGCTGATCCAGTAATGATGACCCGACAGTAAAAATAAACATATTTATAACTAGTTTAGGTAGTTTGAGAGGTAATTAAAATAGCTAAGGGTGATGATCTGACTTGAAGTGTGTGACTCTCGCTGCATCACAGCGGGAGGAGCTGCGTGTCTCCGTCCTGTCAGATTAGACTTCACTCGCGTTTATGTCCATATCGAGATAAAGATAAATAATCTGAATTCAGTGTGCAGTGTACTTTTGCGGGGGTGAGCAGCAGAGGTGGGGAGAGGCGGGGCTATTGCGTCGTCATTATCAGAAACGGATGACCGTATAGGCGACCCCACGGCCCCATTGGACCCCCCAGAGCGCTCCGTTCCCAGATCTATCCACCTTTGGACCCGTTGTCGTTTGCAGGGTCTGTTTCTACCGTTCCGTTACGGCGTCGTCTAGCTTAAAGGGCTATACGCATGAGAAATATGCGGATTCAACCCGTTTTCGTTCCCGTGGAGCCTAGGCCTTAGTGTAATAGGTTTGTGTCTGGGTTTAAATGAGCTTTCAGCTTCAATAGAGTCTCTTCATTATTACTGAGTATAGTTTTATCAAAATGCCAAAAACGTGTAACATTATCCTGAATGTTTTTCTTTGTTGTTGTCAAATGTAACTATACATAGTGTTCTACTTAGACATTTTAACAATTAAATTAAATGTATGTTAAATCTCTTTGTGAACAAAAAATAATTGCTTTTCATTTATTGCATTGCTATAAACATGTTTGTTATTAGATCAATTTGTTTTTGTACATGTTACTGTTAGGATTTGAATGAGCTTCCAGCCTAAACTAATTCTATATTATAACTGAGAATTATATAATCTGTAAATGAAAGTTCCTAATCCTCACTCATGCAATGTGGAAGGTTATTTCTTTATTGCATTAGATATGATTTCTTAAATTCTGCAAAACTGAATTATTCAGGATGCAGAATTTCACACAGCTCTTTGTTGATGTTACTGTTGTTACTGTCCCACACCAAACCGGACTCTAATTATTTCTGTGTAACAGAATCCAGAGAAGTTTCTTGTTCACATTTCAGACACATTCCCAGTTTGCTTCAAATCAGGTTAAAGATGGAGAATATTTCAATGGTACCAAAAGGATGCACGGACAAAGGATGTGGAGTTCCCCAAAGGTCGTTTCCTGAAACTCTTGTTTTCAAACTTTACATGTACTTTGTATATAGACTCTTATTGCACTATTTGGGTGTCTTTACTGTAGGGTATTTTATTATATGTACAGCAATTTGGCTCGACCAAAAATCGTTTAAAAATGTGCTGTATAAATAAAACTTGTTTTGATTTGATTTCACTATTTCACTATTTCACTATTTCACTATTTTTGTATTTACTTGCACTATTTTTTCTGTGTATCTGTTTTATTGTGTTGCACTGTTGGAGGAGCCTGTGACCTAAGATGTTCATCGTCATGACTACACTGTAGCTATGTACGTATGACTAATAAAAGCATTGAACCTTGAACATGCTCCCAAGAGCTCAGTTTTTTTAATGTCTCTCACTTTCGTTATTCAGGTGTCCTAAATTCTTCTTTTTTTTTAAAGGGGACCTATCATGCAAAATGCACTTTCGTACGTCTTTTATACATGAATATGTGTCCCCGGTGTTCCAGGGAACTCACCAAGTGTCAGAAAACACAACCCTCTCTATTTTCCTCCATACCCAAATCTCAAAAAAAGGGGCTGCAACGGATCTGATAAAAACTGATCCAGATTTGAACACTGTCCTGACGTCAGGGCGGTGGCGCTACGGCTATTGGGCCAACTCCACCAATCAGGGGAATGTGGGGTTGGGCCACGGCCGGCCATTGCCGCTCGAAAGCGCTGGAGACGCTGTAGTACATATGCCAGGCCTGTAAGTGGCGCTGTAGTCTGCCACAAAAGCAGCGAAGAAGACTTCCTGCCCATAGTTACCATGGTTACCCTTCTGTTTATTCTCCGCTGTGGCTTTTTTTCTCCTTCCCCGCAAGCGTTTGCTCCCGCTGCTTTAATTCAATGCAATCCCTCCCCGTCGAGGCAAGCACTGTAATTCTCTCCGGTTAGTCCACCAGCAGATGACAAACACCCACCTCTCCGCCTCTTCCAAGGAACGAGGGGACCGTGCGGCAGAGTTTCAGTTTCAGTTTGTTTCGCCGGTCAAGATGTCCGTTAAAGTTGAAATCTTCCGGACAAAATTAGAAAAGTGCCGGTCAAAGGTCTTCTTTGTTATTTATTGAGCTTTAAAACAAATGAATAACGACTCTATATAATAAAGCACGGAGGACGGAGATCTCTTTTTCTCCCCCTCTTCTGACAGCCCAGCAGCTGATCAGAGCACGTCTCCCCTCTCCTGCAGGGGGCGTGGTCAGCAGAATCAGACCCGTAGACAGCAAACAGCACATAGAGCGAAATGAGGCATGGCTAAAATGCATGATCTGTTTGGTATTTTGAAAACAGAAACGTATAAATATACCTTATATAGGTATGGCCCTACAATATATCATTTAAATATAGCATGATAGGTCCACTTTAAGTAAACAAGTCGTAAACATGGTAAGGTCATGAACTTTGACCTTCATTTAAAAACAGCAGTATGTGCTTAGTAACAAAATAAGCCTAAAGCCTTTGTACTGTTTCTGTTCCTGATTTTATGTAAAGCGTCTTTGAGCGTTAGGAAAAGCACTAGAAAAATCCAATGCATTATTATTAAAGCCACTAGTGACAATAAAAACAAATGTTAGTTTGAAACAATTAATAATATCTATTCCATCAGTTTTAATTACGCCTACACTCTAAGAAAAGAGACGTTCAGAGTTTAAAAGAGGATATGCTCACAAAGCCAAACACATAGAATATTCAATATTGTGATTGATTGTGTGCTTGTCTACAACATACCACTACACCCAAGCTCACACAAGCTTTGTAAAATCTCCCACTATTATTATTCAGAGGTCCCAAATCCCTTTCTTTCAAAAGTCAACATGTCAGAAACATCGGTAATATCATGAACTGTGACCTAAATTAAATCATCCGCAAGAGCATAGCAAGACCCCAGGAAGTGTGCCGGACGTTGAAACAAATGTTTGGTAATGGCCAAAAGGTGGTACTACAACTTCTGTGTCAGTCTGTGACGTCCTTGGGCCCAAAATACTTTTTCCCATTGACTTACATCGGAAAAGAGACGTCTGTATATCTGCAGATCTACCCAGTACGAACACTTTTATAGCCCTTCTTTAAATCACTAGGGTCTACAAGTTGCAAAATGTGCTAAAAGCTGAATCCAGAGATATTAAACCTCTCCATTCATTTGACTGAGACGAGATTGGCCTTGAAGCTGCAGATTGGAGGCGGGGCTTAAGTAAAACGCATGTGCACTCTCTATTGGCCCAGATACGGGTACTTTTTCCCTCGAGGGGCAGGCCATTTTGGCTTCATGTGTCACTGACCAACTCTCATAACAATGAACAAGGTCCCGCCTCCAACTCAGTGTACAGTTCTCTTTATACACCTATGGAGCTATAGTTACACAAAGAGCATACTGACATGTAAGCATTTCTGTTAGAGAGACAATATTAAAACCGTCCATACCGTTATCTTTAGATCTGACTATAATAGAAAACAGACGTTCAGAGTTTCAAGGAGTGAACTTCTGTTTAGTTTTTTCGCTCCTCCTCTGCACTGCCCACAAAGCCATCCAAGGATATTGGTTAATATTCTGACCAATTGTGTTCTTACAGGGTGTGAACAAACATGATGACATGTGATGCTTGTCTCATCATCATCAGAGGGTAACACCTCCAGAGCTCTGCTGCTGCTGCTGTTACCCTCATTCTCACAGAAACACTTCCCCATCAGTTCTCAGAAAATAACACTGAGCCACTTTGAAGAAGCGACTGATTCTCAAACCACTAAAACATTAGTAATTTTCCCCACTATGACCATATTGCACCATGGGCGTCAAATGCTGGTGGGCGGGGAGTTTGAGTCACGTAGCATTTATGTGCCTCGTAAACATCACTTTTTTTTCATGCAGAGCTGTATTTTAGCACCATATTTGCACACATTTTTTTCACGAATGACATGCAGAAAAACATTGAATTAATGATACTAAACAATATGTTCTCCTCATCAGGACATATCAGTGTGTCTGAAGGTTTCATACAGCAAAGTTAGTCAGAAGGCAAGATGTACTAATGTTAATATTTTCTGTGCACTTTTTATTTACTTTGCTCCTTGTGGTCTCTTCAATTTCCCATTGCATTGAGAATTACTTCTTAATTTGCAAATACTATCAAATACAAATACTACTAAAAGGACTAAAGTCACAAAAAGGAAGGGACATTTTATTCAAAACAGGAAGTGCATCTTTCTCTCTTCTACAGAGTCATTAGTTCAGAGAGGTCAGTTGAGGCCATGAGAGCGAGAGACGGAGACGCAGAGACACGATGGTTGAATTCAGACGGATTAATACGACTTTAGTGGTGATACTGCTGCTTCAGTTTACAGGTAAGGATGAAAAACACATACATGAACTAAAGAAACTTTACTTAAAGTATTTAAATAACTAAAACTGATTTGAGTGAAGGGCCAAGTTTGCTGTTTGTTTTGAACAAAGTGTAATGACTGAATTCTTGGAGAAGGGACATTTGATAATGTTTGTTATATGTATTATCATCCTATCACATGACTATAAAGAAACTGTTTTACATTTTTTCTTTTCTCTTATCTTTAACAGCAGTCACTGGACAAACTTCCCTCTCCCTCACTGTCAGAGCTGGACATAGTGTCACTTTGCTGTGTGAAAATGTGATAAAACATCAGGACAAATGTAACAGTACTGCCTGGATCTACAGTCGTGATGGGAGAACAGCAAAAGAGCTGATTAATCTTGGGCAGATAAGTGCACATGTGATTTCCAAAGCTGAAGCAGACAGACTGAGTGTTACAGAAGAATGTTCTCTGGTCGTAACAAATATCACACGTGAGGATGCTGGTCGTTACATCTGCAGACAGTACAGATCAGGAGGAAAACAAAAAGGTCCAGACTTTCAGGTTCTTCTGTCTGTTATTGATAGTGAGTATTTACTTCTTAATGTTTTCAGTTCATACTGTCAATACTCAGAAACATTACAACTGTTATAATTACAGTGATGAAGTTAATTATACTCTTGTTGTCTTTCTCTCACATTATCTGTATTTTCAGTGACTCAAGATAAACAAAATGATAATGTCACCTTGTTCTGCGCTGTGTCAACATACAAAGAGTGTAACCACACAGTGAAGTGGCTGTACGAGGGTAATCAGAATGACGTGGAGATAACACCATTAGCCTGTTTATCCGGGGTGAGATTTGCTCCTCATCTTGATCAAAAGTCGCTGAAGTGTAACGTGACAGATACTAAGACTGGAGAAACTCTGCTGTGTGATGCTGGACCCCAGTCCTCGTGTCAGAAAACGGGTATATTTGATTTTATTTGATGATTTTTTATTTGAAAGATTACATTATTATGTCTCATTAAGTCTCGTCAGATGTTAAACTTAAAAGTTGTTTGCATGTCTTGTGTTGTGTTTTGTGATTTCATTGAATCCTCACCAAAAGGAAGCACACCAGCAGGGAGAAATGATCCCCCAGGACAAGGTAGTGACTAACATCCATCTCTCTGACTCCTTATGCAGCCTACATTATAAATGTCAGACCAAATAAATATTAAGAAAACATGTGAATTCTTTGAGGTGCAGGATTTGAAATGGTCTAGTAAGCTGCAGCCGAAATATTTTAAATGTTTTTTCTCTCGGTTCCAGATTGGTTGAGGTTCATCATCGTGTCTGTCGGTTTAGCACCGCTCATAATAATTGTGGTGACGGTCACGATATGGACGAGAGCTAAAGGTGAGAACATTCACTGAAGTCATTTTATTTAAATAATATTAGATAAAGCCGGATTGAGACATGAAACTGAAGTTTACTCTTTCTTGTCTTTTCAGGGAACAGAGCACAGACGGATGATAATGCAGTGAGTTTCTGAATAATCAACGCTTGTGTTATTAGTATTTCAGTCTTTACAATAAGAATGAAACAGTACTAATTGTATTATTTATTATGTTAGTGATTGCTGCAAAAGAGGTGATTCACTTCTTCCATTTGATATCAGTTTCTCAAGTGTGTTGTGTTTATTTGTACAGGTGCATAATGATGAAGATGAAGGTGTAGTGACCTATGAAAACGTTGGAGAACCTTCTGCTTCCATCAGACTCCACTGATCAACAAGTTCAACATCAAAACAAACTCGTAAAGAAAAGTAAAGAAACTTAGGTAGTTTCCTATTTGTTGTAAAAAGTAAGTCTAAATTGGCTTCAACTTTAAAAGCAAAAAATTACGTTTTTTACAAACTTTTTATTTACATTTCTTTCTCTGGGTTTAAATTAACTTTAAGTCTCTTAAAAATAATTGATAGTTAAATAATCTGCGAAAAAAACTTGCCAAAAACTTGCGATATAATCAAGAGTAGTTCCTTAAATGTTGAAAAACGTCAGATTAAAGGTCCCATGTCATGCTTTTCTGGTTATTACCCGTCCCCTTGTGTTATGAAGGTTTTTCTGCATGTAAACGGTCTGCAGAGTCACAAACCCTCAAAGTACACCCTGTAGCGAGTAAAACTCTAACACAGAAAAGACCTGTCTATGCTGCCCCAGAACGCCTCGTTGGAGAATTCTCTTTTTCCATTGTTTTCTTCCTGAGTATGGTGACGTAACGGTTCCTCACTCACTCAGCCTTATGTTTTCTCAGCCGCGGCTTCGCTGTCACGTAGACCCCACGCAGCAACCAGGAAACGACACCAGTAACCCAGCTCACACTGTCCGCTCCTCGAGCCTCAAAGGGCGGAGCAGCGAGCCCCGCAACGTCCCGCCAACACGGCACCCAGACCATAGTTCCCGTTAGCCGGTAATTACCGGACTATGACCGGTAAAATATGCTGAAGACCGGCAAATCTAAATCTCTCCGGTCAAAATGTCCGGTCAAAATAATTTTCCCTTAGCGCAATACCGCATCAGTTGCGCCACTTATGTGACAGACAAAAGAGTATGTGACAGACAAAAATAGTCAATTCTAATGTCTAACACTTAATGTGGAGAAAGAGATGTCCTGTATGGGTTGATTGTGCGTTGATCTGTTGGTAATGCCTCTGGGTTCCGGTGGGCATGTAAACAAATGCATAATGCTGCGCTATACTTTGTGGCCTCACCCGGTTGCATAGCGACGCTTATTGTTTAGGTGTTTTCTAACAAGCAGGTAGTCATATCATTAGCTAGAACTAGCTAGATCTGATCGATATGGACATAAACGCGAGTGAAGTCTAATCTGACGGGAGAGAGAGATCGGCTGCTGCTGACGAGTCGACACGCAGCTCTGCATGATCATCTGCAGCGGCGAGCAGAGCAAAACACACTTCAGGTTAGAACATCACACGTAGCTATTTTAATTACCTCTCAAACTACCTAAACTAGTTATAGATATGTTTAGTTTTACTGTCGGGTCACTCATTACTGGATCCGCGAGCTGCATGATACTGACGGGCTGTCAGGAGAAGGAGAGCGCTCCGTTTATTATTAGTTTTTGTAAGTTACTGTACACTTTTGAATAATGTAGTTAATCTACTATAATTAGTTTGTTTAATATCGAATCATATCAATTTGTTTTAAAGCTCAATAAATAACAAAGAAGACCTTTGACCGGCACTTTTCTCATTTTGTCCGGAAGATTTCAACTTTAACGGACATGTTGACCGGCAAAAAAATATTCTAACGGGAACTCTGACCCAGACCCCACGCAGCATTCCCATCTGTTTGTCATTACTGGTGTCATTTCCTGGTTGCTAACAAACACCATTATAACACATAACACTGATGTTCCGCTGTAATGGTGGTGGACTCATCAGAACAGAGTGGGCGAGCTGACCAATCAGAGCACAGTGGGCTCATAGGGAGGGGGGGGGGGCAGGAGCTCCAAAAAGCCGTTTAGGACAGAGAGTGAATACACATACTATACAGAGATGCTGTATGTGAAACCAATGTGAGTTTGGAACATTGAACAATATAAATCTATTCTAGTAGACCTCAACAATGGAATTATGATCAGTAGAAATGGCCATGACATGGGACCTCACATTCAAAACAATTAGTATAACAAGATTGTGTGCACACACACACACACACACACACACACACACACACACACACACACACACACACACACACACACACACACACACACACACACACACACACACACACACACACACACACACACACACACACACACACACACACACACACACACACACACACACAACACACACACACACACACACACACACACACACACACACACACACACACACACAGGTTTCAATGAGCTTTCAGCTTCAATAGAGTCTCTTCATTATTACTGAGTTTTATCAAAATGCCAAAAACGTGTAACATTATCCTGAATGTTTTTCTTTGTTGTTGTAAAATGTAACTATACATAGTGTTCTACTTAGACATTTTAACAATTAAATTAATGTTATGTTAAATCTCTTTGTGCACAAAAAATAATTGCTTTTCATTTATTGCATTGCTATAAACATGTTTGTTATTAGATCAATTTGTTTTTGTACATGTTATTGTTAGGATTTGAATGAGCTTCCAGCCTAAACTAATTCTATATTATAACTGAGAATTATATAATCTGTAAATGAAAGTGCCTAATACCAGTGTTGTAGTCAAGTCACCAATTCACGAGTCCAAGTCACTCTTCGAGTCCGAGTCCAAGTCCGAGTCACCAAGGGAGAGTCGTAGTCGAGTCCGAGTCCAAGTCCGAGTCACCCAAGGAGTGTCCGAGTCCAAGTCCGAGTCACCCAAGGAGTGTCCGAGTCGAGTCCGAGTCCGAGTCATCATTACCTGTGTTCGAGTCCGAGTCCAAGTCTCAGTCACCTGAGAAGAGTCCAAGTGAAGTCCGAGTCCAAGTCCGAGTCACCAAGGGAGAGTCGTAGTCGAGTCAGAGTCCAAGTCCGTGTCACCCAAGGAATGTCCGAGTCGAGTCCGAGTCATCATTACCTGTGTTCGAGTCCGAGTCCGAGTCATCATTACCTGTGTTCGAGTCCGAGTCCAAGTCCGAGTCACCCAAGGAGTGTCCGAGTCGAGTCCGAGTCATCATTACCTGTGTTCGAGTCCAAGTCCAAGTCCGAGTCACCCAAGGAGTGTCCGAGTCGAGTCCGAGTCATCATTACCTGTGTTCGAGTCCGAGTCCAAGTCCGAGTCACCCAAGGAGTGTCCGAGTCGAGTCCGAGTCATCATTACCTGTGTTCGAGTCCGAGTCCAAGTCCGAGTCACCTAAGAAGAGTCCAAGTCAAGTCCGAGTCACAAGTCTTCATGTATTAATCTTCGTGGATATATGTGTTGAAATGTAGCTGCTCCTCTACATTGCTTTTATCCTGTCATGTTATACTAATCTGTCTATTGAACTGCTGTGAAGCCAGTTTGGCTACAATTCTTGTAATAGGTGCTATACAAATATAAAGCTTATTACTAATATTAATATTATTATTATTATTATTATTATTATTATTATATATAAATAAACTATGTTTAAAATGAGTTACCTTTTAGAGAAGTGATTATATTTGTATGCCAATATTTTCCTATGGTAAAGTTTTCGTTTTGCACTTTTATTTTGATAGTAATAAGATCGGGACTCTTATTTTGAAGGAACTTTTACCGGTTAAATCGGTTTACTGATAAAGATTTAGCCCCAGAAAGCACATGGCTACTTAGCATGCAAAATGACGTCATTCTGCACTTTTTTTTTTAAATGCAATGCTGTATTTTAGCACCATATTTGCACAAATGTTTCTGCAACTAAACTTCCTCAAAAGTAATAGTTGAATGGTTTATAACTGAAAGTAGGCTGAAGAAGTTAGATATTAAATGTAAGTAGTAGTGAATTAATTTGTATTAAGAAGAGAAAAGAAAGAAAAAACGCTTTGAAAAGCAGCAGAATATTTTAACTGCAAATGTTTGAACTAAAACCAGACGTCACCAATAATGTATAAAATATGTGGAACGTGTTGAAGTCAGTATGAAGTCTCCATCAGACAGAAAAGAATAGGCTGAGACCGTCTTTAAACTCCAGTCTGCTCGTTTGTGTTTGAGGTGACGACGTTATTAAACACGTGTGTGTGAGCCCAGAGATCAAAGGTTACCATGGTGACGATGTTATCAAACACCTGTGTATGAGCCATAGACTGTATATATAAATGGACGTAGGGTCCGTGACGTCACCCATAGGATTCTGCAGAGTTGCCGAGAAGCCCTTAGTAGGCGGAGTCGGCCACTAACGGCTCGACAGTGACGTCAGAGTCTAACTCCCGCCTGCTCCAGCCTGCTCCAAATAAGGGCAAAGAGGCGGAGCCGAGGCGGGACCTGCTGCCTCCGAGCTGGAAGTAACAGAGCTAGCTCAAGCTAAGAAGCTAAGCTAACATGCTCCCCATCTGCACACTGCTGTCACATTTTACGTTTCTAAGGTAAGCGGACATGAGACTATTCAGCAAAACTATAAATAATAATCTAAATTATTGAGTTTTTAGCATAATACTTCAGAATCTTAAAATCCCTTAACGTTTGTATGCAATGTGCTAAATGCAACACTGGAATCAAGCAAATATTAATATGTTTGCATGACATTAGTTATTTATATTTTGCTATCACTTAATTATACGTTTAATACATTTAAGTTAAGCTAAGGTGCATGTGATGGTAGCTAGTTAGTGCTCTTACCTGTGAGGCCTCCTCCAAACAGCATTATAACCAGACTGTACCATTAAAAGTACCAGTACCAGTTCTAGGTCCTTGACTTTAGACAAACAATTCAAAAGACAAAATGTATTTAAAGACCAATCTTTATCTGAAGGTGCCTCTTAACCTGAGATATTAGTTATACAGTAATAGTATTGACCATCTAAAAAAGCTGAGCAACTCAACAGTCAACTTTATATTTCTTATTGTCTAAAGCATTTATTATTTTCATTTTTCCCCTCTCATATTCAGTGTGGACGGATTGAGACAGCGTGGTGTCCAGAGAGCTGCAGAGACTTCAGGGAGAAACCTCCGTGTGATGGACGTCCTGTCTGTTGGTTTGGAGAAGACTGAGGGTCTTTCCTCTGCGAGGAGGACCAGGCCTGATGGAGGAGCCCATGCACAGGCCTAGTCTGTCACTTTATTTGACTAAATGTGTTTACTTATACATTTAATAGGTTTACACCTTCTGTCCATATGTGCTTTTTTATTTAAAACATGTTTGATTAACTTTTGGTTCAGATTTCAATAAATTGTATTTGTATTTGCACTCCTTTTGTCCATTATTCTTACTGAAAATGTTAGATTACACATTCACATCTGACTGAAGATTGGCCCCATTTATTTGTGACGTTGCAAACTCTGCGGTACAAGGCACATGTTGTGAAGCTCATAAAGTGAGGCAAATAGAAATAATCAGCTGATGGAGTGTAGATGTGGAAATAGGTGCATTCGATCAGCTGACTTTGTTTTCACAATAAAAGTAGTTTCTTAGTGAATGTCCTGTACTGGTCTTAACATCTCATAACATCAGCTTTTAATTTTCCTCTTGGATGTTCTTCTTGACCCTCAGAGAAGGAGAAAATGTTGAGTCGTGTCTTTCAGGCATGTCCTTTCCTAACAAAAATTACAGGAAACATAAAACATATTATTATTGTGTTATTTATGAAAGCGGTGTGTTTGTGTGTTTAGGGGCTGTAGATATAATTATTTGATATGTTTTTTTTTTTTTTAACATTGAGCTACAAAGACAATCAGATTATGAATGAACAGTATGAAATTCATCAACATTGAAATATATTTTATTATCAAAATAATATTGAACTGTTATCAAAACGTAGTGCAACTGTAGAAGCTTGCTCCGTTGTCTCACTGAAAGAATAACTTTTACCACATTTTTTACAGACAATATTGAGAGATAAATAGCAGTTCTCACTATGTGTTAAATAGCTTTGCTTTCAATACATTAAATTAGAAAGCTGACAAGTCATATTGCTTGTTAACATCTAAATGTAACCTTTTGCATGGAAAAAACCCTTAACTTAACTGATGTGTAGGTGATCTAGTATTTAGTATTGTTTAATGGAATATATATCAGTGTATTAAAGTCAATACTTCATTTATTTAAACCAATATCTTTCTTGATTCTTTGTACAGTGTGAAAAAAGAGTCTTTGTACCTGTGCTGAAGTTCACTGCTGTGAGGAGTCCAGTTCTGTCTCTCACTCTCTGGTCCAGCCTGTCTGCATCACCTGGACACTTTAAACAAACAGATATATATGTAAAGTACCATGTGTACAAACAATATAACTTATTCTCTTCTGTTGAACATGTTGGATTGTGTATTGGCCGAGTCAGGGTTCTTTTTATTTTACTGTAACTTTGGAAGTTGTGTTACCAATGCTGTTGTGTTACTGTTTATTTGATACCAATTTGGTAATGCAATTAATAAAAACAACAAGGTTTGGGTTCGTTCTTCAGATGACTGTGACGTTAACGTGTAAGCTCAATAATGAACTCCAGCTCAACCAACCATATTGTAATATCGAAGTAATCATCTTGAAATATGACATTAATAATTGTAATATACACACATCTTATTGTGAGGTTGATTTCACATACACTACTTCGACATTAGCTTGTCTACATACTCGAGCATAGCCAATTTAAATTAACCTTAGCGATGCATACAGTTCCTACCTACATAATAAAATATCTCTCTAAGTTACAAGGATGACCTTATTTTATCAACCTCAAACAGAAGCCGTTTGTTCTACAGTATTATCCCACTTAACGCTTAACACTTGTCTATTTCGTTTTAACCTTTATATATACGGTCTATGGTTTTAACTTGGAGGCTACGAATAGCATCGTTAGCACCGATGTAGCTACCACTCGCTTACACGCTAACACATTCATTACGTAGCTGATTAAAATCATAAACACATAAATAAAGTACTCGAATTTCACTTACCGCAAAACCGCATTCATGCACCGTCTGTTTTAACCGCAGAGCGAGTCACAATAGTCCGATATATAAGCATGAAGAACTAACAAACACGGCCGGGGTCGAGTTGTGTTCCCTGGATGAACTGAGCAGGCAGTCCCTGTAGCTTCACGGAGACGGAGCAGCTAGCAGAGAGACAAGAAGCTAACAGCAGCAGTCACTTGACAGAGCTGTCACTCAATGTGACCACGCCCTAATTTATGCAAAGACTTTAAGACCTAATATAAATAAAAGGGTCGTGTTAGAAAACAATTCACTCACAGATTCATAATCATGAAGGTGGAATCTAACTATATCTATCATAATATTTATTGGATCCATGGGTAGAAACATGTTTTTTGAGGCTGTAAAATTGGGCATTTTAACATGGGGGTCTATGGAAATTGCTCCTTTCTGCAGTCAGCGCCTATCGGCCAATATATGAACTGCAGTTTGTGGCACTTCCGTATTGGCGTCCCGGCTCTTCCCCAGAGTTTGCCGCTTGGTATGAGCCCAGAGATCAAAGGTTACCATGGTGACGATGTTATCAAACACCTGTGTGTGAGCACAGAGATCAAAGGTTTCCATGGAGATGTGCAGTGAAAGGAGAGCCTTTCCATTGATCTGAATGAGAAATAAACCTCTTACATTTCTAACTATAGTTGGAAAACCGTAGCAGCTTTCGGTAAAATGTCAACGCGTGGAGGATGTCAGGACCGTGAGGAGCGTCAGTCTGCTTTTTGTGTACTTTCGGGTCAATAATGTGGCATTTTTGGCAGATTAACTAAAGGTGTGCGGCTGCTGCTCTGAGGGAAATCAGGCTGAATTTACAATGGGCCTTAATGGAGACATGTTGAACGTTTTTGTCACTTCATGCCCTCAGGAGGCATTTTGTTTAATTATTTTGCTTGACTCCTTTCAACGTAGGAGAGGTTTTCCTACGTTTTTCCATTAAAAATGATGTCTCAGGAGTGTAGGGTTTGGGAGTTATGGCAGGTTGAAGAAAAAAATTAAGGCGAATTTCAAGCTCTCCTCCACTGTAGCTGTGACATCACGCACTCTAAGCCTTAACGAGCTGCGCAATACACACTAATGTAAATATCTGACAAAGTGTAAAAGATATAAAAAATCTGAAGAACAAGTTTTATAGCTGAAGGTCTTGTGATAATTTTAAAGTTGGAATTAAGTCTCTAGCTGAAAGTATGTGGAAGGAGAAGCATTTGGCACAAGGTGTAGGTAAAAGAGGATTTGAAGGTTCCTCCCATTGAGTTACATGTTAAAAAAAGAGTTTTAAAAAAGCTGAATATTTCAAAAAGAATAAAATATCTTGAAAAAGTTGAAAGTTTCCCATCATGTGCTGAAAAGGCTGAATATTTTTGATATTTGAATGGTTTCTGTAGCTGAAAGTATGCTGAAGTTATTGAGAGCCAAACTATTTGGTGAAATAATAAGACAAAGAAGAAGATTAAAGATTTTAAGAACAAAAGGCTTTAAAATGTTATTCAAATCATAACAAAATTATAGATGGAGCTTCATGTAAAACCACCTACACAAAAAAAGAAGAAGAAGAAGATGGACTTTTATTAATCCCTCGTGGGGAAATTGTTCCTCTGCATTTGACCCATCCTAGTGTTAGGAGCAGTGTGCTGCCATTTTGAACGGTGCCTTGCTCAGGGACACCTCGGTAGCACTTGGTCTTGCCGGGACTTGAACTGGTGACCTTCCAGTTGACATGGTGCTTCAAAAATAATGTATGTTTCTTAGCCAAATCTCAATTTTTTTTGTTTGCCTTTGTCTCTCTGATCTGAGGCTCTCTGATGTTTCCCTTCTGTGTGTTTCTCATACCTGTGTGCAGCGTGTTGGTCGTTATCCGGCTCTCCTCCAGCGCCAGGAAGTGTCTGCTGGCGTCCGCCCCCCCCCACCTCACAGGTGAGCACCATGATGGGACCCGTCCCCCCCTTCAGATGCACCTGGATATTATCCTGCTTCAAAACACACACACCGTGATGATACTGCTTTACTGTACATTTTACATGTATATATTCAGTTTAATATTCCATCTCCCACATACTTATGTATATATAATAACTTGCTTTATATCTTGTTATTGTTCATTTGTCAATTCAACATGTATATTTTCTACTTTCTTGTTTATTTCTAGTCTTTTAATCTGTATTGTACAATGCCATGTCTTTTCATGCTGCTGCAACACAAACATTTCCCAAATTGGGATCAATAAAGTACTTCTTATCGTATCTCTTTACTAAGCACGTTAAAAACATGAGATTACATCTGGTATATCGGCAATGTCTTAAAGGTCTCCTATCATGCAAAATTCACTTTTTAATGTCCGGTGTGTCAGGAGACTCAACGTGTCAGAAAACATTTCCTTTTTTTAATATAATGTTTTTTAAAGCTCCGGACCCAGAATCAGCACTTTAGTAACAGGGCTGAAATAGAGGGATACGAGGCTAGAATGGGTGATCTGTTTGGTATTTCGAGCCAAACACTTCAGAGACATGTTTTTTTATATATCTGAGACCTATAATATATGCCTAAAAATAGTATAATAGGAGACCTTTAATAAATATTTTAAGATTGTGTGTTCTTCACCTCTTTGGGAGCCGGGACCTCCAGCTTGGTTTCCTCCGGAGCTTTGACCACGATGACCGTCTGCTGCTGGAAGGCTGCGAGCCGCCCGACGTCCTCGTGGGTCACGTAGGCCGACGTGCAAAAGTTAAAGAAAACCTGCTTCACGTTTTAGAAATCCACATTTACAACAACATCGTTTTGCAGTCCCATAATGTTCATTAAAACCTGCAATAAATGGCTTCATTGGGACGCCAAAACAAGCTTTAAACACAACATGGACACATATTTCATTGATCCATATTGCACATTTGTAAGCTAACCCCTGACTGGAAAAGTTGCTTCATGTTTTATAAATCGACATTTACAACAACATACTTTTGCAGTCCCATATTGCTCGTTAAAACCTGCATTAAATGGCTTCATTGGGACAGCAAAACCAGCTTTAAACACATCATTGACATTTATTTAATTATAAAATCCATATTGCAAATTTGCACATTTGTTTTATATATATATATATATATATATATATATATATATATATATATATATATATCCAAATGGATGAACATTAGCATTCATTTGAAATGATGTCTCTTTCAACCTGATAAATGAAAGCCTAATGTACTTCCTGTTTTGGTCTAAACCTGGACTGTAATTTACTTTTCCATGTCAATTTATCATTTGGTAAATAATAGTTTTTAAAAGTCCACGCTGATGTCTTTAAATGTCCAAAACCCAGAAGAAGAAGAAGGAAATCTCCCCATATGAAAGGCTGAATGCAGTATTTTTTGACATCATTGCATGAAAAACTACATTAATAATCTGTTCGCTAAATAATGAAGTTTCCTCCCATCCGAAGTCTTTCTGGTGTTATAAAACAGGCAGAACATGGAGACAGTGATCTGAAAGGATATGTGGCGTTGTCGAGGTCGTCGGTCATGCTGAACAGCTGCTGAGCGCAGGTCTTGATGAGCGAGTCCAGCGTGTCCTCCACCAGCTTCAGGCTGTCCAACTCTCTCTGGAGCTTCTGCTGGTTCTGCCACAGGAAGCTGGAGATGGACGTGCTTCCTCTGAAACAGACCGAAATAACTCATTATTTAAATGTGTTAAAGGTCTCCTATCATGCAAAATGCACTTTCTGATGTCTTTTATACGTAAATATGTGTCCCCCGGTGTGTCAGAAAACAAAACCCTCTCTCTTTTCCTCCGTACCCACATCGCTAAAAACGGGGGAACAACGGAGCTGATCCGGATTTGCTGACGTAATATCGGATGTTTTTTTTTTTAAAGCTAAGCACCCAGAATCAGCCCTTTAGTAACAGGGCTGAAATAGAGGGATATGAGGGATGTCTAAAATGCATGATCTGTTCATATAGACATGATTTTTATATATTTGTATATATCTGAGACCTATAATATATGCCTAAAAATAGTATAATAAGAGACGGTTAGTTGGAAAAATAAATTGCCACAGAGAAAATGCAAAACAGAGCCTGGCAGATAGATGTATTATTATAGGGTTTGAGCTTATCATAAATTGTTGAATAAAGTGTTAAAAATGTTGCTTTTATGGGGGCTATAACAGAACTCAAGAGAATCAATAAGTTGATAGAATATGAAAGCAAACAGTGAACATTAATAAACCCTTTGGACATATTCCTTGAGCTCTGCTAAGTGCCCCGATAAACATTCCTGTTGTCATCTTGCAATCTACTTATTTATATAAATAGTTATCACCGCAATAAACCGTATTTAATTTTGACTTAATGTACATTATTTAATTTCATATTCTGTTCTTGTCCATATCATATTCTATTTACATGCATGTATACTTCTTGCACTACTTTTTATTTTATTATATATGTTGCATTGTTGGAGGAGCTTAGGTCAGGCCATTTTTACACTGTAGCTTACATGACAATAAAACCTTTGACTCTTTGAATCTGTGTTCACTCACATCCATTTGAAGTGGTTGACCGACTGCCTCTTGAGGACGCTGATGCCTTCGAGGACCGCCGTGATGTCGTAAACTCGCCTCCTGCGGGTCTGCAGGCTCGCGGTCACATGACCCAGATCCACCACCCCGTCAGGAGCCGCCAGCAGCAGCTCCAGGAAGCGCTGAGTCAGCAACCCCAGGGACAGATCTGAACACACAACACACACACACCAGGGTCAGAGCTGGAGAGATGGATATGAAAACAAAACTTTTCCTGATTTTGTTTTCACAGATCAATAACCCTGCTGTCAAGAAATTGTTCACTGTTGTTTTATTTTCATTTTTAAATTTATGCCTATCTCATCTGTGTTTTTTGTGTCATCATGTGTATATTGCTGAAAAGAACTATGAACAGATTTAAGTCATTCATGTAAAGATGCAATGTACAATATGCTGTGACAATGTTTGACACCAATAAAAAACCAACATTTGTCATCAACGTAAGGTTCATAGGGTTTGTTTAGAGCCAATAAAAACACAAACATGTTTCTTATTTGATCGATTTCTAATTATGTTTCTTAGTGTCTTGTTATATATTGTCAAATAAGTAAATAATTGGATCTTTGAAGCCATAATCTTCAAGATGTTCCTGAAATCGGACACATTTTTACTGCAAAAGCCATTCTCGTGCTCGAATAGTGTGTCTAGTGTTAGTGTCATAATCTGTTCTTTAGCAGAGCCTTACAGCTACTGCTAAAGCTAACTCAACAGAGGCACAGAAATCAAAGATGTGTTGCAATGAAAGTGTTTTGATGAAAGGACAGATGACGCACTGTATCTGCTGGATGGTTTGGTCCGGGGACTCGATTTCCTCGGATGCCCGCTGAAAAGAAAGAACAAATATCTTACTCAATTTAAAGTGCACCTATCATGCTATTTGTAGGCAATAGCATAGGTCTCAGATGTATACAAATATATAAAAAACATGTCTATGAAGTGTTTTGCTCAAAACACCAAACAGATCACCCATTCTAGCCACGCCTCATATCCCTCTATTTCACTTCCTGTTTCAAAAGTGCTGATTTGGGGTATAAAGCTTTAAAAAAAATATAAAAGGAGGGGCTGGGCTCATGCGGGACCCGGCAGCTACTGTCTAAACTAAATACTGCCGTGATGAAACGCCATATCATGGATTATCAAGGATTATTTCTGAAACAGTATGGAGCTCAAAGGCTTTCTCTCTTGCCGGTTATACCACAAGGTGAGTTCCTTTTTATTTCCTGCTTCTTCACACACATGCTCTCCAGTACAGGTTAGCTCTGAGTGTTAGCGATGCTAATGTAAACACCGACCATATTACGTCCAAAACAGTCGGCCATTGTTTCTGATAGCAACGTTTCTGATAGGCCCGTGGGTCCACATTTCAGATATTACGTCATATCGGACGCAAATCTGGATCAGCTCCGTTGTACCCCGTTTTTAGAGATTTGGGTACGGAGGGAAAAGAGAGAGGGTTTTTTATTTTCTGACGCTGCGTGAGTTCCCTGACACACCGGGGACACATGTTTATGTATAAAATACATCAAAAAGTGCATTTTGCATGATAGGTCCCCTTTAAATTAAATTCGTCATAAGTATTCCTTTATTTGAAATGTACATTCCCACCACCATGTGCAAGAAACACTCTATACTAGATTTGGACTAAACAAGACAAAATGCATATTATAACTGAAAAAAGTGACGGTGGAATCAAAACTAAACACGCGGTCAGTAACGTGTGAGAGTTCATCAGAAGCAGAGAGTATTTTACCGTGTCGTTTTGGTCGCTGATGAGTTCTTCACAACTGGAGCCTGAAAAGCAGAAAAAAAACGCACGTTAAATCTGCTCCGATTACACACAAAAAGTGATGTGAGTGCAACATTTAAGAGATTACATTTTTATATACAATGACATCTAATCATTGGATGCAGACTTGTTAGAGTTACTAACGTTTATTGTGGTTGAATGTGTAAAAATGTAATCGAAAAGGTCTTGTTCTCGGCTTTAAATCAATAAATGCTTAATATTTAATTAAAAATATGTTCATTTTACCGTCATAGAGGAGTAAAGAAACCAGAAGATATTCGCATTAAAAAAAAGCAGGATTCAAGCATGTTCATCCTTTTTCAAAGCACAAATTAAATATCAGATATTAGGCCAATCATTTCAAAAGTTGATGACAACTAATCGAAGACTACACAGCTCTATCAATATGAACTAAGATGTTAACAAAATATCTTCATACCTCAATCTTTATTCATTTATATAGCACATTTAAAACAACCTCAGTTGACTAAAGTGCTGCACAGGGAACAAATATAAAATAACACAACAATAATTACAAGATAAAAAGCACAATAACTTATAAAAACACATACAACTATCAAAATGTTATGTTCAACTAGTATTAAAGGTCACCTATTATGCAAAATCCACTTCTTCATGTCTCTTCTTCATCAACATGTGTCCCCTCTTCTTCATGTCTCTTCTACATCAACATGTGTCCCCTCTTCTTCATGTCTCTTCTACATCAACATGTGTCCCCTCTTCTTCATGTCTCTTCTACATCAACATGTGTCCCCTCTTCTTCATGTCTCTTCTACATCAACATGTGTCCCCTCTTCTTCATGTCTCTTCTACATCAACATGTGTCCCCTCTTCTTCATGTCTCTTCTACATCAACATGTGTCCCCTCTTCTTCATGTCTCTTCTACATCAACATGTGTCCCCTCTTCTTCATGTCTCTTCTACATCAACATGTGTCCCCTCTTCTTCATGTCTCTTCTACATCAACATGTGTCCCCTCTTCTCCATGTCTCTTCTACATCAACATGTGTCCCCTCTTCGTCATGTCTCTTCTACATCAACATGTGTCCCCTCTTCTCCATGTCTCTTCTACATCAACATGTGTCCCCTCTTCTCCATGTCTCTTCTACATCAACATGTGTCCCCTCTTCTTCATGTCTCTTCTACATCAACATGTGTCCCCTCTTCTTCATGTCTCTTCTACATCAACATGTGTCCCCTCTTCTTCATGTCTCTTCTACATCAACATGTGTCCCCTCTTCTCCATGTCTCTTCTACATCAACATGTGTCCCCTCTTCGTCATGTCTCTTCTACATCAACATGTGTCCCCTCTTCTTCATGTCTCTTCTACATCAACATGTGTCCCCTCTTCGTCATGTCTCTTCTACATCAACATGTGTCCCCTCTTCTCCATGTCTCTTCTACATCAACATGTGTCCCCTCTTCGTCATGTCTCTTCTACATCAACATGTTTCCCCTCTTCTTCATGTCTCTTCTACATCAACATGTGTCCCCTCTTCGTCATGTCTCTTCTACATCAGCATGTGTCCCCTCTTCTCCATGTCTCTTCTACATCAACATGTGTCCCCTCTTCGTCATGTCTCTTCTACATCAACATGTGTCCCCTCTTCGTCATGTCTCTTCTACATCAGCATGTGTCCCCTCTTCGTCATGTCTCTTCTACATCAGCATGTGTCCCCTCTTCTTCATGTCTCTTCTACATCAGCATGTGTCCCCTCTGTGTAAAGAGACAAAGATTCTCTCTCTTTTTGTCCTGATCCATTTTTATAAAAACCTGTCTGAAAACGAGCTGATCAGATTTTGGTCACTTTATGATGTCATAACGATGTTTTGTCTTGTGTAACCATTAGCCAATCAGCAACCAAGGTAACCCCCCCCACCTTATCACCTGAATCTCCTCCTAGAGCACCATTGAGTTATTTTTAACCAAATATCTCTCAGAGGGGCGTGGGGAGGGGCTCCTTATTTTCATCTAAAGTAACAGACAGAGAATCAGCACTTTTGAAACAGGGTTGAAACAGAGGGGATTATGGGTAATGCTGCAATGATCTGTTTGGTGTTTCAGCCCATCAGAGACAGGCTCTGTATATATCTGAGACCTGTGATATATTGATGAAAAACAGTATAATAGGGGACCTTTAAAAGCGATAAATACCTGCTTTGGTGGCTCCGCTGCAGGAGGTTTTGGCGCCGGCGGCTCCACGTACATCAAACCTTCATCTTCTTCATCATCCTCCTCCTCTTCATCACAGTCCTCCTCCTCCTCAGAGGACGCGGCCCCCCAGGGGTTGATGACCCCCAGGGGCCCCTCCAGGCAGGGGGGCATGATGGGGATGGCGTCACCTTTGACCCCATCTGTGGAGATGTCCTCCGGCAGGAAGTGGTCCTCACAGATTTGATGCTGCTCCGCTGAGTCCTGCTTCTCCGTCTCTCTCAGCGCCGCCAGCCACACCTGGAGGAAGACATTTTTTAAATATGTGTTATATTCATGATCACAGTAGGAATGCAGATTATACAGGAAAGGGGGATTAGAAGAGAGAATAAAGGATATTGTGCAAAAACACCAGTATTATTACTGTTGCTCTATTCTACATGTGTTCAGGTAAGAGCTAACTAAGAGCTGAAATCTGCATAAGACATTTCCTGAATTTAGCAACCCCATTTTTCTTAATCCCTCAATGTCCAGTTAACTCACATGGAAAGTTACCACTATTCATAATGACGGAATTACAGTTTTAAAGTAATTTAACCCACATATTGACCAATTTGGACCATTTTGAAGTGGTTTTGGGGGTTATTGAGGATGTTGAATCCATTTCTGACATCATTTTTAAGCAGAAAGTGGCAGTATTTGTATTCCCGGTGGGTTTATTTTGATGAATTCTGGGTCGATTTCGAAGTTTTAGGGCCATTTTTGTACCTAGAAACCACACCAAAATGCCCGGGTTCACACTGCTGAAAGGTAGACTATTAACTTTATTAAATAAGTGACATATATATGAACGTACCTTGACCCTCGCTGTGTCTGCGGGGAAGTTAAAGAACCTCTTGGATGGCAGACTGTGGTTGAAGATTCCCGGGTTAACGTTAGAGCGGTTGGGACACCCCGAGACGACACACTTTACCATGGTAACCGTCACTACGCAGCCGTAACAACGAACCAAACCCGGGCTAACGGCTCATCCGAGAACCGTTAATACTAACCGTTAAACAAACCACCACAACACACACACGTTTCCTCGGTTTGTTTACGTCGTGTGTTCACCGCTGTGTTTCAGACCGGAAAAGGTGTGTTTATGAACCGGAAGTACAACAAAGGTGGGAAAAGTAGCGGAGCGTGCCAAATGTAGCGACGTGTCGTGTCTGAGCCCTGTTACTGCATATCATTTTGTAATACTAAAAATAATAACAATATTTAAAGAAAAATAATAACAATAATAATAATAATATTTTTGGACTAATTATTATATTTTTTGAGTAATAATTATAATGATTACATCATAATTAAATCATCATGTTTTTTTTATTTATTATAGCTTTACTGTTTTTTGTTGTTTTCGTATTCAAAAGTAAATTACAAGGCTTTTTAAAATGTTGATATAAGACAAAAATACATTGAAATATCCATGTAATACTCCTTTTACCTTCCCTGCTGGCATCATGGTAATCATCATGACAAAAGACGGTAAAAAATCACAAGTTGATTTTGTAATCTTCTTTAAAGGGGACCTATCATGCAAAATGCACTTTTTGATGTCTTTTATACATAAATATGTGTCCCCGGTGTGTCGGGGAACTCACGCAGCATCAGATAATAAAACCCTCTCTCTTTTCCTCCGTACCCAAATCTCTAAAAACAGGGGTACAACGGAGCTGATCCAGATTTGCGTCCAATATGACGTAATATCTGAAATGTGGACCCACGGCACTATCAGAAAGTTGCTATCAGAAACAATGCCCGACTGTTTTGGACGTAATATGGTCGGTGTTTACATTAGCATCGCTAACACTCAGAGCTAACCTGTACTGGAGAGCATGTGTGTGAAGAAGCAGGAAATAAAAAGGAACTCACCTTGTGGTATAACCGGCAAGAGAGAAAGCCTTTGAGCTCCATACTGTTTCAGAGATAATCCTTGATAATCCATGATATGGCGTTTCATCACGGCAGTATTTAGTTTAGACAGTAGCTGCCGGGTCCCGCATGAGCTCAGCCCCCTCCTTTTTTCTTCTTTATCAATATTTTTTTAAAGCTTTATACCCCAAATCAGCACTTTTGAAACAGGAAGTGAAATAGAGGGATATGAGGCATGGCTAGAATGGGTGATCTGTTTGGTATTTTGAGCAAAACACTTCATAGACATGTCTTTTATATATTTGTATATATCTGAGACCTATGCTATTGCCTAAAAATAGCATGAGGTGCACTTCAAATCTGGATCTGTGAAGTATATGTCCTACAATACAGTTTTGGAAGTAAAAAGTTCAATATTTACACCTGATTAAATGAACAGGTAGGCTATAAAGTATCATATTTAAGTAAAGTAAAAATAGTGTATCTCAAAATGGCATTTACAACCCTTAAAAATGTTAAGTTCATTGCAACACTGTCAATAACACCCACTCTGTTAACTGTGATGAATTACTTATTGGCAATTCAAACCAACAAATGTGGAAGAAAAATATAATATTACAGTATAGTATACAGCATAATACTTAAATATGCTAAAACACTAGTGTGATCTTTTCATGAGTTTGGGCTCATTATTAACTTTCCTCAAATCAGTTTCCAAGTCATAACAAGAACAGGACGTAATCAGTGTTGCAACACAAGATTTATTCAGAGCAAGAGATGCCAACACCAGCATGATAAAAATTGTACAAACTTCACAAGTGAAATTAAAATATCACGTAGCAACTCGTGACCTTAAACATACAGCAAAAATATCAACAAAACCCATGCCATGTGGTAAGAAAAACTGTTGTTGAAAGTTTGCGAGTGACACAGAGAAAGGGGTAAAAAGGAGAGAAAATGAATGTTGTATAAAAACCCCTTTATCAATGCACCGCCCAAAAGAAACTGTAACATTTTCATAAACTGATGATTTCACAAATATTCATATGGATTTATTTTGCATTCTAGCATGTCACATGTTAGTGTTGAGATTTTTCTATGTAAATAGTTACAGTTTAGCTTTTACATCTGATATTACAATATCTAGTCTATTGAATTGTCTTTAAGTGGCAGAATTGTGCTTTAACTCCCATCTCCTTTGTTTTCAGTTAAGAATAACCCACTAAATAAAAAATACAAGCTGTCAGTCTATCTAATGCAGAAGTTTACTGGCAGGAAGCTGCAGACACAAAGCTTTGGGCAGAGATGTGAAATCAGGGAATGAGGCTTTGCAGTAAAAGTCCAAAGAAGACGCATCTTTAAAGGAAAACTCCCCCAGTTAGCCGTCTGAAGTTTGCTTTTCCTTCCTGTGGGAAGCTGGACTGATTGGAAACCGGATCCTTTCCTCATTCACCAATTACATCTTCATGACTTGGTCAAAGTTGAGGATGGTTAACACCTTAAATGTCTTTTAAATTATATTTATACATATTTTCTACACATTTGAGCTTAAGTGAGTTCAAGTGTGTATTTCAAGCCCAACCAGCCCCCTAATTATCAAATACTCTTGATGTCTTCTAGCCTAACTTCATTTAGAAAAAAATATGCTGAACATATTGTCACATGGAAAGTTTGGGGTGGCTACCTCAAGGCAAAGATAATTGTATATTTATTATTTGAGCGATTGCAACGACTTTTGATCCCTTTCTCTATTGAAAGGCATTCTGAAAAAAGTAGGAAATCTGCAACTGATCTCATTTTCAGAAAAGGTTGAGGTTCGACACTGAACCAGATTGATGATTTCGCTTTTGAGAAATTGCAATCTTTCACCGCCAATATGTTATGGTGGATGGGTCTAAATATTTCAATATACCCATTGTTGCTACAGTGGAGAATAAACCAGATGTCACAAAGGCTTAGGGCCAAAGTTATCGTCCAAAAAGGCCCCAATAACTCAAAGTGAACTCAAAATGTAGTTTTCCAAAAAGAATAATCTTCATGTTTCGACTCTTCATCAAGGATGAGCACGGAAAGCTGGGGTTCAAACTTTGTGATTGGATGTGTTTCCCCAAAATGCACTTTGGGAGTTGCAGTTCACTTTCACCGTTAGCTTTTCCGAAGACAGGTTTGTTCCTTCGACTCAAATATTTTTCTAGTATAGCTGTTAATCTTTTGACAATTGAACTGACAGTAAACCAAACATTGTCTACCCAGAAGATACATGGAAGCTTTACTTTTATGGAACCCAAAACAGCAGAAACAAGCTCCTCACATGTCTCTATCGTCAGGTTGACCAAAGAGAAACAGTTCTTGTATTAACCAATGCAATACAATCCATAAATAATGTGTATAGAAAAGGAGCCTTTCCAATACTTATAGAAAAGGGTAATGTTTTAGAGAGGAGCTAACCCTTGTGGTTCAATACTCTGTCTTTGTACATCTTTTTAAATGGATTTAAAATAAACTTAAAGTGGTGGAGGTTTTATTACAATTTAGGGGGACCAGAGGGGGAGTTTTCCTTTAAATAACTCATCTTCTCAGTTAAATGTGTTTCAGGGTTCTTTCATCCAGGAATCACCAGCACAAAGTCTTGTCAAAGTCACAGTTTCCACAAACTCGCTGTACAGTTTTTGCTTCATTTACCACGTGATAATACTTTGACAAACTCCAATAAAGTGCATGCATGATCGACGGTGTTCAGAAAACATTTTCAGTCAGTACTGTGATTTCAGACTGAATGTCAACGTAAGGCCGATTCAGATCAAATACTCAGTCGGTAAATTCAGTGCGCAGACGTCGCGTTCACGACTGCTGGCTTAGTTTTTCTTCATATTTTCAATAACAATCAAAGATAATAATAAAAAGTGCTGCTTGGTCATCATGTCGTCTGCCATCATTTCCCATTGTGTCTCACACAATAGGATGCATGATTGAAAAGACGTTTTCTACAGAACGAGTGCAATATACAATGACGGATGGGGACGTTTGACCCTGTAAGTCCAGTGGAGCCGTCAGCCTTTAGATAGAAAAAATCATATCTACAAATCCATACGCCTGCCAAGTGCCTCTTAATTGACAATAAAAACATCAAAACATGGAAACAAAGGTGTCCCTGTGCAAAGTCGAACATGACAGAACCAAAGTCCTTTCACCCGCGTCAGATTCCTAAAACATGATTGTAGTAAAAGGTTATACAAAACGCAATACATTTATAGTTAGTAAAAAGATCTATCTGCTCTATGCTAGTTTTATTCATAAGAAATTGCATATACCCAAACATTTTTTTTCATATAGATTGCATCCCATATCTAAACAAACAATTTAATATTATCGTACCAATATTGCTGACACATTGCCTTATTAGCTAGTTCAAGGTTGATGATTAAAAGAAATTCAGAATGGCAGATTGTCTCCTACGTTTTCTGTAGCCATTGGTCTTTCCGCTTCGTTCTCCAACAAAGAAAAGCGACGGTTTAAAACGAAACAACTCCGAAGGGGATGATGGGATTTGCACCAGTAAGTTTCCGTGTCATGATGTTTGAAATCTTCTTGCTTAAAGCATTGGTTCTTCTTCTACTTTAGCTAAAGATTTACAGTAATATTGTTTTCAAACATTACAAAAATCAATGAATTACATCCATAAAACAACCTGTTTTCAGCTCGTGAGAAAAACCTTTCAAAAATGATTGGTCTTCAGCTTTCCCATTTTTCCTTTCTGCTCCCCATGTAACCCGTGACGCCCAGTTTTTTCGCGTTAAAATAAGAAATGATTCAAGCTTACAATAAATAAATACATATACACTAGAATGTGCATACATTAGCAGCTATAAACAGTACATCACATTATATTAGGTCATATGAAAATGTACAAAACGTGAATGTTCGTTTAAAACGTTGTTTTTCAAAGCAAGGCAACGACAATCAAAATGATAAAAAAAGATACCCATGGAGTTGAGAGCATAAGAGCAGTATAATTAAAAGAGCTATCATAGATTACAGCAGCAAAAAACAACCCGTAACCCTCTTTTTGATCTTTTTTTGTTGTTGTTTTTGCTTTGCATTTGTTATTTTGGCCTCAGCCAGGGCTAGACCTGGATCCCCTGAACGGCCTGTTTGATGTTCTCCAGCAGCGCCTTGTTCTCCGGGCTCTGGTACTGGTCCTGGTGAGTGTACATGTCTGTCAATGTACTCACATAAGTGTCAAAGTTCTGTTCATTCATTGGCTCCTGTGAGGGAAAAGAAACCCATGAAGAAGAAACAAACAATCAGAGGGATTAGAGTTTGTGTTTTTCGACAGAATCAGTGTCTGTGAAACATTGTGGGAAAAGGTTTGGAGGACAAGCGGGAAGCAAGGGAGGAAGGGATTACCATCAGGGAAGCATGGCTTATTTACACAAATATTTCATTTTTAATAACGTTTAAATCTCTTGATTAATATCTATACTTCATCCTGTGAAAGTCTACGAAAAGCAACTCCAAAACATGCACAAATCAGGAGAGGGATGGTTGGCTAGTGGATGGATGGAAGGTTTATGTTTAGCATATGAAGACAAAATCAGGATTTTGAAAACTAATGGAAGATTTTTGTGCAGATGAAGGAGACACAACTGGAGGTTCGACGAGTTTTGGGACGTGAAGAAATGTCTAAGAAACAAAGAATTGTCGTCCTCATTACTAGCCTTACTGTTTGAGTTCAACACTAGTGTGCAAAGCAAACAAGCACTAGTGTTGAAACAACTTTGAACGGGTTTTACTGGGAAGTTCTACTGGAAAAAAATCAAGATTTCTGTTTTTTTGGAAAAGCAAAGTAATATTTCAAAATGGTGGCATTCCTCAAGGCGCGATAATAGGGCCCCTTTCTTTTGCCTTCTTGTGTGCTTTTTTAGTTCAATTTCTCAAAGAATGACGAACATAGTAGACAATTCAACACCTCAAGATTAACAACTAATGGCTATATTCATTGCCTGGTGTTGTGTGCTTTCTGTGGAAACACTGTCTCGTACAAAATCCAAATGTTTAACAATTGCACTAAACTCTTGTATCCTGCAGTTCAAATGGGTAGTTGGGAGGGAAGGGATGACAGTGCAGAAGAGAAGGATAATTGGATAAAGGATAAATGGATCTCTTACTCTGGGAGGCATCTGTAAACAGCAGTTATGCTTTACTGGGGCCTCTTTCTGTGGCAGCGGTTTCTACAGGAGAGGGTGTACAGAGAAGTCTTTTAGCCTATTAGGACACACAGTGGCGTCACAAGGCTTCATCGCTACACTGAGGAAAAAAAACTAAAAACGTCCGCCTCAACAAGTCATTATCCCTCCGGCTCTGTTCAAACTGCAGCTGAGAGCTTCCACAATTAAGAATCTTGAAAACAAAAGACTCTTTTAAAGAGTCTAGAAGTGTGAATCAAGCCTTAGATGCAACTTGGTATTTTCTGAAAACTGTCCAACGTAAATCGACAAATCTGAGGAATTTAGATGCAACTATATATATTTATATATTCGTGGTTTCAGGAGGGATGAAGATCAAATTCCTTGTTAAAACTGAATGTGCCGTCCCCCAATACTAGAAGGACAAAAGAGCTTTAGTTACCAGGTAACGTTAGGGTTACACTATGTTAAAAGAGATTATCCAATTAGCCCCAGTCTTCTTTCTCACTGAGACATTATGATGTAAAAACAGCCATCACTCAAACTGACAAGAGACGAGGCCGTTTGTTAATGTGAAACTCTGTGAGGCGTTGTAAAGCACAGAAGAAGAAGCACAGCATGGACCGTTGGGAAAAAAAGAAGAAGGTGGCGAACAGAAAGAAGCAGATGAGGAAATAACCCTGAGTGTTGTTATAGACTTCAATTAAAATCCTTTACAGATGTTAGCTGGCATCAGATAAGTGTGAATCTGTACTGTCCTAAGAGATGTCATTAAAATAGGGCTATAGGCAAGAAACAGAAAGACATCTAACATTAGATCCATCGGATAATATATTATATATACAATATTTAGTACATTATTAAGTCATAAAACGTATACTTTCTTCAATGGAAAAGCAACAAAATATGACTGATATGTTATATTCTTACCACTCTTTTAACCCTAACCTCATCCGTCAGGATCTGTTAGATATCATTTGTCAGAAATGAATCAAAGGCAAAGCTGATGAGTCTATATTATAGAATATATTTCTTTCTAAGCTTTGAAATGTTTCATATCAAAGATCATTTTCTTGTACTTCTCCTCCAAGGCTTGATGCACAAACGCAGCTCAAGGTCTAAGTTGACAAAGCCATTACAATGAAGTCATTTGAATGGTTTTAAAAAAAGAGTACCATCGAGGTACATATAGCTTCTCTTGGATAACTGGACTTAAACTCCCACTGTACATTTTACATTTATGTTCAATCTAATATTTAATAATCCATTTCTTGCACAATTAATGTATATATAATATCCTGCTTTTTATTTGTTACCGTAAATTTCCACATGTATAATTCTAACTTTGTTCATGCTATTTTATTTCTATTTGAGATGATTACATTTTGTTTATTTATAGTCTTTTAATTTCTCTTATGTACAATGCCTTTTCCTTTTATGCTGCTGCAACACAAACGTTTCCCAAATTGGGATCAATAAAGTACTTCTTATCTTATCTTATCTTATTTAAGATGTTTCTTACCCAGAGATGGCAAAAGTACACACATCCTTTACTCAAGTAGAAGTACAGATACTCGTGTTTAAAAATACTCTGGTGAAAGTAGAAGTACTGACTAAACTTCTTTACTCAAGTCAAAGTAAAGAGGGCTTTGAAATGTACTTCAGTAAAAAGTTCCCATAACTAGCAGCTGTTTTAAAGAGTACCTGACCTCCCTTTATATTAACAGAACAATAATGTCATTGTTAGCTAATGAATGTTTCCATGCTGAACAACGGCAACATGACAACGTTTTCATTGGTCCCTCTTCTTTAGAGAAGACCAGGAAATGATGGATACACGGATCGTGTTCAAATCAATAGGCACGCAATGACTCTAAATAATAATGATCACGCCACCAAACACACATTCAAACTAAAGGAACCAGCCTGTTTGGAAAATGTGAGAAGTAGAAAGTACAGGTATTTGAGTTCAACATGTAAGAAGTAGAAAGTACAGGTATTTGAGTTCAACATGTAAGAAGTAGAAAGTACAGGTATTTGGGTTCAACATGTAAGAAGTAGAAAGTACAGGTATTTGTGTTCAACATGTAAGAAGTAGAAAGTACAGGTATTTGGGTTCAAAATGTAAGAAGTAGAAAGTACAGGTATTTGGGTTCAAAATGTAAGAAGTAAAAGTAAAAAGTCGTCAGAAAAATAAGTAGTGGATAAAGTACTGATACCAGAAACATGTACTTAAGTACAGCAACGAAGTATTTGTACTCCACTACCTCCCACCTCTGCTCTCACCATGTGTGGAAGCTGGATGTTGGCGAGGCTGTTGATGAGCGACTGGCTGAGGTTGGCGAGCTCGTGCAGCAGCGAGTCGTTCTGATGCTCGATCACCTTGTTCTCCTCCTCGATGGACTTCAGGTTCGTCTCCATCGAGGTGATCTGCCATGAGAGGACAACAATTGTGAGCAGCATTTACTTTCTTTTATAATTGTGCACATTTCTGAACAATACGACCACTTTTGAAACTGTGCAGTTCTTCCACTTTTCTGCACATGTGTTTTCACAGTAGTTTAGTTCATGTTCTTATTCTGTTCTGTAAATGTTTATTTCCAGTAAAAATATGATATCTAGTCATATATAAGCCTGTTCTGTCTACAGATGTGCTAAACAAAAGCCAGCTGCTATTTAAGAAGTTTTTATATTTTGCAAGCGCTTCCGTGTAAAAGGCTGCATCATCTGCATACAGTCTGATTTAGTGAAATTCCCGTTACAACTTTTTTCTATATTAACGTCATAAACCCTTAAAGGTCGGGTAGGTAATTTTGGAGAAACCAGCTCGAGATCGCTAAAATTTGAAAATACACAACCGGAGAAAATCTGCCACTTCCTTACAGAGCCCCTCCTCCAACACACACGAACGCGCACATGACCAATGAGGGCACGAGATAAGTTTGTGCCCAGATGGAAGGCTGACAGGCAGGTAGGCCATCCAGTTATTTTAGCCGGGCCGGCTCAGATGATTGGTCGTGCTTTTTACAGTACTACGGCTTCCACAGATGATATTTTTCTATGGATTTTTTGTCAAAGCACTTCAGATATTCATTGCTATCGGGATGTTAAGAGCATTCCATGGAATACAACAAAAAGTGTATCTCGAGCCGGTTTCTCAAATGTACCTACCCCACCTTTAATACTGACAATAGTTAAACAGTTAATACACATTTTTAGTCTGTCACTAGACTCTGGTTCGTCTCCATCGTGGTGATCTGCCTTGTGAGGAAACCAATTGTCAGCAGCATTTACTTCGACAATTTTGCACATTTCTGAACAATACGACCACTTTTGAAACTGCGCAGTTCTTCCACTTTTCAAATATCTGCACATGTTTTTTCACAGTAGTTTGTCATGTTCTTATTCTTTCCTGTACATTTTAATTCAAAGTAGAGATTGAATATCTATTAATATACAAACCTGTTTTGATTAAAGCCTTGTTTACTCTTCATATCTGGTGAACAAAGGCCGGCTGCTCTTTAAGAATTTGAGATATTTTGCAAGCTCTTCCATATAAAAGGCTGCATCATCTGCATACAGTCTGATTTAGTGAAATGACCTTCACAATTGTTTTTCTATATTAACGTTTTAAACCCTTAATACTGACAATAGTTAAACAGTTAATACACATGTTTAGTCTGTCACTAGACTCTGGTTTATTTTGTATCTGGTTTCCAAAGGAGCATTAACCCATACACCTAATTTATTTATCTGAATCAGTCGAAAAGGGTCTTACTTGTGTCCTCAGTTTTATCATGTCGGACTCCACTTGATTGTTGGACTCGTTCAGATCTTTGATTTCTTCATCCAGCTGTTTGATTTCTTCATCATTTTCGATGCCTGACACCAAAAACAACATGTGATCAGATTTAGAAGCTGCGATTTTTCTTCTTCTTTTTTCAAAATGGTTTTTATTGCGTTTGACTCTGACCTTTGCTTGCTCTTTGCTTGATTGTCAGCATCTCCACGCCGCTCATCCTCGCCTTCTTCATGGCCGAGGTGGCACGGGGACAACCGGAGAGACTGGAATAAAACACACACACACACACAGGCATACATTGACGAAAACTTGACTGATATGGGTTATCAATTTGCTGCAAAATGTACAAATCTGTGCTAGCTCATATCCTACAGTACAAATGAACAGCTTCTGCCTAGGAAGTAATTGTTATTATAATACCATATCATCTGCATAAGCATATTTAAATGAAAACAGTAGCCAATGACACAAAGCCACGCCCATCTTATCTTATCTTTCAATGAAAACTCAAAGTAAATACAGAACTGAGTCCAGATCAAATGCACGCTAAAGGCTCTTTGAGCATGTTTTCTCTCAGTGATTGTACTGTTATGTTAAATGTTTGTTATTTGTTTTTCATGTATTGTGTCGTATCGTATCGTAAAGACAGTAGCCAATGACACCACAATTTCATTCGGGATAAATAAAGTCCTATCTTATCTTATCTTTAAACTAAAACAGTAGCCAATGACACAGAGCCACGCCCACCTCCGATGTGTGAGGAAGCTCCCGCTGACGTGTCCCGATCCGTCACAGCCGGGCGTCGGGCAGCTCATGCCGTCGGTCTTCCCCGACTTCCAGACGAACTGCGACCCGTTCACGTAGCTGTCCTTCTGCCGCTTGGCCGCCAGGGGGCAGCCCGACGCACTGCGGTGGGACGCGTACTTCCCCGTCACATGACCCTGCCCGTCACAACCCGGCACTGGACACCTGAGAGGAAGAAGAGGAAGAAGAAGAAAAAGTCCAGGAGAGGAAATTAATCAGTCAGAGTTTAGTTGCATTTGTTTGGTTTTTCTAACTAGCATGGGGGAGTTCTTGAAACCCTTAGATGTATCACCTCAAAATATTGTTAACCTATCCAAAACGATATATGCATACAGTTTCGTAAGCTTATCAGTATTTGTTTTAACGCAAACCATGATCTTTCTTTAAACCTTACGCAGCAGTTTTGTGCAAACCTAAGTTAGATGTTTCCTGTTAAGACAGAAGTATATTTTGAAAAGACTATTTGGAAATGGACAAATGGGGCGGGTCATTTGTAGGAAAACACAGGAAACAAACCACTTCTTTTCATTAGATTTGCAAACCTTTGTATCGGGATATGTTTGAGTTACTGAGCTAAAACATGAAAACCACTGCAGATTTTTCCAAAGTGTCTGTTCGGAGGGAGGGAGGTCACAACAAGACGGGTTTTTTTTCCTAGAAAAAAACCTGGAAAAGAGGGGTCGTCTTAAATTCGGGGTCTAGACTTTTTGATGTAATTACACAGTCACGACAACAGATCAAGTCCAACGAGTGTTCCCCCAAGCGAGACACCGTCTTAAAGTACGGTAACAGCAACAGCAGAGAGCTAGAGACCAACTCCAACAACGTGGCTCAAAAGTAGCCGAGTTAATAATCAAAAGAGGCGAAGTTACGATGCCAATTTTAAGATAATGGTGATCAACGAAGCAGAGTCATCAAACAACTGTCGAGCAGCAAAGAAATATGGTGTTACTGAGTGTAATGTTAGAAGATGGAGAGCCCAAAAAGACTGCCTTAAAATGTAAACAGTGGGAGAAAAGCATTGCGCGGTCCACTTCCCAGAGCAAAGAAAAAGGTATTTTTCCAAAAATGGGTCTTGAAAAAGAGGGGTCTTCTTATATTCGGGTCAATACGGTAATTTCCAAGGCCCCAAAGATGAGCAGGACGCACTCAGCTTGCTCTGCAGATGACACCTCCTCAATTTCTACCCAGCCTCCTTTGCTTCTAGATCCCTAAACGCCTTCCTTTGTGACATTTGTTCTGATTAAAAATGAGCCTGAGCTGAGGTTAAGCTTAATTATTATCCACCGTTAACGACGGAGCAGCAACAGCTGGCCGCAGACTGACACCCGCTGAACTTAGATTCTCAAGGTCGTTTTGTCTTAGCATTACGGCTCTGCTTTAAGGGAAATGTCAGACGCTCACTAGTGCTAACCTTTAGTGGATCGGGTCTGCTGGGAAACGTGAGGTGAAGTGGAAAACTAACTGTAGATCCTTTCTAAAATATTCCCTCCCAAAGTAAGAAAGGTCAGCGCACACGGGCCACATTTTAAGAGACAGTGGATGGATGGATCGGTCTGAGAACTGTCACTGTAATGAGGCTATTTTTATATCTCTTTATATATTCATAGGAAATATGAATGTTGAGGTTATAAAGTTAGGAAAGTGGTATCAATACAGAGTGCTCCGTATGTTCTAAGGCGCAGATTTGTTGGTACATTTTCAAGTTAAATTACTCATCAATTAGTCAACAGAGACAGATACAACACTTATATTAATCAATTCATCGTCATAAGTAATATGTCCACTTTTTCCAGCATCAAAAGGCAGCTGTTTTTGTTTTATTGACACTATCCGGGCAACAACACCTAGTTGAAAAACTGTGCTACAGAATAAATGTTGATCATTGTAACCCTAACCCTAACCCTAACCCTAACCCTAACCCTAGCTGTCCACAAATCCAGGGGTATGTTCCAATACCTTCAAAATTGCATTTCTTTTTCTTCTTACTTGAATTGTCCCGCCACAGTAAGAGATTGAGGGTTCAAGGTGCAGTTTTATGACAGAGTAAGATGTCTTAATTGAGTGCATACGGCATGCTGTACTTTGTAAGTGCAGCCTCAGGTTGTATTAAAGTACAAATATTGATTTAGAAAACAGCCCAAGTGTGCAAAGCTTGTTGCAACTTCATCGAGAATACAACTAAAGTACAGTATCTGAATCTTGTCAACGTGACAAAGGGGAGACCATAGTAGACTTTAAATCCTCAAATTGTCCGAAACGTTCCTACAAATGAATCCTAATTTGAATAGGTGTCTGCTGGAAGTGTAAACAGGCAACTGGTTTCCAAACAAGTATGTCATAAATGCTTGATATCTCCTCAAAAAATTAAATGTTCTCTCTCATTAAAGGTGGGGTAGGTAAGTTTGAGAAACCGGCTCGAGATACACTTTTTGTTATATTCCATGGAATGCTCTTAACATCCCGATAGCAATGAATATCTGAAGTGCTTTGACAAAAAATCCATAACAAAATCTCATCTGTGGAAGCCGTGGCGCTGTAAAAAGTACGACCAATCATCTGAGCCGGCCCGGCTAAAATAACTGGATGGCCTACCTGCCTGTCAGCCTTCCATCGGGGCACACACTTATCTCGTGCCCTCATTGGTCATGTGCGCGTTCGTGTGTGTTGGAGGAGAGGCTCTGTAAGGAAGTGGCAGATTTTCTCCGGTTGTGTATTTTCAAATTCTAGCGATCTCGAGCCGGTTTCTCAAACTTACCTACCCCACCTTTAATGTCACAAAATTAACTGGTTTTCATCGTCATTCTGTTTGTCCTTTCCTTCTCGACCGCTCGGGTTCATAAGGGTTTTATTTAGCTCTTGGACTCTTGTTTTTGGCTGTGAAACACATCTCTGTGACTGGATGTGATGAAGGTGTCTGGCTCTCTTCCATCAGAGAGAGTTAAGGAGCTAATTTAAGAGCCTTATTTAGTAAATTGATGGAATAAAATGATTGCAAAGATACTTTTTGGAGGGTACTATTCAAAGTTCCCTCCTGAAACTTCCCATTATTCATATTTAAAAATAACAAAATCGTACTTGATTGGCTCCTGGTCGTCCTTTTCCTCTTTGCTGTGGAGGATTTTGATGCCGCTCTTCTTGGCTCGTGGACATCCGGACAAACTGCGGGACAGAAGACACACGTATATATAAAAACCGGTACAGGGGAGTACTGATTATTTCATTTGTTGCATCTCCAAGCATGACTGCAGCCAGTTGTTGTCTAAAGCGTGGTTACTGCACCTCCTGTGGGAGGCATAGTTTCCAGTGATGTGTCCAGATCCATCGCAGCCGGGGGTCGGACACCTGAGGCACAAACAGAAGCGTTAAAAAACGGCCCTGAATTTACCACCATCCAGGCCTGGTCTGCGGTCAAATCATCTTAGAATCCATCTTTCTTGGGAAGATTGCAAACAAACTATACTAGCTGTACGAATTGTTTTAATGCTAACAATGCCAAGATCCGTGTTTTGATCTGATTCCTGTTTTATTTTGAAGGTCTGCGGTCAAATCATCCAAGAATCCATTTTTCGTAGGAAGATTCCTACTGAACTGTACTAGCTGTACGGACTTTTTTAACGCTAACAATGTCAAGATCCTTGTTTTAATCTTTTGTCTGTTTTATTTTGAAGGTCTGCGGTCAAATCATCTTAGAATCCATCTTTCTTGGGAAGATTCCTAACGAACTGTACTAGCTGTACGAACTTTTCTAATGCTAACTATGTCAAAATCCTTGTTTTGATCTGATTCCTGTTTTATTTTGAAGGTCTGCGGTCAAATCATCTTGGAATCAATTTTTTTAGGATGATTCCTAACGAACTGTAGCCTACTAGCGGTACGAATTGTTTTAATGCTAACTATGTCAAGATCCTTGTTTTTATCTATTTCCTGTTTTATTTTGAAGGTCTGCGGTCAAATCATCTTGGGATCCATCTTTCTTGGGAAGATTCTTAACTAACTGTACTAGATGTACGAACCTTTCTATGTCAAGATCCTTGTTTTTGATCTGATTCCTGTTTTATTTTGAAGTTCTCTCCCACTGTGTCTTGTTACTTCCTGTCTTTGAGTGTTTTCCCGCCTGTTTTGATTGTCTGTCCTTGCTTTAGCTGCACTTCATCCCCTCGTTAGTTTCAGCTTGTATTTAAATCCTGGTTTTCTGTTAGTCTTGGTCAGATTATTGAATGTCCTTCAATGTGTAGATCTGGTCTGGTCTGGTTTGGTCTGGTTTGGTCTGTTCTGATCCGTTCTGTTCTGTTCTGGTTTGATTTGGTTTGGTTTGGTCTGGTCTGTTCACGTTTGGTCTGGTTTGGTCTGGTCTCTTCTGGTCTGGTCTGGTTTGGTCTGGTCTGGTCTCCAACCCTTACCTTGCATTGCCTGAATAAAACCTAAAACAGTGAAAAATTGATGCTTGGCATGTGTGGCTATAAATCCAAATCCATGGCTTTAATGTTGATGGTTTATTATTTCATCTTCTCCAGTCCCTTCTCTTTTCTTTTTTGTTTTCGTTACTCCAAAAAATGTAAGAAAGATGTTCAACGGAATGTCAATGAGCTCTCGAGCAACTGTGAAAAGGTAGCTGGCCAAATAGCGTAGTTTTGGATGTGCTCATTTTCTTTTAAGACAAACCAACATCTCCATAGTCTCTGAAGTCGATCTCTTTGCCCCGCAGTCGTCCTTTTGACCTATTGATCTTTTGGAAAAGCGGTTAGGAAAACACTTCCTGTAGGACAAACGTAATTTGAGTATTTGACCGCAGCCCAGGTCTCGCTTAGTGGTCTTGACTGCAGCCATGCTCTGAACATGCTCGGAGTATTTCAAACTGAAGAATCACCTGAGTTCTTGTGCGTTGGGACTCATCATCCCGCGGATGTTCTTGTCGGCCACCTGGCAGCTCGACAACCTGCGGGAGGAGAAGAGATACAAACTGAATATTTACAATAATTCAACCTGACTTTGAAGCTTGTATTTACTCAAATTTAAACACAGAAACTTTTTAAAGGTCCCCTATTATACTGTTCTTCATCAATATATCACAGGTCTCAGATATATACAGAACCTGTCTCTGATTGGCTGAAACACCAAACAGATCATTGATCCCATAATCCCCTCTGTTTCAGCCCTGTTTCAAAAGTGCTGATTCTCTGTCTGTTACTTTAGATGAAAATAAGGAGCCCCTCCCCACGCCCCTCTGAGAGAGATTTGGTTAAAAAGAACTCAATGGTGCTCTAGGAGGAGATTCAGGTGATAAGGTGTGGGGGGGTTACCTTGGTTGGTTATTGGCTAATGGTACCACAAGCCGAAAGAACATTGTGACATCACAAAGTGTACAAAATCTGATCAGCTCATTTTCAGACCGGTTTTTATATGAATGGATCAGGACAAAAAGTGAGAGAATCTTTTTTCCTGAAACTTTTAGAGTCTCTTTAGACAAAGGGGACACATGTTTACTGTATGTATAAAAGACATAAAAAAGTGAATTTTGTATCATAGGTGACCTTTAAGGACTGGTCTAACTTTCCTCAAATAATAACGAAGTGACTGATTGATTGTTGTGCTTTTATCTTAATGTGTGCATATGTATAAATGTGTCTGTAGATTGTGTATATATAGGTATATACATATTTGTATACATATTTTTATATATATTTGTATTTTGTATTTGGGATTGTGGGAAACGGTATTTCGATCTCTCTGTCTGTACACACAAACTGACAGATTGACAATAAAGTTGACTTGGACTTTTGACTTGACGATGATAGTCAGTTAATGTTTCCCATGATGGAACGACATATTGAAGTCTTGTTGGCTTTTATTTAAAGGGGACCTATCATGCAAAATGCACTTTTGTACGTCTTTTATACATGAATATGTGTTCCCGGTGTTCCAGGGAACTCACCAAGTGTCAGAAAACACAACCCTCTCTATTTTCCTCCATACCCAAATCTCTAAAAAAGGGGCTGCAACGGATCTGATAAAAACTGATCCAGATTTGAACACTGTCCTGACGTCAGGACGGTGGTGCTACGGCTATTGGGCCAACTCCACCAATCAGGAGGAGACAGCCACGGCCATTGCCGTTCGAAAGCGCTGGAGACGCTGTAGTACAAAAAGTATAAATATGCCTTATATAGGTATGGTCCTACACTATATTATTCAAATATAGCATGATAGGTCCACTTTAAGCTTGTTATTCAGGGTTGAAGTTGTTGAAATAATCTATATTATGTAATCATGTGTTGTAAGCCATGCTCTTGAGTTTCATCCTTTAGTTTATTTAAAGAGACTTTTGTACCATTAATGTGCACATGTCTGTCTGCAGCGTGTTAGTGAGCATAGGGTCTTGTAACATGTGATTGTAAAAAGTCGAAATATATAGTGCTGTGTTAACTAAAAAGAAGTGTATAAAACCTGTGAGACTCTGTTATTCTTTAGACAGACACATATACTCTTGGTGGACTTGACGCAAGTATTCTGGCTCGTATAGTGTTGTACAACAATATAATAATTCCTTCAATCAGCAGTGTGTCTGTGTTTCTATTTTGATATATTTGGTTATGTCTTGAGTGTCTAAGGTTTCGGATCCATGACAAAGTAGAGTTGGTTCTTACGTGATGAGCTCCTTCTTGCCCTCCTTGCAGGGCGGGTACTTGTGGTGTTTGGGGCTGGGCATGGTGACCTCTGCCGGGTAGCGCTGCTCGTCCATCAGCTCCTGGAACGGGTCCATCTCATCGCCCTGGTGCAGGGACGAGAAATAAGAAGACTACGATACGTCACTACATGCTCACAGATTATAATCATATCGGACAAAGAATAATCAATACATCATGATGTGATTTAATGCATCCTTTTTAAAATATAATGTCACTTTGTAGTGCGACACTTTTGGAGAGAGAATTGCCGATGACAATTTATAGTTAGACAGATATTTGAGGCAGTTTTATTTATCCTCTGTAAAACAGTTCTGATTGGCATGTTTGATCATGCAATTTAGTGATAATGTAAGCCTTTTAAAACGTTCTTCTGTTTCTATTTCATCTTTATCAAATTATTTGTTTACAACAAAATAACAATGATTTTAATTTGGGGTGAATTTACGAGTTGACCAACAGAAAAACCTAATAATAATCTTGCTATTCTTTTTCATTCTATGTGGGAGTTTTATTTCAATGTTATGTAATAATAAACTGAATATCCTTGTGTTTTTGACTGTTGGGGCTCTAAGGAAATATATATCTATAGAACAAATTAAAAAGCCTTAATCACAATTTGCATTGCGTTTGAGACCAAATAAAGAAGAAAATGATTGAATGCTTAAAAGCAGTTATTTGACCTGTTATTGTAATTATTGAGTACCCTGACAAAAGTCCCCATTATAACAGCTTCATTTTTGAGCTTTTTCTTCACGTGTAATGCTTCATTGATAAATATGAAGCAAAATTGGTCCCGTTGGGCTCAGAAAATGAGTCTGTGATTCTGTGAATACTGCAGTCTACTCTGCAGTGCTCACATCACATCACTCCTCCCCAAGAATGTTTCAAGACCGCCTAAAAAGAATCCCATCAGCCGGCGAGCTGCAGGCTCCGGCCTCCTCGGAAACGTCGTGCTTCATTAACAAACGCAATTACTCTCCTGATTAAAACCTTTCACTTCAGCGCTCTAAATCCAACGAGGCAAATGTAGCAATTTGCTGCATGGATTGCTCTGTGTGATATCAGATCTGCGAGGGTTTAAAGCGTGCAGAAGATCTAACGTGTTTTACTTATGTATTAGTGCTGTAATTCAGTTTTTTAATGCACCGTGCTCGAAACTCCTGAAGCGTTTATTCAGAGAGAAGCTGTTGATGCATGAAGTGCCGATTTGAACCACATGATGGCGCACTGAGGCTGGTGGAGAAACCTCATCAACCAGAGCTATTTCAAACTTAAAGGAGACATATCACAATCACTTCTAAGTTCATACTTTTGTATTTGGTTTTAAAAAGAACACGTTTTGCAGCATTAATGTTTAAAAAATACAAAAAACGTCTCCTAACATCTGTTTTCACATTCTATCTGAGATTTCTAACTAACTGTACTAGATGTACAAACTTTTCTAATGCTAAAAATGTCAAGATCCTTGTTTTGATCTGATTCCTGTTTTATTTCTGAAGTTCTCTCCCACTGTGTCTTGTTACTTCCTGTCTTTGAGTGTTTTCCCGCCTGTTTTGATTGTCTGTCCTTGCTTCAACCATAGTTAATTTAAACTTAAAGGAGACATATCATGGCCACTTCTAAGTTCATACTTTCATCTTGGGTTTTTAATAGAACATATTTACATGCGTTAAAGTTTAAACAACAGATTATTTTTCTCGTAACATCTGTCTGAATATACCCGTTTTCACGTTCTGTCTGAAACGCCCTGTTTTAGCGCCTGTCTCTTTAAGGACCTCATCTCAAAATAGCTGCTCTGATTGGCTGGCATTTCTTGTAATCAGAATTTAAATGTACCCTAAACGAGCGCTACTGTATAGTTAAGAAATCACATCCTTTTACAAGTTCATAGTTTCTCAATAATAATAATATACTATGGGGGTTATTTCCTATCTTTATTCAAGAGCGTGGTATTTAAATTTGAGAGCATACTTTATTGATTTCACGTTCAGATTATGTATTTCTTTCCCTCAAACCCTGTCCTCACACTCAAATAGTGCCTGCTTGCACTTAGATTTGCTCTGCTTCTGCTCAAACTGTACGCTTGCACTCAGATATATTGCTGCTTACAGATTTCCTGTGTTCCAGCTTAAAACCTTCTCCTCGCACTCAGGCTGTTTCTGTGCGCTCGTGAAATGTCTGCTCTCAGATTTCTTCTGTGCGCGCTCGGATCTTTTGTGCAACAACCCTGTCAAAATCCCTCAACCAATAGGAGGCCAGTTGTCCTTGCGGGTGCGTTCGCTTTACTTATTAGAGCGTCCCGTAAGGGCGGTTCCTCTTTGGTTTATAAACTACCGCCCTCCACGGCTTTATAACATAACATGTACTTCACTTGTTTAATTTACAACTTTTAGAAGGGGGGAAGCACAGTTAGTATATATATATCAGCACCTTACATAATAGCTACGTTCTGTGGCGGACTGGGACTAAAAATTGCTAGTGAATTTTCCGACCGGCCCCACTTCTGTACCGGACGTCCCATGTCCAACATGGAGCAAAGTCAAGGACCCCTATTGTATATAGATATTCATATATCACGGCCTGAAGTGAGCTATTGCATTTATAAAACGGTTACCACGTGTGGCTGGCAATATGATAGAAAAATACACACTCCAATTTAAATAGTTTTTATTATTAAATAATGATGTTCAAAATAAAATAGTCCCTCCGTTGCCTTCTGCACAAAACATAGTGCGAGGTGGTTGCTATGCAACAAAAATAACAGCTAGCGAACATATTAGACAGACAGCATTGTCGTCGTTTAGGTGCTTTGTTTTTTCTGGAGATAGGCACTTCTCAATCCACTCCTCCATAGTAAGGCCACCCCGGAGGTCGAAGTTAACCTTAAATGTTTCCATCTTAAGCTTTGTTAGTTAGTTTCGTAACGGACGTAATGTAACAGTTGTAGCTGTTGGTTGTAGCTTTTCTCAGACGCGGAGGGATACTGACTTGTGAAAAGTAACTACAATTATACCCGGGATATACGCTCATTATATCACGGCTAAGAAACATCAGATTGCTTGATTTGACTTGTCCGTTTTAAATATACTAACTGTGCTTACCCCCCCCCCCCCCCAAAAAAAACAAGTGAAGTAAATGTGATAAAGCCGTGGAGGGCGGTAGTTTATAAACCATAAGTAAAGCGAACGCACCCGCAAGGACACCTGGCCTCCTATTGGTTGAGGGATTTTGACAGGGTTGTTGCTCAAAAGATCCGAGCGCGCACAGAAGAAATCTGAGAGCAGACATTTCACGAGCGCACAGAAACAGCCTGAGTGCGAGGAGAAGGTTTTAAGCTGGAACACAGGAAATCTGTAAGCAGCAATATATCTGAGTGCAAGCGTACAGTTTGAGCAGAAGCAGAGCAAATCTAAGCGCAAGCAGGCACTATTTGAGTGCGAGGACAGGGTTTGAGGGAAAGAAATCAATAAAGTATGCTCTCAAATTTAAATACCACGCTCTTGAATAAAGATAGGGAATAACCCCCATACAATACGGGCTTACACCTGCTTTTTATCCAAAAAGGTTTGAAAATCAACATTTTTTCAATAGATTATGGGACTTAGAAGTAAAGTAAAATAAATCCTCTAATGATTCCTCCCACTCGTAAATGTAAGAATAAATGCCATCTATTAAATTACTTTGACTTAAAAGTGCTCTTAAGTTTAGGAGATGTACATAAGTAAAAGAGAAGCTGTAAATGTTCTGAAGGGATATATCTATAAGTCAGATTTATATTCATTTGATTTATATATTAAGAACATTAAAATGGCTCGGTCTTATAGAGAAGCATTTTGATGAGGAACATATACTTTTTAAGAGACATTGTGTGTGTCATAACTCTGTATTTAGTCCCTTACATTTCACTTCCATGGTCACATAAAAGTTGCTCTTAAAGGTTCACTCTTTGCAGAAAGGAAAAATAAATAAAAAAGTAGTTTTTTCTCTCTTCGCCGCTGTTAATTACTCAAAGTTCGATGGTTACAGATCCTTACACATTGTTTTAAGATAGAAACATTTCTCTGTTTTACAGCATCCATCTTTGTCTCTGTCCTTTCTCTTATTATTTGGCTGCAAGTGCTATACCATTTCTATTTAGTGGCTCCAGGGTGAGCAATAACAGCAGAAACTCGGCTGTGATGTACAGTTTTGGCAAGCACTGTGCCGTTTCCATGCCTTTGGTTACTGCAGCTGTACATAGTGGACCTTTTTAAACTCACAAAATTCCCTCTTATGTATGTAAAGCGATGCAAAAATGATGCGTACTAGAAACCAAAAGTACGCCCTCGCAAAATAAGTTCACAACTTCTCCATAGTGCTTTTCCGCCGTGCATCAGAGCACAAGCATCCCTTTAAAAAGCTTATAAAGCGTTATCATCTCTTAATCTATGTGTGCACCCTTTAATATAAACGCCTTAAATCTCTCAATTTCATGCTTCATATTATCCTTACTCTGTATGATCAGGGGACAGACTGCCTTAATATTAGATAAGGTGGATAACGCCTTTAATAAGAACTGTAAGGGCAGAGTGTGGAGAATGAGCAGCATTTAGAGCTTCAATTTGGTGTGAAAATGATTCAACTTTTACATCAGTTATTCAATGGTTATCATACAGTCCTCTTCAAATGACACGTTTTAGGTGGCTGTTGGAGTTAAGACATATCATTTTCTCTGCCTCCATATCAATGAACTTGTTATAGTTTGAACTGACCCCATTGTATGATATTGTACGATGTCTATACACTTTTAACTATTGCTGATGACTGTAAACTTACCCCAGCAAACCATTGACAATACCTGGTGATTGCAACATTGATTATGACTGTAAAGATCAAACTATTGTAAATAAACTACCCAATGAAACCATTGATGATAATTTTTTAAACTTTGAATTATAGAAAATTGACCCCCGGCTTTCAACTATTGTACAGAAGTTACCCCAGGAAACCATTGATGATGCTTTTTAACCATTTTATAAAAATAACCACAAGAACCCATAAAAATAAGCTTGTAGAACTTTAACTATTGGATGGAAATTACCCCAAAAGTGCCATTGATAATGTTACATTTGCACTATTGGATGGAAATTACCCCAGGAAACCGCTGCTGATAACTGTAATTTGTTTAGATATTGTTAATAAATACCTCAAAAACCCAGGAAACCATTGATGATCATTTTTTAAACTTTGAATTATACAAAATGACTCCCGGAAACCATTGACGATATACCCAAACTTTTAACTACTGTACAGAAATAAAATGTATAAGTTAATAAACGTTGATTTATAGAAATGATCCCAAGAAATCAATGACGTTGACTGTTTACTTCCAACTATTTGATCAAAATGACCACAGGAAACTATTGATGATGCCTGTAAACTAAACTATTGTATAGAAATTACCCAAGGAAACCATTAACATGACTGTAAATTCCAACTATTCTACAGAAATTACCAGGAAACAGCATTGCTGATGACTGCAAACTTTGATCTATAGGTATTACCCAAAGAAACCAATGGCGTTGACTGTTTACTTCAAACAAATGTATCAAAATAAACCCAGGAAACCATTTATGATGCCTGTAAACTAAACTATTGTATCGAAATTACCCCAGGAAAAAGCATTGCTGATGACTAGGGATGTCCCGATCACCTTTTTTTGCTCCCGATCCGATTCCGATCATTTGATTTTGACAATCTGCCGATACCGATTTTTCCCGATCCGATCTTTATGCAATGCATTAAGAGAAAAAAAAGGTAACAGATAACGGCTGGTCATCCAACGCGATGAATTCGGCTATCTTGGCTGTTATTTCTTTGGCCTTTTCACTGTTCTGGGGCAGTTTCTCTTTCCTTTTAAAAGTCTCTGAAAGTGTCGGTTGTTTCAGTGCCGTTACGTGAGTGGCCACTGTGTACTCGTCGTGTTGTTGTTGGTGTTTGTTTCTCAGGTGGCGTATTAGATTGGTCGTGTTGAACGTAGCTCTGTTCTTTCCACCACGCGGAACCTCCGCCTTGCAAACATTGCATCTGGCTGTTACACTGCCTTCGCTTTCAATTTTATAATACTTCCAAACTCCTGACATTTTCTCTGTCCCGACTCCCGAGTCACCAGCTGAACGTAGCCTCTTGTTAGCTTACTGCTACTATTAGACACTGCGCCCTGCCCACTCTGTTGCCAGATTTGAGAGAAATAAGCAACCAGGTCTATGAAAACAAGCCCAAAAGAAGCAACACATACATGATGTTGTGTAATTTTAAACCAAAACTAAGGCCTCAGGATGACTTTAAGACGTGAACATGGTCATTTTTGTATTGTAACATTAAATAAAATAATAAAAATATTTTATAAAAAAAAAAATTCCCGATCCCCGATTTTTTTTCTCCCGATTCCGATCTTTTGAAAATCACGTGATCGGCTCCGATCCCCAATCACGTGATCGGATCGGGACATCTCTACTGATGACTGTAAACTTTGACCATTAGGAATTACCCAAAGAAACCAATGGCATTGACTGTTTACTTTGAAAAAAAGAGATAGAAATTACCCCAAGAAACAATTAACGATGACTGTAAATTCAACCTATTCTATAAATATTACCAGAAAGAAGCATTGAGGGTGACTAAACGTTGATTTATAGAAATCAAATGATGACGTTGACTGTTTACTTCAAACTGTTTGATCAAAATGACCCCAGGAAAACAGTGATGATGACTGTAAAACTTGAGCTATAGAAATGACCCCAAGACACTATTGACAATGACCGTAAACTTTGAATGATGTATAGAAAATACGCCAAGAAACCATTGAGAATGATCATACGTTCAAACTATTGTATAGAAATGACCAAAAAAAACATTGATGATGACTATAAACTTTGATCTTGAGGAATAACCCAAAGCAATCATTGAAGTTTACTGTTTACTTCAAACAAATGTATCAAAATGACCCCAGGAAACCATGTATGATGCCTGTTAGCTATAAACTACAACTTGTATGATGTTTTTTCTGTGTGGTGAACCTTCTTCTACCTCTTTGTGGTCGTGCTCGTCCCCGATCCGTTTGATCTTGTAGTCGACGGGCAGGTCCCAGCAGTCGGCTTCGCTCAGCTGATAGCACCGGCTGCTGAGCAGAGCCTGGCGCTGCGGAGACATCGGCTGCAGGGGCGTCAGCACGGTGCCACTGCCCTCCGGACCCCCGGGCTGCCCCCCCACATCCACTCCCCCGCCATCATCCAGATCTCCAACCGGGCTCTGAGGAGGGAAGAGAGGGGAGGATGGTGAGCAGAGGTGGGAAGTACAAATACTTCATTACTGTACTTAAGTACAATTTTCTGGTATCAGTACTTTACTCCACTACTTATTTTTCTGACGACTTTTTACTTTAACTTCTTACATTTTGAACACAAATACCTGTACTTTCTACTTCTTACATTTCCCAAACAGGCTGGTTCCTTTAGTTTGAATGTGTGTTTGGTGGCGTGATCATTATTATTTCGAGCCCTCTTTACTTTTACTTGAGTAAAGAAGTTTAGTCAGTACTTCTACTTTTACCAGAGTATTTTTAAACACGAGTATCTGTACTTCTACTTGAGTAAAGGATGTGTGTACTTTTGCCATCTCTGATTGTGATGGTCAACAAGCAGAGAACTGGAAAAACAATGACGCTGGAGAATCTAAAAATAAGGTTTATTAAAATGCATGGCCAAGAAAAACTAAGAGGCGAACACAGGTATAAAGTCACATAGTACGCCACCTAAAGATTAAGATGGACATCAAAACACTTCCTGGTGTGACCTGAGGCCTACATTAAGGATTCCTAAAGGCAGACGGGAACAACCGGGCTCTGATGGAGGGGAAGAGAGGGGAGGATGGTGACGGTCAACAAGCAGAGAACTGGACGAAAAACAAGGAAGCTGGAGAATCTGATGTCTAACTCTGATGTCTGCTCTTACATTAACCCAAAAACCATTCATCATCACCAAATTGTATTTAACACTCTTTTAAGCTGTAGACAATGTCTCAGAGGGCAGGTTTGCATGAATAACTGCAGTGAATATACAAATAATAATCGCTGAAAATGTTTTCCAAAATTAAAATGTTGTCGATTTGGTTGTGTAATATCTGATGGATGAACATATTCTAGGGTTACCCATTCATTTCCTATGGCGGTCATTTTTTACTGGGAAAATCATAGGTGTAAGAAAGTTGACTAAACCACTCAAAATTGAAACTGGTGATCAGCAAATGTTATATGTTCATAAGCCTACTGTGGAGGATATCATAAGGCCTTGAGACAATCAAATGTGAAACACAATACAATACTTATGATTGATGAAAGTAGTAAATCGGTCAGATTTGATCCGAACACAACAGGAGGGTTAAAAGGCTTGGCCAATAAAAAATTAAAATGAAAAATACAAGCAAATACAACTATGCAGGCATATTGTATGCCACCTAAAGATGGACATAACAACACTTTGTTGAGTCTAGTCATGTTTCATGTTTTTGTTTAGTCAATTTTTGTATTGTCTCCCACTTCCTGTTTTGTTTTGACACTCACCTGTTACGTTTCATTCCAGGTTCCTTGACTCCCTACCCTTGTGTGTGTCTCCCGCTCTCATCAGCGCCAGCCCCGCCCCTGATTGTTTCCACCTGTGCCCAGTTACCTCTTGTTTAAATTCCCCAGTCTCCCCTTGTCTTGTGTCAGTTCGTCTTGTCCTGTCTCCATGTCAGTAGTCTGCGTACCAGCAGTTACTTATCTTATCTCAAGCCTGATTCATGCTCCTGATTTTCTTTGTACGTTTTGTTCCTCACTTGGTGAGCGATTTTCTTTTATGCCTTGTTGAGCCCTTTTTCACCTCGTTTAAGAGTGTCGATCTTTTTTTGTATTTCTATTTTTTGAAAATAAAGTATTTACATCTGTCTCCCGGGTCGTGCATTTGAGTCCTTTACCTTGTGTATCCTGCTGTGACCTAAGGCCTACACCAATGATTCCTAATGGACATATAATATCAAAATATGTATAAAGTCTCAACTCAGTCCACATTTTGTAACACAGGTTTTAAAAGTTTGGATCCTCAAACACACTTTTTAATATTCTAAAAAATATCAATATGCCTTAAATTGTTAGTATTGATCTGTGTGAAAGTTTGATTTCCCTCAGACTACCTGATCCATATCTGGGTCTCTAATACGTTTTTATCATGTTTGCAAAGTTTTTGTTAACCCTTAAAGGTGGGGTAGGTAAGTTTGAGAAACCGGCTCGAGATCGCTAGAATTTGAAAATACACAACCGGAGAAAATCTGCCACTCCCTTACAGAGCCTCTCCTCCAACACACACGAACGCGCACATGACCAATGAGGGCACGAGATAAGTTTGTGCACAGATGGAAGGCAGACAGGCAGGTAGGCCATCCAATCATTTTAGCCGGGCCGGATAAAATGATTGGTCGTGCTTTTTACAGTATTACGGCTTCCACAGATGACATTTTTTAATGGATTTTTTGTCAAAGCACTTAAGATATTCATTGCTATCGGGATGTTAAGAGCATTCCATGGAATATAACAAAAAGTGTATCTCGAGCCGGTTTCTCAAACTTACCTACCCCACCTTTAAAGGATGATGCTTATTTTATTACAGCTTGGGTCTTATTTTTTTAATAGTTTTATTAATTATCTTTTCAGGAATAATAACATTGTACTCACCAAGTTGACTGCTGAGATCTGGAGAAAACATGGGAAACATGGGAAAAAACAGTTAATCCAGATGATCTTAATGACTTTTAATCAACGGTAAAACAGCATCCAGAACTAAGAGGTTCAAAGTAGAAACAAGAAGTAAATCTGTATGTGGTAATGGATGTTTAAAAACAGACCGTTTTTGGTCAAATAAAAAAATGTTTTAGTAATTTTACCACATTCCCATATCTCAACAATTTCCCTGGTGGGTGCAATGTTATCATTACTGATAGAAAAGTTGGTGAAAACAACAAAAATGCAACTAAGGTTGTAAAAAAACATGGAATATTCTATAAAAGTTGCATAAAGAGCATGAATCAAACATTACATTTACTTGCACATCTCAAAACATTCTCTTGCACTATTTTATCTGTTTTAATTGTTTTATGTCCTATATATATTCATGTTACTCTGTTGTGACTTCAGTTTTTCATTGACATATCTACACTGTAGCTAATGTGCAAATGACAATAAGGCCTTGAATTGAATTGAATACAGAATAGCCTAAATATGAAATAATAAACATCCTTTAATGTAACATTTAATTTCAACTGAATGCAGTTTTGTCCAGTTCATTTTCAACATTTTACTTGATATCTCATACACAAAATATCCTAAAAACCTTAAAAACATATCAGGATGACTTGTTAATGTGAATTTATTTGGCAGTGAGAGTAAATGAACCCATCTGTACCTGTGTGAGCAGGTCCTGTGATTTCTCCAGAGCGTGGGGCAGCTCTCTGCAGCGCGTCGACAGGTTGAGGATGGCCGTGGCCGCCATGTGCGCCGCCTCCATGTCGTGAGTGTAGTCGAAGCTGCTCTTACTGCAGGTGCTGCTGGCGCTGCTTCCTCCTCCTCAAAGGCAAAGGCAACTGTATTGTCAATCTTTGTTTGTGTGTACAGACAGAGAGATTGAAATACCGTTTCCCACAATCCCGAATACAAAAATACAAATATATGTAACAGTTGTAAATATGCAGTGGTGTTTATTGTTAAATATTTCATTTAGTCATTTAGTATAATCACACAAATGCTGTGTTTTGTATTTAATAATTCTGTGTTCTTTATTTATTAAACGTTAAATACCTGACTGGTCTAGAATCAGTGGGCGGAACCTCCAAAATGTAGTCACTACTCAGAAGCTTATTTTTATGGGGACTTCCCCTCTTCATATTGGGTCCCTCACATTTCCCTCTGCCCTTTTTGTGAATGTTCCACGTGAGAAGAGTCAGTGTGAGGGATAACTCATTTAATACTGATTTGTTGTATATTGTCACTGTCAGTAAATAATTGGAGATCGCCTCAACGGTATGCTGGCTCGGGTCTCATCCTTCAACAACACAAAACACAACGCAGACACCGCGAATCGACACCGGTTACATCTATTTAAAAATATGTATAAAAATATGTATTTACCTATACCTCCTCCTCCTCCTCCTCCTCCTACTCCACAGCTCAGACTGCTGCTGCTGCTCGGGGCGTAGCTGCTGGTCGTACTGCTGGTCGGGCTCGATGTCTTGCAGTAACGCTTCACTGTACGGAGAAACACACGTACAGCAATATGGATTACTACAATGTCTCTACTGTGACATGTCTCCAGGCTTTAATGTTCAAAAAGCTCTTTATTTCTCTCATACTGCCTGTGCTGCAGCACCTCTTTTCACCCTCTGTCTGAAACCAGAGCCCAGTCTGCTCTGATTGGTTAGCTGGCTCTGTTGTGATTGGTCAACAGCTTAGAGATGTCCCGCCCCCTTAGTATATCACCTACAGTTTATTTTTTAATAAATAGTCGTTTTAGTTTTACCAAACAACATCTTCGTGCATGTCAATCTGTTGGAGCGCTAGCCAAAAGGAGCGTGAGTGTTACAAAGTGATGTCACTATGTCCCGAAAGTAAACAAAGGAGTCCAATGGAGGCGTTTCAAGCAGGGATTTTAACCTTTGCAGACCATTAACTTGCACTAAAACCTTTATAACACACTACAGAAAGGGAACACCCCAAAAACCATAACAGGGCCTCTCTAAGTGTAAGTCTTTGTTGTTGTATCCCCGTTCGACAGATACAAATGAGCGAGGGTTACACGGTGATGTCACTATGTCCCGGAAGTAAACAAAGGAGGCGTTTCAGGCAGGGATTTTAACCTTTGCAGACCATTTACATGCACTAAAACCTATAGAACACACTACATGCATCTTTCAATGCAAAATTAAATCTACATTACATTAAATATCAGGATGTTTATTCTTTCATATTTAGGCTATTCTGTATTTAAGAAATCAAAAAAAGGTATTCTTAATTTTTCAAAAATAAGGAAATATTGAACAGAGGAAAAGATTTAAGGACGAAGAAAAAGGCAGTGATTGTGTTCTGGTGTTGAAAGTGAGAATGGAGTGATGCTGATGGAGGGAATGAGAAAGGAGAGGGAGATAATGGAGGCGAGCCCTGTTTCTTTGGCTTCCAGCCATTAGTGAGACGCAGGCAAGAGGGAGGATTTTTAGACGAGGTGTCTGCGCTCCCCTCCATCACGACTCCCTCCAAAAGCATCACTCCAGATTCTCCATCCAACCAGAACACACTCACTGCCTTTTTCTTTGTCCTTAAATCCTTATTTTTATCCGTCATAAGATGATACAACAACAAAGACTTACACTTAAAGAGGCCCTATTATGCTTTTTGGTGTTTTCCATTTCCTGTAGTGTGTTATATAGGTTTTAGTGCACGTAAATGGCCTTCAAAGGTTAAAATCTCCACCCTCCTCCCTCCTTGGCTCAGTATTTCCATAACTCTTCTCTCATTCTAGCCATGTGGAGAGGCGGAAAACACACCGGCGTTTTCAGCACTTTCACAAAGAGAATACACCGAGTGCTGAGCATGTGTGAGTGTGTGAGTGTGTGTGTGTGTGTGTGTGTGTGTGTGTGTGTGTGTGTGTGTGTGTGTGTGTGTGTGTGTGTGTGTGTGTGTGTGTGTGTGTGTGTGTGTGTGTGTGTGTGTGTGTGTGTGCAAGTACAAAATGTTCTCCTAATAATAGGAAAACAGAGAAATCCTCCATAGTGGAATCTTTTTGGAGGTTTTATTCCCTAAAGTCTTACGGCAAATGAGTTTGACAGAAATGATTCTGTCAAACTGATTTTTAATCAGTTTCCCGAAAGATAAGTCTGACAGTAAATCTGATTCTATCCGCTTTTTTATACTTACATTAATTAGAAATAATGGTTTTAACATCATCAATTAAAACAAAAATGAATGTCAAAGTATGACCGTCAATCTGTTTCTGTCTGTTTTTAAACTTATTTGAATTCATGATAACAATAGGAGTCGATACGTCTGTCCACCTGCTTTTAATACTTTCATTTAAAAGAAATATTAGGAATGAAACCACCAAGAATTCAAATAAAAGCAGGTTTTTGTATGTTTGTCAGAGATAGAGCGTTAGGCAAATAAACAGCAAACAGAGTTAAGACGGACAGATTGCTCGGATAAATTACGATGTGGCGACACCTGCTTCTTCTCGTTTCTACTTGTTATTCTCCTAACTTATTTAAATTCCAGGATTGTGCTGTAGATGCAGCATCTGTCTGTCGTCGCCACCCGCTGTGACATATTTATTTCCACCAGGAAACCAAAGAGGTAGAAAAAAACAAGAACACCGCCAGTCTTTCAAACAAAGGGAGAGAGAAATAAACAACATGAATAACTGATTGTTGGGAAAATAGTGAATGTCCTCTATCAATATGAGAGTAACATGATAACAAAGGTATCCCAACTGTAGCTGTGTACATGACAGGATGTATGATTACCTAGAAGAGCATCAGGACTGTTTTAGGCATATGATAGCTATGTGATTAACATGATGATTCAGCCTCTATGGAGATAGACATATGACAAGCATGCTCATTTCTGACGTGGAGCTAATCTGAAGTAAACATTGAATACTGCTTTCTATTCCTCCATCTTGTGACTGTGTAACTCCCTCTCTTGGATATCAGCATGTGAAGGACACTGTTCAGGAACTAGTTGATGCTCTGTATGTGATGACTCCATTCTGGAGAGGATCACAAATACATGGATCCTGAGATTGAAGCTCAAAGCCGGTGACCAGGGATTATTAACATTTTTAAGTATTCAGAAAAAGTCATGATTTTGAGAAAAGTTCAGGATTTTGAGAAAAGTCATAATTTTGATATATTGGAGAAAAAGTAATAATTTTGAGATTTTGGAGAAAAAGTCATAATTTAAGATTTTGGAGAAAAAGTCATAATTTTGAGATTTTGAGAATAAATCATAATTTTGAGATTTTGAGAATAAGTCATAATTTTGAGATTTTGAGAATAAGTCATAATTTAAGATTTTGAGAATAAGTCATAATTTTGAGATTTTGAGGAAAGTCATAATTTTGAGAAAAGTTCAAGATTTTGATAAAAGTCATAATTTTGAGATTTTGGAGAAAAAGTCATAATTTAGAGAAAAAGTCAGACTGTTGAGATTTTCCAGAAAAAAGCCAACATTTTGAGAAAAAACTCAGTATTTTGTACATGACAGGATGTATGAGTACCTAGAAGAACCGGTATTCCTCCATCTTGTGACTGTGTAACTCCCTCTCTTGTATATCAGCATGTGAAGGACACTGTTCAGGAACTAGTTGATGCTCTGTATGTGATGACTACTTCCATTCTGGAGAGGATCACAAATACATGGATCCTGAGATTGAAGCTCAAGCCGGTGACCAGTGAGATTTTTCTAACACTGATAAATGATGGTTTGCCTTACCATCGAATCCCTTCGGGGAAGTGTCTCTCCCGTGGTGGGACTTGGATGTCGGGCCTCTTTTTCCGTAGGCTCCGTGTTGGCTGTCGTATCCGCCGTAATCGTAGCTCGTCTTTGAATATTTCTCCAGCTCCTTGGCCAGGTTAGACCTCGGCGTGCTGGTGGGAACGTTGTTTTTAAATCCGTACTGAGGAATCTCCAGCTGCTTCACGAAACACATCGGCCTGAGAGGAAACCAGAAGCGGTAACAGACAGGGACGCACCATTTAGCATCTCGGATTTAAGAGAAAAACGTCAAAACAATCAGTCATTATTTCCCAAAGCCAAGTTGATGATATAAAAGACAAAGAAGACGCATTGTTCTTTATGTGTTTGCTGTCAATGCACCATCCCTGATCTGAGGAAAATGTCATCTACAGCTATGTCAAAAAGCTATCCAAACCCCCCAAAACAGAAAGATAAAGTATGCTTTTTTAATGCTATTTCATTTCAGATGTTGACATTTGTCTATTGTACAATGCCTTGTTTTTTTATGCTGCTGCAACGCAAACATTTCCCAAATTGGAATCAACAAAGTACTTCTTATCTTTCTTATGTTATTATCTTTGATACTACATGACAGTTAGAGGTTTCCCTGCATTTTAATTACAACACATTCCTGCTAACTCAGAGTTGGAGGTACCTGAGGACCCGGTCTGACGTCTGACTGGTTTTAATGCCGCTTTCTATCGGCAGGATCTTCTCGTGGACCTTCGTCATCTTTTCTGCAGCAGCGATGGGACAACCAGACAGACTGAGGAGAGAGAGAGAGAGAGAGAGAGAGAGAGAGAGAGAGAGAGAGGAGAGAGAGAGAGAGAGAGAGAGAGAGGGGGGGAGAGAGAGAGAGAGACAGAGGGGGAGAGAGAGAGAGAGAGAGAGAGAGAGAGAGAGAGAGAGATAGGATGGGAGGGGAAGAAAGCAAACGGCCTGGTTACTTACACACACACACAGACACACACACACACACTCACACACACACACCCTCACACACACACACACACACACACACACACACACACACACACACACACACACACACACACACACTCACACAGCATCTGAATGAAAAGCAGTTCAGAATGAATTAGGGATTAAATATTGCCGACTCTATGACGACTGTTTGGTTAAGACAGTTCATTTTCTGAATTATTACTCATTTACTAATTTACTAATTGGTTTTTCAGCTCAATGACAGCCTGGTTATATACTGGCTTACTGCTGCAGTGACTCAATTAACTGCACTGAGTCCTAATTGGCTAATAACTGATGTATTTATTGTCTTAAAAGCTGGTTAGTTTACCATTTCTCCGACTGGTTGACTGACAGCTGGGAGAAAGATGCAGTTGCTCCACAAAAACACTTTTTTCTCTCGTGAGCGTTTACAAAAAATGTGTGACTTCACACCAACGCCCAAAGACGAGAATAAGTAAGCAACACCCTCTAAATCTGTATCAATTTTTTCAATCCCAGTCAAGTGCAATATGCAGATTACACTTTCTATTTGCTGCACTTTGTATTCCTTTTTATTGATTTGGTGAGTTTAAAATGAGTATAAAATAAGCTCTATTGTAGCCATCTTTAAAATGCACATGAATAATGTGTGTGAGTGCTTTTACTCTTATGCTTTAAGGATCTTTTCTGGATTATACTTGCATAGTTTCACTTATATTAAATGCAGGTTTTTTATTTAAAACAGTGTTTTTTTAAATTGTGGTATCAGTATTTTTCTTGAGTAATACATCTTAATACTTCTTCCACCATTGCACACATACACACACGCATACATGTTTTGCTGTAAATGTGAGGACCATGACCCTATAGCATGTGGTGAGGACTCCTCTCTCTCACACACACACACACACACACACACACACACACACACACACACACACACACACACATTTTGAACAGCGATAGTTAACGGTGTGTGACTGCTGCTGCTGCTGCAATGAAGGCGTTTCCATGGCGACTGCCAGACATGAAAGCTGTGTGAGCTGGAAGCTAACAAGGAGCTAAGCTAGCTCGCTACTGCTTTGTTTCCTCTCTCCCAGTGGAGCTGTGCTACATAACACACCCTGCAGCCACGTCTGATCCAGTGTGTGTGTGTGTGTGTGTGTGTGTGTGTGTGTATGTGTGTGTGTGTGTGTGTGTGTGTGTGTGTGTGTGTGTGTTTGTGTGTTTGTGTGTGTGTGTGTGTGTGTGCTGCTCTGTCTGCCAGCGCACGTGTGCTGCTGTCTGTGAGCTAATTTGTAAGAGTCTCCTAGTGTGTGTGTGTATGTGCGCAAGTGTGTGTTCTAGCTCTTGTATGTTCCAGTGAGACTGTGTGTACGTCTGAGATTTGAGGCTCTACGTATCTATGAGAAAATAAGTGCAAATCCTAATCACTTTACATAATTCAAAAATATGCTTGTGTGTATGTGTGTGTGTGTGTGTGTGTGTGTGTGTGTGTGTGTGTGTGTGTGTGTGTGTGTGTGTGTGTGTGTGTGTGTGTGATGCTCTGCCTGTTAAACAGCTGACGCAGGCACACCTTCAGCTCAGACATTCAGATTTAAACCCTCTTTTCCCCGCGTGCATCAAACCTGGTAATGCTCCAAAAACAGAGATAATTTTCTGAGACAGACAATGAGGCAATTTTGGGTATCAGGGTCGATATAAACGTTGGTTAATCTTGGTCCAACAATTATTTTTAGGAGAACAGCTGCAGCATTAGTGGGTACAAAATGCAACAACTAATATAGGATGTTTATTGACAGTATGTATGTCAATGTATGTAAAACATGCAATAATAACAGACGTTCTGTGAGCAATTGCCTTTGTTTTGCCTCCTATTTTTAAACTGGAAAAGCAAGGCAGCTATTAAGAAATGTCCAACGTTATTATCCAGAAAATTGAATTGCCAGCCTAAGATTTGACTTATGAAATGCTAATGTTTTGGTCATATCTCTGTCTTATTTGCATTGGAAAAACACTATACGCAGCTGTTTTAAGTCATTTCATGTTTAGAATTCAGAGCCTTAAAGGAAACTAACTTGAAATGTTCTTATAAAGACTTTCCAGTAAAGGACTTGACGTGGAATGCAGGAGCTAATATAGGATTTATGTCTATTTAATGCACATTTGGGACGTTCTGCCACTGAAGATGCAGCTATCAATCAGAAAAGGGATTGTCTGCACTGAAATTACACCCATTTTAAACTTCTCTATCAAACAACACACACACTTACAGTCTCTGTTCTTTTGAAAGAACATCCATAACATTCATCTGTTTGCAACTTACACATTAGTTATCTAATATATCATATTCCAATTACTTGTACATAGACTCTTATTGAACTATTTCACTATTTTACTATTTTATTTGTATTTACTTGCACTATTTTATCTGTTTTATTGTGTTGCACTGTTGGAGGAGCCTGTGACCTCAGATTTTCATCGACATATCTACACTGTAACTTTGTACAAATGACAATGAAAGCCTTGAACTTGAAACTTGAAACTGTTCTGTAAATCTGCCACATTCACGGTGTTTTTCGGGGTGTTAGCGGCCGTCTGAATGCCGCTCACTCACCTGCGGTGCGAGTTCCTGTTGCTATTGACATGACCCCGTCCTGAGCAGCCGGGAGTGGGGCACTTTAAAACATTCTCATACATGGCAAGGACTTTGAGGGACAGGAAAAGGTGAGAAAGACAGCGAAGGGTTAGGAGACGACAGGAGAGTCACCGGGCGCTCAGCAGCGGATTTAGGCATGCAAACATTGCAGATTACTGACAACAGGCTACTGAATTTAACAAAACGAGCATGATTACAGCGACACACACACTTGATTTGCATTTTGATCACTGTGCTCATTTCATAATCTGTCATGAGACGATAAACTGGAAGCAAACGTTTGTCATGCACTGTTATGAAATGCACACTGAAGGCTCTTTGAGCAGCTTTTCTCTCAGTGATTGTGCTGTTATGTTAAATGTTTGTTGTTTGTTTTTCATGTATTGCGTCTTGATATGTGTCTGTTGATGTGACACATGGAGCTGCTGTGATGCAAGGAGCATTTCAGACTTGATCTGACCATTAAAGTATTGTCGTGTCGTATCCTATCGTATTATAATCTGCTAGTATATCCATCTGCAGCGGAATGATTTCTTGCACTTTTCTTGCATGTCTCTACATTTAGTTTTGGGGGATTTGTCCTTTCCTGTAGTGTTCTACAGGTTTTAGTGCATGTAAATGGTCAGCAGCGACGGTTAGGCATGCACACATTATTAATGATAATAATACATGGGATTTTTATAGCGCTACATTACAGCTGCTTGACTGACAACAGGCCACTGAATTTAACAAAACGAGCACGATTACAGCTACACACACACTTTATTTGCATTTTGATCACTGTGTCTGGAAAGATTATTTAAATTCGTTTTTGTACTGTCTTTTTGTTGCTTGGTGCCTTCCTGTTTTCTTTTGAAAAGTAACTCTCCCTCTCGTTTCAGGTGTATATATTGTCGTAGTCTCCATTCGTTTTGTGCAGACTACCAGCATATATATCGCCAAGCCAAGATTATTGATTTGCTCAGTGCCTTGTCCTCTATTGAGTGATTTTGTTTTGTTAGCTTGGTTACGTTTTCCTCTAGTGAGTGTTTTTGTTTGAAACTTTGTTTACTATGTCAAAACCAGACCAGATAAAAGACTTTATTTTGAATAAACCTTCTGTGTTGAGTTGTGCTTTTGGGTTCAGGCCTCAGAGTTTGTTCTTGACACTGTGCTCATTTCATAAAATGTCATGAGACGATAAACTGGAAGCAAACGTTTGTCATGCACTGTTAAATCTGCTAGTGACTGCAGATGGTAAAGGATCAATGTCGGGGGTGATAAACGTTTTGCATCATAAGAAACGACAGTTATGTAACAACTAAGGTTTCCTCTTTATATTTTATATATCCATCTACATTGTAATGATTTCCTGCACTTTTCTTGCATGTCTCTACACCAAGGGGCCCTAATCTTCCCTTTCTTGTAGTGCGTTATATAGGTTTTAGTGCATGTAAATGGTCTGCAAAGGCTAAAATCCCTGAGTTACCTCCAGAGGGAGTTTCTCCTCCATTGGACTACTTTGTTTACTTCAATACTAAGTTATATGTGTTTGCATTAAAAGCTTATGAGCATCACTAGCTATAAATAAGACAACATGTAGCTGAAAAGACCTAAATCAAAGCATAACTGAAATATTCTCAGCTCTACCGTATATATTTGCTATTTATAATGTTGTTGATTTAAGTTTCTACTTCATTCTTTTACATGTTGCAGGTCTGATGCCTCTGTTTTATCTGACCTAATGTCCCATATTACCTGGGAGTTTGGTGCGTGATATAAATCAGTCTCATGTTTTCATGCAGGTTTGTTTGTGAGGTGAATTAATCCATTTGTTCATGCAGCAACACAGACACCAAAACCAGACATCAGGCAGGTGTGATGAGGAAACGGAAAGCAAGAAAAGGAGGGAAACAAAAACTAAAGCAAAGTAAAGAAAACCTCTATTTGTGCCACAAGAACCGAGACCACAAACAAGAGGTTTTTTGTGCAGAAATAACTTAATGTTCAAGAACAAAAAGATGCTAAAATACCCAGGAGTCTCAAGCAAACAATCCTCCAGATGTGACGCACAGATTCTCTCTAAAACACACACAGATGTAGTCATGCAGGACGAATGCATGATAGCTTACATGCCCAACACTTTCCCTGATAAACAATCAATCTTACAAGTCATTTTAAGTCTGTGTTTCTCTTATAATATTGTTCTAAAAACGTTGGGATTATCTCAAATGTGTCCAATGGAAATGTAGGTTTAAGAGTTTTCCGAAAAGAGGTGACAGTATCCAGGATCTGAATGTAAACAAAGGAAATAAGTAAGTGATGTTTTACGTTTAAAGCAGCCATGATAAAGTCAGTGAGTACATTTTGGGACGATTTAAATTTAAATAAAACTAATCTTTTATGGTTTTAGATCTAGAAACATCTCTCAGAGGTCACTTCCTTTCCTACCACAAAGTAGCCTAATTCATTTATATTATCTGTTATTTAATTATTAACTATTTTAGCTTCATTACTGCCAGCGATGACTGTTTTGCTGCCATTTCACATAATAAATACTACAAGTACCCAACGTCTCCAACTCTAAGTTATAAAACTAAAAGGTGATTGGCTCTTATTTTCTTGTAAAACAACCTATGGACCCAGTGAGAATCAATAAGCCAAATTATGACAAATCAAAAATAATTTTATAGGCATTTCTACCAAACAGGCAAATGCAAAGTGACCAAATTAAGTTGTTTAAATCAGGGGTTCGCGTGGGGGTCGCGACATGTGCATACACATTTTTCAGGGACGGACTGGCCATCCGTAGAATTCCCCCGCAGCGAGGCTCCCCCCCTCCCCCCCCGCCCCCCCCGTTCACAATCCACTAGCGCAGTGTTTCTCCACTTAGACTTTAATCCATTGTTTGTTTTATATGCTTCTTGAAATCCTAAAAAACACATCGTTTTTCTAGAACAGATTACAAGTCGCCTGAAAATGGTACAAACAAGTGGCAACTTGTGTGACGAAGGTGTTGCACTGGGCTATATCATGCAATTGAAAGTGAAACGTAAGCTCGCTCCATTGCGGAGATATTCCCACGAGAGTGCGGAAAACGTAAATTTATAAATGTATTCACTTGCACCCCCTCGCCAGTCTCTGGCACTGTTATTTTGAAAAGTTTGGGAACCCCTGGTCTAAATCAGCTTATTAGCATTAGCTAACCTCTGATGTTAAATCTAGTTGTTGTACCCTAAAGTTGGATATCAACATTAGATAGTTTGCATGATTATTTAGACATTTGGTGAAAATACTTGTTTTTAGCATCTTTTTTTAAATTAAATTGTTTCTTAAAAATACTTAATTTTTATTATCCTTATATATTTCTCTTTTCATCTACTTTGCGACTTATTTTCTTAGATTGTTTATGTTCGCACCACCAGATACCAAAGCAAATTCCTTTTATGTGTAAACGTACCTGGCAATAAACTTGATTCTGATTGTGATTCTCATTCTGATTCTGATTGTGAATAGCTCCTTCTTTGACATTTCATTTGCTATTTTGCCTACTTCCTGGACCACAGTGAATTTGAGGGTAAAATGAAGGTTTAACCCAACCAATGATATCATTCCTGCGTCCTTAGCAGCTCTGAGAAATGATTGAAACCCAACCAACCATCACACTAACTAGCTAAAGAATGACTTGTTAGACTTATTATTTAGATGTTCTTTTTGTAAAGCAGGGTGTGTTTGAATTGCTTAACATCCAGGCAGAGGGACCTACTCTCAGGCGGGACCCGGTCTTTGTGAGGACACCCGGACAGGCTGCGGTGATGAGGGTACAGACCGGTCACATGACCCGTCCCATCGCAGCCCGGCGTCGGACACTTACTCTCCTTCTTCTCCCCCCTGGAAGAGTCTGGAAAGAAACAGAGAGATGAGGTGGAGCTGAATCAACAGGTAACAACATCCTCTACTCAAGTAGAAGTACAGATAATCGTGTTTAAAAATACTCTGGTAAAAGTAGAAGTACTGACTAAACTTATTTACTCAAGTAAAAGTAAAGAAGTATGGGCTTTGAAATGTACTTCAGTAAAAAGTACCCATAACTAGCAGCTGTTTTAAAGAGTACCTGACCTCCCTTTATATTAATAGAACAATAATGTCATTGTTAGCTAATGAATGTTTCCATGCTGAACAACGGCAACATGACAACGTTTTCATTGGTCCCTCTTCTTTAGAGAAGACCAGGAAATGATGGATACACGGATCGTGTTCAAATCAATAGGCACGCAATGACTCTAAATAATAATGATCACGCCACCAAACACACATTCAAACTAAAGGAACCAGCCTGTTTGGAAAATGTAAGAAGTAGAAAGTACAGGTATTTGTGTTCAACATGTAAGAAGTAGAAAGTACAGGTATTTGGGTTCAACATGTAAGAAGTAGAAAGTACAGGTATTTGTGTTCAACATGTAAGAAGTAGAAAGTACAGGTATTTGTGTTCAACATGTAAGAAGTAGAAAGTACAGGTATTTGGGTTCAACATGTAAGAAGTAGAAAGTACAGGTATTTGTGTTCAACATGTAAGAAGTAGAAAGTACAGGTATTTGTGTTCAAAATGTAAGAAGTAGAAAGTACAGGTATTTGTGTTCAAAATGTAAGAAGTAGAAAGTACAGGTATTTGTGTTCAAAATGTAAGAAGTAGAAAGTACAGGTATTTGTGTTCAAAATGTAAGAAGTAGAAAGTACAGGTATTTGTGTTCAACATGTAAGAAGTAGAAAGTACAGGTATTTGTGTTCAACATGTAAGAAGTAGAAAGTACAGGTATTTGTGTTAAGTAGTGGAGTAAAGTACTGATACCAGAAAATTTCTCTTAAGTAACGAAGTATTTGTACTCCACTACTTCTCCCCTCTGCTGTATACAAACAAATTGCACATGTATGGGCGCCAGATTAAAGCCTGGTATTAAAAGCAGTCTGAACCCAATCTGAATCTGTTGGTAGCTGATAACCACACAGTGGCATTGTTTTGTATTGTTAGTGTTTTTTTAGAGAAATAGGCCCCAGATATTGTCCCACAGATGGATTTTCTCTCCTAACGGCCGTGCAGATTGTTATTACTCATGCCTGACAAGCCAGTAGTCTGATGTTACCACAACGGCCTATTAACAACATAAGCTGCTGTCAGAGAAAAACGATATATCGTGATGGTCCTGAAAACGGCCATTATCTCATTGGCGGTCATGCACACCATTTCTGAAATATCAAAATGGGATTTTAAAAGGTTTTATGAGCCGAGAGGTCAGAAAACTCATCTGATGTGCACAGAGATGTTGGAAACAAGAGGGGAGAAGACAGACATTAAAGTTACAGTTGTTCTGCTTAAGCTTCGAAAGCCTCGGGCGGCTGCAGAGTTGAGAATTACAATAAGTCAGAAAGACAAGATAAACTACTTCCTTTCTGACCTGGGGTCGTATTTCTGGAGTAAAAAGAAGATTCAGCTCCAACATGATGCATAGAGGTGGTGTAAAACTGGCACATTTGGAAGAGGAAACATGAAGAGATGATGCCTTTGTGAACTACGGTCAAACTGTTTTTAGGAATATTTGTTGTACAGAACAATGAGTGTTTTTATTATCTGACAGTGTGGCTTTTTGTACAGATTTAAAGCTCCCTTGTACTGCAGCATGTGTTTGTTAAAGCTGTTATGAAATGATGTCGTTCAGGTGCTGGGAACACTATTGTAGTTTGATTTGTGTCGAGCTACACACACTGACTGACTGAACTAAATGTGCCTCTGGAAGTCCAGCCGACGTGTTAAAAATAGTCCTGGCATGAAAAAAAAAAAACCCCAGACAAGTGTCTCCTGCTCAGATAAAATGCCTGACCACGTGGATGGAAAACAATGAAGACTCCTCATGAACATACGTTTTAAAGATTGATACGCTATAGGCTATAGAGAGCTGAACACAGCAGTAGACTTTTTACCGTGAAAAATCTATATATGTGAATATTTTAACACACACAAACACACACACACCACACACACACACACACACACACACACACACACACACACACACACACACACACACACACCACACACACACCACACACACACACACACACACACACACACACACACACACACACACACACCACACACACACACACACACACACACACACACCACACCACACCACACACACACACCACACACACACACACACACACACACACTGACTGACTGGACTGAATTTGCCTCTGGAAGTCCAGCTGACCTGCACAGATAAAATAAAATATCTGAACAGACTCCTCATGAACACAATGGTGTAATATTGTTACGCTATAGGCGAGAGCAGCATTATTAGACTTTAATAACATGGAGATACTTTTGCAACAAACTGCCTGGACAAAATGTGTCTCCTCATAAACACAATTGTTAACTCGATAACAGTAAAAACATATATATGTGAAGATGGAGAATCAACTGTGCAGAGCGCGGATCGATGCTGACACAGTGGGGGTCTGAAACTATACTACTTTAAGATTTTAACATGGAGATTCTGGACTAAAAGTGCCTCTGGAAGACTCCTCATGAACACAATTGTTAAATATTGTTAGGCTATAAGCGAGAGCAGCATTATAAGAGAGTAACAAAATCTATAGAGTGCTGAAAACAGCAGTAGACTTTTTACAGTAAAATATCTATATATGTGAAGATTTTAACACACACACACACACACACACACACACACACACACACACACACACACACACACACACACACACACACACACACACACACACACACACACACACACACACACACACACACACACACACACACACACACACACACACACACACACACACACACACACACACACACACACACTGACTGTCTGGACTTAATTTGCCTCTGGAAGTCCAGCCGACCTGTACAAATAAAATACAATATCTGACCAAGAGGATGGAAAACAACGAAGACTCTGTAATGAATAAATAAATAATGAACACAACTGAAAAAGATTGTTACGCTATAGGCGAGAACTGGCACTATAAGTCTTTAAGAGTAAACCAATCTATACGTGAAGATGCAGGACTTTGCAGAGCACGGATCGATGCTGACACAGTGGGGGTCATCGTGTGGGTTTCTCTCCACTCTCTTTCCTCTTCCTACCTTTAGGGTAGTACGCCCTCTTCATCCCGTCGTGGTGCATCCTGGACTTCCTCTCCTCTCCAGCGCAGCTCAGCCTGGAGCTGTGTTCTCCTCGGTGGTGATGATGATGATGATCTCTGCGAGGAAGAGAGTGATCGGACGCCATCATGCGGTCCCTCATGACCTTCGCCCTCTCCGACTCCAGGGCGATGGCCTTCTCCAGCAGAGACAGGTTTCCCTTAAGAATAAGAATAATAACTTAAATGTATAAAGCGCCTTTCAGGGGACGCAAAGTCGCTTTACAGAAAGACAGAGAAATAAGAAAGAATGAGCCCACACTCGAGGTACACTGCAATAACTACCAGAGAGGGCAAAAGTACACACTTCCTTTACTCGAGTAGAAGTACAGATACTCGTGTTTAAAAATACTCTGGTGAAAGTAGAAGTACTGACTAAACTTCTTTACTCAAGTCAAAGTAAAGAGGCTTTGAAATGTACTTCAGTAAAAAGTACCCATAACTAGCAGCTGTTTTAAAGAGTACCTGACCTCCCTTTATATTAATAGAACAATAATGTCATTGTTAGCTAATGAATGTTTCCATGCTGAACAACGGCAACATGACAACGTTTTCATTGGTCCCTCTTCTTTAGAGAACACCAGGAAATGATGGATACACGGATCGTGTTCAAATCAATAGGCACGCAATGACTCTAAATAATAATGATCACGCCACCAAACACACATTCAAACTAAAGGAACCAGCCTGTTTGGAAAATGTGAGAAGTAGAAAGTACAGGTATTTGTGTTCAACATGTAAGAAGTAGAAAGTACAGGTATTTGTGTTCAACATGTAAGAAGTAGAAAGTACAGGTATTTGGGTTCAACATGTAAGAAGTAGAAAGTACAGGTATTTGGGTTCAACATGTAAGAAGTAGAAAGTACAGGTATTTGAGTTCAACATGTAAGAAGTAGAAAGTACAGGTATTTGGGTTCAACATGTGAGAAGTAGAAAGTACAGGTATTTGAGTTCAACATGTAAGAAGTAGAAAGTACAGGTATTTGGGTTCAACATGTAAGAAGTAGAAAGTACAGGTATTTGTGTTCAAAATGTAAGAAGTAGAAAGTACAGGTATTTGTGTTCAAAATGTAAGAAGTAGAAAGTACAGGTATTTGTGTTCAAAATGTGAGAAGTAGAAAGTACAGGTATTTGTGTTCAAAATGTAAGAAGTAGAAAGTACAGGTATTTGGGTTCAACATGTGAGAAGTAGAAAGTACAGGTATTTGGGTTCAACATGTAAGAAGTAGAAAGTACAGGTATTTGGGTTCAACATGTAAGAAGTAGAAAGTACAGGTATTTGTGTTCAAAATGTAAGAAGTAGAAAGTACAGGTATTTGTGTTCAAAATGTAAGAAGTAGAAAGTACAGGTATTTGTGTTCAAAATGTGAGAAGTAGAAAGTACAGGTATTTGTGTTCAAAATGTAAGAAGTAGAAAGTACAGGTATTTGTGTTCAACATGTAAGAAGTAGAAAGTACAGGTATTTGTGTTCAACATGTAAGAAGTAGAAAGTACAGGTATTTGGGTTCAACATGTAAGAAGTAGAAAGTACAGGTATTTGTGTTCAACATGTAAGAAGTAGAAAGTACAGGTATTTGGGTTCAAAATGTAAGAAGTCAAAGTAAAAAGTCGTCAGAAAAATAAGTAGTGGAGTAAAGTACTGATACCAGAAACATGTACAGTAACGAAGTATTTGTACTCTACTGCTTCCCACCTCTGAGCGAGGGGCCGTGATGGATAAAGCTTCAAGAACAACCCTCCAGCCTCTTAACCTCGTACCTTGGCCATGTCGAAGGTCTCGTCGGAGCGGTCAGAGTTCACAGACGTCGTGTCCTCGTCTCCCTCCTGGAAGCCTCTGGACCCGGGGCTCAGCTGCTCCTCCAGCTTCATCAGGTTCACCATGTCGGAGTAGCTGCGCTCCAGAGATCTCTGCTCCTCCTGAGCGCTCTGCTGGCAGCTGTCGTACCTGAGAGGTGAGAAGAAGATTAGAAATGACCACCAGATTTATAGAAAGTTTTATCCCGCAGGCCATTGGAAGTCAAGAGTCTTCACGTACATACTGTATGTTAATAATGCACCACCATCTGTACATGTCTATTGCTCATATCTACATTTTCATACATATTAACAGTATAAAGTGTTTATTCTGCTGTACAATATTACATTTCACATTCATCTTATTTTAAAGTTGTTCTATGGGTTTTAGTGCATGTGAATGTTCTGCAAAGGCTAACATCCCTGAGTCTCTCTCCCCCCTACCTTAAACGCCTCCACACATACTATATGTTTATAACGCACCACCATCTATACATAGGGATGGGGATCGTTAAGGTTTTAACGGTACTACTACTTTTATCGATACCGCTTATCGATCCGGTCTTTTAACGGTACTTTTATGGGTTCTTTTGGAGAATAAAATAAGGTAAACTAACTAAACACATTGTGAACAAAACTAACATTGCTTTTTATTTAAATGAAATACATAATATTTCACATCAAAAGAAACAACAGTGTTTTAACAAATCGTATTAAATAATCTGATGACAGAATTGTAAACAGAATAGCTGAAACTTTAACACAATAAATAACTCAGTTACCTCTAATCTTTAACCCATGTTTGTATCATTGAGTTAGCTCCGTGTGTTGCTGCTAGCATACATAACACCTGACGTGGAAACGTTACTCGTGGATGGGGCTACAGAGCTGCTAGAAAGACAGTCGAAAACGGTGCATTCCTCCGCCTGGACGTGGAGCACTTTTGCTAAATGTTTAGACAGATTGTTCGTGTTACAGCCCTGACATGCTAAACTCTTATTGCACTTTAGGCAACGAGCATTGTCCACATCGAGACGGGTAAAGTTTAACCACACCTCGGAGCGCGTTCTCTCCGCCATCTCCGCTGTGTGTGTGTGTGTGTGTGTGTGTGTGTGTGTGTGTGTGTGTGTGTGTGTGTGTGTGTGTGTGTGTGTTGCTGCATGTAGCAGCTGTGTGTGTGTGTAAACTGCCCCGCCCCCTCGCACACAGACAGGAGAGAGAGAGATCTCTCATCTGGATTGGAAAGATCTAAAATACTAAAAATAATCATAGACGCATTCTGCAGTCTTTTTGCATCTTAGAAACGGAGTTGGCGACACTAAAACTGCAATATAATGTTTGTGTAGCAATAATACAATAGAATAGAACTGGAGGGATGAACCCCTCTGTAATGGTCACACATGCAGAACACACAGCACACAGTGAAATCTGCTTTTAACCCATCCTAGCACCAGGAGTCTAGTACTAGGAGCAGTGGGCAGCTATTGCACAGCGCAATGGGAGTGAGGGGGGAAGGGGGTTGTCCGGTGCCTTGCTAAAGGGCACCACAGCAGGGCCCAGGAGGTGAACTGGGACCTCTCCAAGTAGAAGTCCACACTCCATATTTAGGTCTGGTCGGAGACCTGAACCGACGACCCTCCGGCTCACAGTCCAAGCAAGCCCCTACTGACTGAGCCACTGCCGGACATTACATATGACATATATTTTGTACATGTCTCCAGTACCGATAAAAAGACTGATAACGTCGGTGCTTAATGGTACCACGGTCTTTAATAATTCAGCCCCGGGGCTCGGTACCCATCCCTATCTATACATGTGTATTCCTCATATCTACATATTTATATATATATATATATATATGTTTACAGTATAAAATGTTTATTTCACATTCATCTTAGTCTATTTTAAAGAAGCCCTTTTACGCTTTTTGTTTGTGTCCTATGGGTTTTAATGCATGTGAATGGTCTGCAAAGGCTAAAATCCCAGAGGGAGTTAAAGCATGGAGACATGTCACAGTAAAGGCACACAATACAAATATGAAACCTGAACATTAGCATAAAAGAGGACCTTTAAACCAACCTATTGTTCTTATTCCTGTGTCCATTGCACTATTGTTTTGTTATTTATGTTGCATTGTTGAAGGACCCTAATACCTAACATTTGCATAAACTACGCTTTAGCAATTGTGTATAACAATTAAGTCCTTTGAATTCTCTGGGTAACAAAATACCAGACTATTGTAGCTGCTCCAAATCAGTTTTTAGAGCCTGGAGAAAACAGTTTTATTCAGGAAAACAGTCACTGATTGGATTTCCTGTTCATCTCAGTCGCTAATGGAGTTTTATACAGTTACGTTGTTAAGTTAACAACGTAGTAGACTTTAGTAAAAGCACACTTATAATGTTTTTGAATAGCACTTGCTGTTGCTGTTGAAATGGGATAATCTTTAGGGTTAGGGTCCATTTAAAGTCTTTAACTTTTAATGTCGAGTCCCAAGTCTTTAGTTTTCTGTCAAGTCATCAAACGAGAGTCGAATCGAGTTCACATCCCTGCCTCCATGAGCTGTGTTTCAGCTGTTGAGTGTATAAATAAGGGGTCCAAATGAAACAATACTCAGCTTCCTGTTCGTTTTCAGACCGCCATTATACTCCTGTCTCTTTCATCTCACACAGAATCTCCCCCTCCTCCCCCTTTACCTCCATTCAAAGCGAACCCATCGAGTCACAGTACAAAATGTCATTGGTAATCATGCTAATATTCCATTAGCATACATAATGCTCTAAGCTACCTGCAGAAGCTTTCATATGTCACAAAGGGGGATAATTATAAGGAATAAACATCATGATCAAAAGACTCTTCAGAGTGGACGTAGCTGTTGAGCTAATGCATGGAAGTCAATGGTTTGTGAGGTTGTGTGTGCATGAACAGGTGGAAGCATGTATGTACCGTATTGACCCGAATATAAGACGACCCTGATTATAAGACGACCAAATCTTGTTTTTATAAAGAAAATAATTGTATTTTTAAATAATGATAACACACCCCTTTGCGGACCGCGGAATGCTCTTCTCTGACTGTTTACATTTTTAAGGGCGGTCTTTTCGGGCTCGCCATCTTCTCACGTTACACTCAGTAACACCATATGTCTTTGCTGCTCGACAGTTGTTTGATGACTCTGCTTCGTTGATCACCCTAATCTTAAAATTGGCATCGTAACTTCGCCTCTCTTGTTTATTAACTCGCCCTACTTTTGATCTACTTTGTTCGAGTTGGTCTCTATCTCTCCACCTGTTGTATTGTTACCGTACTTTAAGTCGGTGTCTCTCTCGGGGGAACACTCGTTTGACGCGATCTGTTGTTGTGACTGTCTAATTACATCGAAAAAAGTCTAGACCCCGAATATAAGACGACCCCTCTTTTTAAGATTTGTTCCTAGGAAAAAAAACCTGTCTTATATTCGGGTCAATACGTTAAAGTGGACCTATCATGCTATATTTGAATAATATAGTGTAGGACCATACCTATATAAGGCATATTTATACTTTTTTTTTTTTCAAAATACCAAACAGATCATGCATTTTAGCCATGCCTCATTTTGCTCAATTTGACATTTTTTTGCTCTGTTTTAGCAAGGGCTGATTCAGTGAGAACAGCACCACCTACTGGCCTGGCATATGTACTACAGCGTCTCCAGCGCTTTCGAACGGCAATGGCCGTGGCTGTCTCCTCCTGATTGGTGGAGTTGGCCCAATAGCCGTAGCGCCACCGTCCTGACGTCAGGACAGTGTTCAAATCTGGATCAGTTTTTATCAGATCCGTTGCAGCCCCTTTTTTAGAGATTTGGGTATGGAGGAAAATAGAGAGGGTTGTGTTTTCTGACACTTGGTGAGTTCCCTGGAACACCGGGGACACATATTCATGTAGAAAAGACGTACAAAAGTGCATTTTGCGTGATAGGTCCCCTTTAAGTTGTCACAGCTATTGTACATTGTTGTCTAAATCAATGGTTTACAAGTACATTATGGAAGGCAAGGCTGCCGCAAGATGTAACATTTCTATGTATCTTTTATGTACAAATGTGTGGAATATACAAAAGCATGATCAAAAGCCTGTTTGTATTGGACGTAGCTGTTGAGGTGGTGCATGGAGGTCAAGTGTTTATGGTGATATGTGAAAGTAATTGAGAATTTGCATTACTTGTTTTTCTATATACATCGACATTATATGTTTTTGATGAAGAAAGGGAGTTTAAAAGTGCCTTATGGTATTCAAGGCTGCCGCAAGACATTACATTATACGTATTTTATGAAGAAAAGGGGGACGAGTATTGTGGAATAAACAAAAGCATGATGAAAAGCCTCTTTGTAGTGTGCGTACCTGTTGAGGTGGTGCATCATCGAGTGGTCTGAGGGGTTCTGGAGCTGGTGATGAAGAGCGTGGAGCGCCGGATGATCGCAGGATTGAGTTTCGCTGAGTTTCCGAGCCAGATCAAAGCATTGGTTTCTCAAACACTCCAGACTGCTGAGGCAAACCTCCTCCTCGCTCTCGTCCGCCTGGAGAATAATTTAGTTTGGTATATTAGTTTATAGTGTCGTGGACAGTCCCCATTGATCAACTGTCACAAAATGGGGCAGCTTTAGCCAACATTGCTAATTTCCAGATGATAATAGACACCTTTTTAAAATCACAATACATCAACAGCATTAGTTATAAAGAAAGGATGAAAGACAAGTAGATAGAGGCGAAAGGATAAAAGAGAACAACAACATACATGTGACATATATCAGCAACATCCATGATCACAACATGTAACACACACCATATCCAACACAGACGAGTGTGTGCAGGTTCTCAGTGAACCATGTTTGTAAGTGAGCTGTAAAGGTGGTATATGTTTGCATGTCTTTGATTTGAGTGGGTAATAATATACTACACTTTATTTGTAGAGCTCCTTTCATGCACAAAGCAGCCCAAAGTGCTTTACAGACCAAGAAGAAAACATTTGTATTACTGCTGAATTTTATTCCATATTTTATTCCATTCTATTTCTATGTACATTTTACTATATTCTTTATTATTTTTAATATGTGTTAATGTTATTATAGTGTTCTTATAATAGTTCTCTATCTGTGTTTTTTTTATTCTTGTTTTACTTTTATGTATGCACCACGACACCAAGTCAAATTCCTCGTACGTGTCAACCTACCTGCTAATAAACCTGATTCTGATCAATATTAAAATAAATACAAAATAAGATAAAACATCAACAGTAATCTAATGAAATTTGGTGTTGTTGTTTTTTTGTTTTGTTTCTTTCCGTTAACTGTCAAGTGGAACTAAGTATTTTTTGGTACGTTTTTGTGTTTCTCTTATTTTCCAACGATGCTGTTATGATTGGCTGTGAATACGAAAATATGAAAGACAGACCATCTATTTCTATGTATTTATTTTTTGAGAAAGGGGCCGGTCATATCAGATTATTTTCTTCTCCCTGCTCCTTTTCGGGTACGGTGTGTTTATAGAGACATGTTTTGTAAAATTGTTATACATTAAAGGTCACCTATCATGCTATTTTTAGGCAATAGCATGGGTCTCAGATATATACTAATATATAAAAAACATGTCTATGAAGTGTTTTGCTCAAAATACCAAACAGATCACCCATTCTAGCCACGCCTCATATCCCTCTATTTCACTTCCTGTTTCAAAAGTGCTGATTTGGGGTATAAAGCTTGAAAAAAATTCAAGAATTGATAAAGAAGAAAAAAGGAGGGGGCTGAGCTCATGCGGGACCCGGCAGCTACTGTCTAAACTAAATGCTGCCGTGATGAAACGCCATATCATGGATTATCAAGGATTCTCTCTGAAACAGTATGGAGCTCAAAGGCTTTCTCTCTTGCCGGTTATACCACAAGGTGAGTTCCTTTTTATTTCCTGCTTCTTCACACACATGCTCTCCAGTACAGGTTAGCTCTGAGTGTTAGCGATGCTAATGTAAACACCGACCATATTACGTCCAAAACAGTCGGGCATTGTTTCTGATAGCAACGTTTCTGATAGGCCCGTGGGTCCACATTTCAGATATTACGTCATATCGGACGCAAATCTGTATCAGCTCCGTTGTTCCCCCGTTTTTAGAGATTTGGGTACGGAGGAAAAGAGAGAGGGTTTTATTTTTTGACGCTGCGTGAGTTCCCTGACACACCGGGGACACATGTTTATGTATAAAAGACATCACAAAGTGCATTTTGCATGATAGGTCCCCTTTAAAGGTCCCCTATTATACTGTTTTTCATCAATATATTATAGGTCTCAGATATATTCAGAACCTGTCTCTGATTGGCTGAAACACCAAACAGATCATTGCAGCATCCCATAATCCCCTCTGTTTCAGCCCTGTTTCCAAAGTGCTGATTCTCTGTCTGTTACTTTAGATGAAAATAAGGAGCCCCTCCCCACGCCCCTCTGAGAGAGATTTGGTTACAAAGAACACAATGGTGCTCTAGGAGGAGATTCAGGTGATAAGGGGGGGGGTTACCTTGGTTGCTGATTGGCTAATGGTTACACAAGCCAAAACATCGTTATGACATCATAAAGTGGCCAAAATCTGATCAGCTCGTTTTCAGACAGGTTTTTATAGAAATGGATCAGGACAAAAAGAGAGAGAATCTTTGTTCCTGAAACTTTCAGAGTCTCTTTACACAGAGGGGACACATGTTGATGAAGAAGAGACATGAAGAAGAGGGGACACATGTTGATGTAGAAGAGACATGAAGAAGAGGGGACACATGTTGATGTAGAAGAGACATGAAGAAGAGGGGACACATGTTGATGTAGAAGAGACATGAAGAAGAGGGGACACATGTTGATGTAGAAGAGACATGAAGAAGAGGGGACACATGTTGATGTAGAAGAGACATGAAGAAGAGGGGACACATGTTGATGTAGAAGAGACATGAAGAAGAGGGGACACATGTTGATGTAGAAGAGACATGAAGAAGAGAGGACACATGTTGATGTAGAAGAGACATGAAGAAGAGGGGACACATGTTGATGTAGAAGAGACATGAAGAAGAGGGGACACATGTTGATGTAGAAGAGACATGAAGAAGAGGGGACACATGTTGATGTAGAAGAGACATGAAGAAGAGGGGACACATGTTGATGTAGAAGAGACATGAAGAAGAGGGGACACATGTTGATGTAGAAGAGACATGAAGAAGAGGGGACACATGTTGATGTAGAAGAGACATGAAGAAGAGGGGACACATGTTGATGTAGAAGAGACATGAAGAAGAGGGGACACATGTTGATGTAGAAGAGACATGAAGAAGAGGGGACACATGTTGATGTAGAAGAGACATGAAGAAGAGGGGACACGTGTTGATGTAGAAGAGACATGAAGAAGAGGGGACACGTGTTGATGTAGAAGAGACATGAAGAAGAGGGGACACATGTTGATGTAGAAGAGACATGAAGAAGAGGGGACACATGTTGATGTAGAAGAGACATGAAGAAGAGGGGACACATGTTGATGTAGAAGAGACATGAAGAAGAGGGGACACGTGTTGATGTAGAAGAGACATGAAGAAGAGGGGACACATGTTCATGTAGAAGAGACATGAAGAAGTGGATGTTGCGTAATAGGTGTTTAAGTTGTGCATACCATGAACAGAACAATTAAAAATGAAATGAAACAAAATTCCCTTGAAGTAAAGCTGACAGAAAGAAATTAAAATAGGTTAAAATAAAACCATTTTTGGATCCTCACCCCGATGCCTTGTCGTCCGTTAGCATGTCCGATATCTCCTCCAACTTCTGGATATCCTTCATCCGGCATCATGTTCCCGTGTCCCTGTGCCAGAAGCTTCAGGGAATCCACGGTTTCCCGTACCACGTCACTGTCCAAATCCACGCTCAGTTCTCCTTTCCGATCGCCATGATGAATGTAATCGTCTTCATCATCTTCCTCTTCTTCTCCAGCGCTGTTTGAAGAGTTGCTGTTCATCTCGGACTCCGTCATGGCTTGGTAGGCGGCGTCTTCTGCGATTTTCCCCAGGTTGAGAAGCGATTTGGCGACCAGTTCGTCGTAATTCTCGTAATCTTCCCCCGTGCCGTTTCCAGCGCTGATGGTGCCGTGGTTGTTGTTGTTGTCGTCCTTGTGGATTGGAAGAAGCTTTGATTGTCCGAGGGGTTTGTAGTGCTTGTCAACTGTCAGGGACGGAACAAAAACAAAGGCTTTTACATCTAAATGCAAAACAAGTTATCAGCATATTTTCACCGCACACGATTTCTGAAATGACAAATTGAGGCTTTTTGAACCGAGAGGTCAGAAAGATCATCTGATGTGCACAGAAATGTTTGAAACAAGAGGTAAAGTACAGTATGTTGCACCATTGACAACATCAACAGTAGGTTTCGATTAATTCCAGTGAGTTTGTAGGGTACCACTTTACAATAAGACTACCCTTATAAAGGGTTTACGAATAGTTTGTAATTCATTTATTAATTAGGTTGTGAACACTTTATAAATCATTAATAAGCTTTTATAAGACATGAGATAAACAGGGCAACTGTGACCGGTTGCTTGCCAAATAGTGAGCCCACATTTATCTGTACTGTTAAGTCTTATATTGGCTAATTAGCATACTTCGTCTCCTTCATCAGCCAGCATCCTTGGTATCTATTGTTCACTGAGTTGATTCTCGCTAAGTAGCCAATATAAGGCTTAGTCATCTTGCCAAATAGTGAGCCTGTGTTGATGTATGCAAACTATGTTAGAACTGGTTTATAAATGGTTCTTAATGATTAATAAAGTGTTTACAACCTAATTCATAACCTAATTAGAAACCCTTTCTGAATCCTTTATAAGGGTAGTCTTATTGTAAAGTGGTACCGTTTGTAGTGGTCGCCAACAACAAACTCTTAGGCTTTACGTCCAAATGCAAAACATCACATAATAATGTCAGTCCTGCGCAATAAACCTGTTTTTGATTCTGATTCTGATTCACTATCATAGTTTCACTCAGCACTTTATGCCGTAAACAACACAAACAGTAGATAACAGTAAATAAGTCAGAAATGACAGAGCATTTGATTAATTCCTGTTCATTTAGGATGAAAATCCTGCAGATGAAAATGAAATGAAACCTTTTTACATCTTCTAATCCAGTTTCTTCTCATGTATATCCCTGAATTCATTAGCTCCCATCTCTCCCAATTATGATCCTCTGTTTACTCGCACAAAAACACACAACCCAGAGCTGCTCTCCTCTCTCAGCCTCGCTGTTGATTTTGAGGACAGCGACGGCGAATGAGAGCAGAGAAATTGAGAAAGGGGAGGCGTGTGAGGTGCTCCGATTCGGGAGCCATAAATATTCTCAGGAGGAGAAGAAGAGGAACATGTGACTCGTCCCTGGAGTTAATAACTCAGCAGAGCTGCTCTCCAGATTATTCGTGAGGCGCTGTCAGAAGCGATTGAGGACACGGGGGTGTTGGTTTGGGGGAAAAGAGGCAGAGCATCTGGTCGAACACAGATTCAGCTCATCCCTTCCTCCTCTCTCGCTGCAGAGAGCTTCAGCTGTTTGGCTTGCATGCACATGTCCACCTTTTGTTGAGCTCTTGTAGATTGAGCTACAGTTTTACAAAGATATTCGGCATCTTATACGCAATACTACCCAAAAAATCTTCTTGCATCTACAATAAACAGTATTTAATTTCACATTCTGTTCTTATTTATCTTATACTATTTAGATGTATATAGACTCCTGCATTCACTGTTTCACTTTCAACATTCTCTGCCTTATTTAGCTTATTTGATTTGATATAACCCTCAAAGACTGTCTTTCCCAAAAGAAACTCAGATATTTGGTTAAACACTTCCCCTGTGACCTATGCTCTTGTTTTCTTGGAAAGGTATATCTCCTGGATATTTATATATATATTGCACTGCTTTAGAAGTATTGTAAACGGCTTGATAGCCACATGGAAACATCACAGGACGGACACATGTAGACAGATAACGATCCAACCCATACGGGCTATTTAGAGATGTTAGGTAACCTTGGGAGGAAACTAGAGCACCCAAAGGAAGATCGTAAAGGCTTCCAGGATCTGATGTCATATTTGCCACAGCAGAACAAATACATCTTTTATATAACTATCCTTATTTCATTTAAAATGGTGATGAGTAGCTCGATTGCAAAAGAAGCTCCAGCACACTGTCTAACTTTTTGGCGACATTTTGGAACTAGCCCTTAATCAGGAAAAAGTAGATCAAGTGCCGTCGTCGCTAATATGTTTAAAATACAATGTTAATATAATAAGTAGGAACGTGTATGGGAGCTTTGCGGATTATTTTCACAGTTGGATGTTTGCTCATTTCACACTTCAGAAGCAAAGAAGAAGTTCTTGGTGGGGCAACAGCGTTCTGAAATCAGCCAAACTAAATAATCAGTTAACTCACCATGCTGACGATTCGGCTGCTCGTCTTCCTCCTCCTCGTCTTCCTCTCCCTCGTCATCCTGCTCGTCTTCATCGTCGCCATCCTCCACTTCCTCCTCCTCCTCGTACATCCCATCGTCCTCTTCCTCCTCCTCTTCTTCTTCGTCCTCCGCTCGTTCTCTTCCCATTGTCTTCACCGCCCTCTCCACCTCTACCTCGTCCTCCTCTTCCTCCTGCTCCTCGTTGTCCTCCGAGAACTCGTCGTCCACATCTTCATCGCCTTCTCTACCCGTCTCCTCTTCCTCCTCGTCTTCCTCCACTACCTCCCCTTGCTCCTTCACCTTCTCTACTTCATTCGGGTAGTTAGTGTAGACGACCTCTTCCCCCCCGGAGAGGAAAGGCCTCCTCTTGGCAGCCGGCTCCAGAGGCTGTTTCTCCAGAGCCTTCCTCTTCTTGGCCAACGGGCAGCCGTAGACGCTAAAGAGAGACAGAGGGCACACCATCAGTAGCCATCTTTGTTTTTACCCAATCTTTAAAGTCCAAAAGCTTCCAGAGGGGGGAAGTAGTGGAGTACAAATACTACGTTACTGTACTTAAGTATATTTTTCTGGTATCAGTACTTTACTCCACTACTTATTTTTCTGACCACTTTTTACTTTGACTTCTTACATTTTTAACACAAATACCTGTACTTTCTACTTCTTACATTTTGAACACAAATACCTGTACTTTCTACTTCTTACATTTTGAACACAAATACCTGTACTTTCTACTTCTTACATGTTGAACACAAATACCTGTACTTTCTACTTCTTACATGTTGAACACAAATACCTGTACTTTCTACTTCTTACATGTTGAACCCAAATACCTGTACTTTCTACTTCTTACATGTTGAACCCAAATACCTGTACTTTCTACTTCTTACATGTTGAACCCAAATACCTGTACTTTCTACTTCTTACATGTTGAACACAAATACCTGTACTTTCTACTTCTTACATGTTGAACACAAATACCTGTACTTTCTACTTCTCACATTTCCCAAACAGGCTGGTTCCTTTAGTTTGAATGTGTGTTTGGTGGCGTGATCATTATTATTTAGAGTCATTGCGTGCCTATTGATTTGAACACGATCCGTGTATCCATCATTTCCTGGTCTTCTCTAAAGAAGAGGGACCAATGAAAACGTTGTCATGTTGCCGTTGTTCAGCATGGAAACATTCATTAGCTAACAATGACATTATTGTTCTATTAATATAAAGGGAGGTCAGGTACTCTTTAAAACAGCTGCTAGTTATGGGTACTTTTTACTGAAGTACATTTCAAAGCCCTCTTTACTTTTACTTGAGTAAAGAAGTTTAGTCAGTACTTCTACTTTTACCAGAGTATTTTTAAACACGAGTATCGGTACTTCTACTTGAGTAAAGGATGTGTGTACTTTTGCCCTGTCTGAAGCTTTCCCTCCTGCCACTAACGAACCAAATTTAGCCAAAACAAACACAACTGGGTTGCCCAACTTGCCAGTATGTTATATTGGAACTATTAGTTGGTTTATAGACAAAAGATCACAACTGTAATAATGAACATTTACTTGAGAGTTCAAAATATAGCCTGTGTCTTCTTATAATTGTATAATAACCTACCCGCGAATTGCAAGACAGTGCAAACGTTTTAATCATATGAATGAATGGGAAATCGACGTGAACAGAGCTCAAAATCATCCAACTTTGTGGTCATACTGATTCTCCATACTGTAACGGAGAAAACATATTTAAAGTTCAAACAGCTCTCCAGACTCTCAACTTTATTTGACTATAAGGGTTTTTTGGATATATGGAATGGTTTTCCTAAAATCACAGTTTAAGTTTTGTGACCATTTCAAATCTTGATGCACTTTTGAAGATAAGATTTTGATGAAATGGCTTAACTTTTACATCAGGATGGTCTTCAGAAAAAGCATAAGGTATTTCTTCTTCTGCTGGTCCATGTGTGAAGACACTGCAGATTATTTTTTACACGCATTCGCTAAGAAAGAGAATCAGCCTCTTAAAAAAAAAAAACCCCAAAGCTTATTCAAGCAGGGACTCAATTACGCAAATCCCATAATAGTCATTAACTGTGGGGAAAATTCTGTTTTAATTGCTCTCAAACAGCAAGCACAATTATACACGGCGTTAATGTGGATTTTAGGAAATCAATTAGGGCATTTCCATATGAAAGAGCTTATTTTGTGTTGGGAGGGAAAGTTGGAGGAGGTGACTGAGTGTTGACAATAAAATTAAAACATTTAATCATTCAACAATTAAGTTGTATTCTTTTTTTAAGTGTCAATGTCTCAATCACCTGCTTCTGAACCAACCTTCATATGAATTACAATTCCATTTTTTTTAATGTCTCTTACAAACTGGTATGCTTGATATTGATAAACGGACCTGGGGTTTTCGTTCAAATCCAAAACATCGATAAAGCAGCAGAAATGCAAGATCAGTTTCCATATTTGCAGGATGTAAAGCACAACAAACAGTAGAGTATCATTGCTATATTTGCCAAAACAGATGCTGTGATTGCAAAACATTTGATGTCATTACGCTGAAAACAATAGAGGACCTAGGGTTGACCCCTGTGGAACTCCGCAGGGAAGCTTGATTTTATGGGTTTCACTTTTTAGGGATTTTTTAATTAGAAACCAGTGAGATAACCAATATTATCCTTCTAAAGGAAACATAGTGGGAGCAGTATAATTATATTTCATCATATTGCATTAGTAAGCAAAGGTATATGAGAGCACTGAAGGTTTATTCCATTAGATGTTTTCATTTGTATTTCACGTATGGTCTGTACTTGTTTCAGTTCCTTCATGAAAGGACAGATATTCAATTTACTACAATTAATTACTTGATTTTGTTCATGATTTGGCAACAAGCCAATACACAATTATAATTTTAGGATTGATTAAGAAGGAGAGACTGTGTGAGAGAGAGAGAGAGAGAGAGAGAAAATCTATTTCATGTAACACTGCGGCATGTATTTCTACCAGAAAACACACACACACACCAATTCTCCTCAAATGATCCCTCCATCTTATGTGTGTGTGTGTGTGTGTGTGTGTGTGTGCATGTTTGTGTGTGTGACCTTAGCCACCTTGCTGTCTCCCGCCAATTAAAATTCTGGTGGTAATTAAAGCAGATCAGAAACCAGGGAATGCTGCAGACAGGGGCGAGAGACTATGCATGGTAATTATGTGAAGGGAGAGAGAAAGGGGGAGGGGGGGAGTTCACACATCACATTTTCTCTTCGTGCTGAGCTGATCTGCTGCAGTCTGATATGATGCACTGCGATTGATTATATCCCGCGTGTTAAATCGATTGATATCTCATTGGTTTTCCGTATAAAGACACCTTGACTGATGCTAATGAGGACTAGCTTAAATATAGGCAGTCAATATTTGTCTGAAAATGATGTTTTGAGGACTGCATTCCCAACATCATATCATATGTACGAATGAAGAGAATATACCATAACACAGCGTCTGCAGAAAGAATGTTGCGTTATGGGTTGTTTGAAGCCTCATGTCGCTAAGCTCACATTATTTTAAATTTGTGTTTCAAGAAGAAAATCCTTTATTGGTCCCACAGCGGGTACATTTACAGTGTTGCAGCAGGAAATAGGGTAAAGTAACAACAATTGTGGAAAACATGTAATATATAATAAGTTAAAATTAGTCTCTGTCTCTATGAGGACACCTTGGGTCCATAATTGTCTCTGAAGGGATTTAAAGAGTGCATTATTCTCTCTACTGGGTCACCTAGAGTCCATGTTTGTCACATTGAGGACACCTGTAGTCCATTATTTTCTCTAGAGGCTCTTTGAGCATTGAGTCATTACCTCTACATGGACCTAGTGTCCATGATTGTCTCTATCAGGACTTCTAGCATCCTTTTAGTCTTTACAAGGACACCAAGATTACATTTTCTCCCTAATCTGTACACTTGTAGTCCACTATTTTCTCTAAAGGGACACTTAGAGTCCATTTCTGTCTCTATGAAGCAACTAAAGCCCATTTCAATTTCTACATTTACACCTGGCATACCATTTTGTCTCCATGTGGACACCTTGAGAGTCATTTGTGTCTCTGAGAGGTAACCTGGTGTCCATTTATTTGTATTTTTGGACAACAGGAGTCCATTATTGTCTCTTTGAGGACACCTGGAGTACATTTTGTCCAAACGAGGACACCTGGAGTAAATGTTGTCCGAACGAGGACACCTGGGGTACATTTTGTCCAAACGAGGACATCTGGAGTATATTTTTGTCTATATGTGGATACCTGGATGGTCATTTGTGTCTCTAAGAGGTAACATGGTGTCCATTTATTTATATTTTTGGATAACAGGAGTCCATTATTGTCTCTTTGAGGACACCTGGAGTAAATTGCTGTCTCTATGTGGACCCCAGAAAGGTCAATTTTCATCGCTGTGAGGACATTTTTCAGTCCATAATATTCTCCTATACCTTTGTCAACTTATCGAGCAAACAGAGGCTGTGATTAAACCCAGAGCATGACAGACTGTTGCTACGGTTACCTGCAGTTTAATATACCTTGAGCTCTTATTTAGACCAGAAGCATGTTGCCTATCAACCAATCAGAAACAAGTATTCCTGTGACTGTGACGCAATCATTTTCGCTTAAATGAGACATACATTACATTTTCATGTTTATCAATTATTTTCATTGATAAAAATAGACACTACTGTATAGGACAGAAGTTTGTCATTTATCCTTTTTTTATATTTGCTAAGAATATAAAACACATAAAAAAAAACTATTATGTAAAATAAACTTGCAAGTCCATGAAAAAATGATTGTTTTTGTATCCCTTATTTAGAAGTATGTGTTAGTACTATTATTATAATGAGTTTTTTCTCACTTTCGCACACAATTAAACACATAAACATGCGCTCTATATTTAACAGAGACCCCCTTAATTACAAATAAGTCACAATAACTGCATGAAGTTATTAATAGACTCATTGCGAATATTATTTCATCATGTATTTTTATTGTTTTGCAAAAATAAAACATCAAAAAGTATGGTTTAAAATCAACTTGCAGGTCCATGAAAAATAATATATCATGTATCCATTACTATTTGTATTTATTAGCAGTATTATTATGTTATTTTCCCCCTTAATTACAAATATAACTCACAATAACTGCAAGATGTTATTATCAGACTCAATATGACTATTATTTCATTGTTTTTTTATGTTTTATTTTATGTTTTTGCACCAATTAAACATCCAAAAAGTATTGTTCAAAGTGGCCGTGCATGCCCATGAAAAGAAACATATTTAATTTTTATATTTTCATGGTTAGAAATAATAAAAACTTAGTCCTTGGTGTCACTGCAGAGAGTCATTCAGACGACAGAAATATCTTCTGCAGTGTGATAATTAAATCTAGGTGTGTGTGTGTGTGTGTGTGTGTGTGTGTGTGTGTGTGTGTGTGTGTGTGTGTGTGTGTGTGTGTGTGTGTGTGTGTGTGTGTGTGTGTGTGTGTGTGTGTGTGTGTGTGTGTGTGTGTGTGGCAATGCTTTGGCACCAACAGAAGGTGTGTGTGTGTCAGTGTGTGTGTGTCGGTGTGTGTGTGTTTAATGTGGGCGACATGATGTTCACATCCTATACTAGCGGTTGCCATTGGAGACAGGCTGCATCCCTCCTGGTCCTCATACTGCAGCACGGTGCTGTCGCCATGGTGACATCCTCCAGAGAGGGAGACAAAGAAAGGTAGGAGAGAGAGAGAGAGAGAGAGAGAGAGAGAGAGAGAGAGAGAGAGAGAGAGAGAGAGAGAGGGAGGGACAATGACTTTGAACACCCCCCCCCCCCCCCCCCCCCCCCCCCCCCCCTCTCGAATCATTCATTCAGCACACAGACTGTTTCTGCTTCAGGAAGTTATAGATCCCAGTGATGTGGAGAAATGTTGGGATTTACTCTAAAAACCAAAAAGGGAGGAGCAGGAATGAGTACTTTCCTGTTCCATCGTGTGGAAGTCAATGTTTATGTGAATATGTTTTTGGTTGTTAGCCTTGAATAAGGTCTGTGGTTATGATATTAAAATATGTTAGACAAAGAGTGGTGCAGTAATGAGTCCTAAAACTTGGAAATTCATCCGTATTTTACCACTTCTTGTTCCCTCTTCAATGGTTTTTGAATGTGTTTTTGGTTGTTAGCCTGAAATAAGGTCTGTGGTTAACACAAGCTGAAGAGATTTAAATGTTTTATTCTGCGACAACAAATACGTCAGTAAATAACTCACTGGTGAATTTAAAAACCGCGGTAGCTAACAAGTGTCTAAATGAGACGAGTAAACGTTATCACGGCCAACATTAGCCGCCTTTAGCTTAGCGGTGGTGACGTGAAGTCATGTGACCGTGCTGTAGTTCCTTTATAGCCCAACATTAGCCGCCTTTAGCTTAGCGGTGGTGACGTGAAGTCATGTGACCGTGCTGTAGTTCCTTTATAGCTCAACATTAGCCACCTTTAGCTTAGCGGTGGTGACTTGAAGTCATGTGACCGTGCTGTAGTTCCTTTATAGCTCAACATTAGCCACCTTTAGCTTAGCGGTGGTGACTTGAAGTCATGTGACCGTGTTGTAGTTCCTTTATAGCCCAACATTAGCCGCCTTTAGCTTAGGTTGGGTTGGGGGATAGATCAATTGTATGCTTTTAAATACTTTTAGCACAAGGCAGCTACCTAAGAAAATGAATAAAGTGAAGCGATCTAAATATTCTCTGAATTTATTTCCCCAGAGTTGACAAAAAAGCAACCTTTTTACTCAACTTGAGCTTGTAGATCCTCACTACTTCCAGTATTTTTGCCTTTTTGCCATTTTTTCCAAGCTAAACACTTCATGCACCATCTTTATACTGCACATTTTCTCGTATGACTTTGGTGAAGACTATAAATCTCAAACAAAGCAAGTTAAATAGTTGGTGGAGTTGGATGAAACTTCCCAAACCTGTATAGAAAGGCGGAAAAAGGTGGAAAACTAGGAATGATTGTGCAGATGCTGTGTTCTCTATCTCTCTCTGAGTCTTTGTGAAATCAGACGTTTGTGTACAGTGCAGTCTTGTGATCAGCTGATGATTCACTGATTAAGGGATTCAGCATGCCGTTTCCCCAGAGAGGAAGACATCATACGACCTACTTCTCTTTCTAAATCTCTTTCTGCCTTTCTTTCTCCGTCACTTCAGTAATTTGTCAGCAGGACTATTTATGAGACACGATAAAAGGGAAAAACAGTCCTGCGGTGAGATTTTTTTTACCTCCTGTTTCCACTGTTTTAAGCTAGAATGCATGCAAAATCCTTAAAGGGGCCTTAATATGTTTCTTTGGGGCTTTTCCCTTTCTTGTAGTGAGTTGTTGTGCATGTACTGTAAATAGTCTGCAAAGGTTAAAATCCCATCGCGGTAGGAAAAAATAAAGACATTTTTAACATTAAAACATTAACATCTACAATCCTGGGCATCTTCGTCTGCTTAAAAAAGACATCTTTGCATAAAGCAACTTGCAAACCTTATGCTACATCCTTTAAAAATAATCAATTTATAATAATCAGAGCTCTTATTTTTAAATGTTCCTGAAAGTCTTCGTGCTCTTTGCAGCACCATCAGTCTGCTCTGCCAGCGACTCGCCATCCTGCCCTTCTCATTATCTCTCCGTTACCTCGAGCATCAAACCACCGCTGCCCTGAGCCGTATAACCTCTATATACAGCCGCCCACACACACACACACACACACACACACACACACACACACACACACACACACTATTAAACCAATACCGTAGAGATGTTCCGAAATAACATCAAATCATCTCAACGAGAGCTTTGATTTCATAACGTATGTTTAATTCTATTCAAAACGGGAAAAATACTCAAATGTCCTCCTACACATCCTCACATCCAGCCTTCAAATGTAATTTTCTTCGAGTGAAAGCCTCTGTGGTGCACTTCAATGCAGCTGCAGTGCACCTGCTTTGATGTATATTTCACCTGGTTTATAAAAAAAAAAGTGATCTTTCAACCTGGATCTGTGCAGAATAATGTCACCCAAAGAATTGGGTTCAACATATTTCAATTGGAGGAAAATGAAATCATGACATATTACATGACATGTCACTTGTTGGACACATTTATCCAAAGCGACTTACATACTCAATACAATCCCCACCGGAGCAATTTGGGGTGAAGTGTCTCAGGGACACAACGACATTCTGACTGCAGTGGGGTTTGAACCTGTGACCCCCTGATCCGAACACCTACGGACAACCCACTACGCCACACGTCTCATATATAGTTGCCTAGTTTTGATTTATTGTAAGAAATATAAGATAATATTAAGAACAAAGCACTGTTATCTTACTATGATTGCGGTTTTACTGCAGGAAAACTTTCAGCAATGGACATGAGCTTAAAAGACTCGTTGCAAGCGTTACTTCTTGCAGCAGCCCCCCTGCGTATATTTCTAATTCAATGTTTCCAAAGGCTCCAGAGATCTGAGGAAGAAACCATGGAGCAGTCTGCAGGACGGACAGCCATCGGGGGATTTGACCCCGGGCCGTCACAGCTCCAGTCTCCTCCTGATTGGTTTTCCTGTGACCGAGCATTGGATTTACTTCGCTGCAGGCGACGACCTGCAGAGCTCTGAACGTCCAGGAGACATGAGACCGTGACGTGAATTAATTTATTGTTCGTACGATTCTGACTCTGAGCTGCTGAGTGAGACGTTTCAATTTGTAATCTGTTTTAATTGTTCTATGTCCTATATATACAGAGATGGCAAAAGTAAACACATCTTTTGCTGAAGTAGAAGTACAGATACTCGTGTTTAAAAATACTCTGGTAAAAGTAGAAGTACTGACTAAACTTCTTTACTCAAGTCAAAGTAAAGAGGGCTTTGAAATGTACTTAAGTAAAAAGTACCCATAACTAGCAGCTGTTTTAAAGAGTACCTGACCTCCCTTTATATTAATAGAACAATAATGTCATTGTTAGCGAATGAATGTTTCCATGCTGAACAACGGCAACATGACAACGTTTTCATTGGTCCCTCTTCTTTAGAGAAGACCAGGAAATGATGGATACACGGATCGTGTTCAAATCAATAGGCACGCAATGACTCTAAATAATAATGATCACGCCACCAAACACACATTCAAACTAAAGGAACCAGCCTGTTTGGGAAATGTAAGAAGTAGAAAGTACAGGTATTTGTGTTCAACATGTAAGAAGTAGAAAGTACAGGTATTTGTGTTCAACATGTAAGAAGTAAAAGTAAAAAGTAGTGGAGTAAAGTACTGATACCAGAAAGATGTACTTAAGTACAGTAACGAAGTATTTGTACTCCACTACTTCCCACCTCTGTCTATATATATATATATGTTGCACTGTTGGAGGAGTCTGTGACTTTTCATTGCCATATCTACACTGTAGCTAATGTGCAAATGACAATAAAGCCTTGAAACTTGAAACTTGAAGACCGAATGGAGGGCCACAGCCGACCCCCACCACTTAATGTTTGTTTTTTGCAATCAACCAAGAAAATTCAGAACACTTTTCTGATTATCTTTTCTTTTTTGAATCCAGATTTAAAAGATTTGAAGGGGTTCATACCTGCGATGTCTGGCGTACTTCCCGCTGACGTGACCGCTGCCATCACAGCCTGGAGTGGGACAGCTGAGGAGGAAACACACACACACACACACACACACACGTTATATAGGTTTTTGTGCATGTAAATAGTCTGCAAAGGCTAAAATTCCTGTGTTCCCTTCACACTCTTCCCCTGCCTGAAACGCCTCCATAGGACTCCTTTGTTTACTTCCTGAACATAGTGATATTCGCCTTTGGTACTGATCTTTGATTCTGGCATTTTAAATTAGAAAAATTGAAACCCATAAAATCGAGCTTTCCTTGGGAGTTCCACAGGGGTCAATCCTAGGTCCTCTATTGTTTTCAGCGTAACTACGTCCAATGTTTTGCATCAAATCACAACATCCTTTTTTGCAAATATACCTACCATGTATTTTGTTGCATTTTAAATCCTGCAATTATGGTATCGGGTCTTGCATTTTATTCGGTTTATCGATGTTAAGAATGGTAAGAATACCACTCTTAAAGGTGAACTATGGAACACTCGCGCTCCTATTGGCTAGTGCTCCAACACATTGTACGTGATAGGCTAAGGGGCGGGACATCTCTAACCGGTTGACTAATCACAACAGAGCCGGCCAGCTAACCAATCAGAGCAGACTGGGCTCTGGTTTCAGACAGAGGGTGAAAAGAGGTGCTGCAGCACAGGCAGTATGAGAACAATAAAGAGCTTTTTGAACATTAAAGCATGGAGACATGTCCCTGTAGAGACACTACATACTGATATACACCTGAACATCAGCAGGAGAGGACTCTTTAAAGTAGAGACACTACATACTGATATACACCTGAACATCAGCAGGAGAGGACTCTTTAAAGTAGAGACACTACATACCGATATACACCTGAACATCAGCAGGAGAGGACTCTTTAAAGTAGAGACACTACATACTGATATACACCTGAACATCAGCAGGAGAGGACTCTTTAAAGTAGAGACACTACATACTGATATACACCTGAACATCAGCAGGAGAGGACTCTTTAAAGTAGAGACACTACATACTGATATACACCTGAACATCAGCAGGAGAGGACTCTTTAAAGTAGAGACACTACATACTGATATACACCTGAACATCAGCAGGAGAGGACTCTTTAAAGTAGAGACACTACATACTGATATACACCTGAACATCAGCAGGAGAGGACTCTTTAAAGTAGAGACACTACATACTGATATACACCTGAACATCAGCAGGAGAGGACTCTTTAAAGTAGAGACACTACATACTGATATACACCTGAACATCAGCAGGAGAGGACTCTTTAAAGTAGAGACACTACATACTGATATGAACCTGAAAATGAGCATAATATGGACACTTCAAAGTTCATGAACAAATTAAAGTCGGAAGAGAGTCTAAATGGGATCATCGTCACACATCTGAAAGTCTGACTCATCGTTATGAATCATTGTGCAGAGTTAGCGTTATTAAATAAGCCTTCAAAAATAAGAATCCATCACTAAAACTGTTCTTTCTGGATTGTAACGACCAATGCTGGCCTTTCTGTTTTCAGCAACACACCCGTTTAGCCCCAGCAAACCTGAGTTTATAAACATGAATGAGTGTTAAACACGGTTAATCTATCCTGAGCCCGGGTAAGGTGCAGGAATTTAACATCCAATTTAAAATGCTGTTCATGTGGCCTTGATTTGGCCACATCTCATTCAGCAGCAGGAAGATGTCTCTCTGTCTGAATGTGTTGATGTTTTTATATATAAATATATTGTGAGTCACTCTGCAATGAAGACACGCAGACCGCCAGCCAACGCACACCGCCAGGCTTCAGGGAGTGCACACCCATGACCTCTGACACACACACACACACACACACACACACACACACACACACACACACACACACACACACACACACACACACACACACACACACACACACACACACACACACACACACACACACACACACACACACACACACACACACACACACACACACACACTCTCACTCTCACCTGATCCACACACCCTGAAACTGCAGGCTAAAAAGAGCTGCACGAAGATAAATGTGAAGATTTAACATCACGAGTGCAGTCAGGGAGGGAGAGGAGGAGGAGGAGGAGAATGAAGAAGAAGATGAAATATAGGAGAAAGAGTTGAAAGGAATGGAGGTTAATAGGAGGAAGCAGATGGTGAGAAAAAGATGGTTACCACAAGGAAGGAGGAGGGAAGATAGGGGGCAAAGAAGGTATATTTTAGCATAATCTTGACTAAAACAAACAGATGCCATTCAAGCACACTTGAATATCCATGCCATTCCTCAATCACATGCACATAGCACACTGCTTACTGCATGGCTATTGAGACCACACCCCCTACAGGCACTGTGCATTCCTCCATCACATGCACAGATGATTTCTAGAAGTAATATTTAACTCAACATTCATGTTTTTGTTCTTCAATGAAACAAATGATTGTTCAATACAATTATTAAAACTTGTTCTGTTCTACTTAAAAAAAAAGGGGAAAAAAATCTGTTGAAATGTCATGTTTTTTGTTTAATTTTGCATCGAATATTTCCAAAATTCCCCAGCTTAACTTCCTATGGAAACTTTCCGGAAACTTTCCGGACATGTTCCGCCCCTTTGCCCCAAAGAGAAGACAGAGGTGGCCAAGAAGAAAAATACAGCTTTAGTAAATGACGTGGAAAAGGAAAATAGGAGGATTGAATCTCGTAGGAAAAGTGGGAGCAAAGAAAAGAGAAGTATAAGAGGAGAAAGGATTGGAAGACAAGGAGGAGGTGAGAAACAGATGAAGAGGAAGATGAAGAGGAGAAGGAGGAAGAGGAGAGAGAAAAACAAGAGAAGGAGCGCGAGAGAAGGGAGGAAAAGGAGGCGGTTCGTTCAAGGTGAGGAGGATCATCAATCAGTGTGGGAGCAGAGACTGATCGTGTTGCTGTATTGATCGTGTGTGTGTGTGTGTGTGTGTGTGTGTGTGTGTGTGTGTGTGTGTGTGTGTGTGTGTGTGTGTGTGTGTGTGTGTGTGTGTGTGTGTGTGTGTGTGTGTGTGTGTGTGTGTGTGTGTGTGTGTGTGTGTGTGTGTGTGTGTGTGCTGGCTACAATGTGAAACACGTTTTCCAATCATGCTCTAAATCCCCAAATGAAACAACCCTAACCTTAACGAGCTGTTTGAGTCTTAAAAAAGAAAATGTCTTGAAAACTTCAAAATATATTTCCTTCCTCCGTGGAGAGAGAAACTTTCCCCGTGTTTCCAAAGCAACTGAACATTTCTTTCACTAAGTTGCTTGACTCCAGTGATGTTTAACTTGATCTCGGGGCACAGAATGCTTATTACTCACAGAGAAGAGACAGAAATATAAAGGTTTAAATAATAGAAAGAGAGGCGGCGTGAATGTAAATAACCAACGTTAAACATAGATATTGCATGTCTACATCCATCAATTCAATTCAATTCAATTCAATGCCTCCCTTGAAAACAGAACAAGAACTGAACATGTCTTCCAATATTTGGCAAAAATTGGACTATACTCATTTACTACCTTGCTCGATGACTTTGTCGCAATGTTTTTGGACTCAAGCTGAGGCCAGGAACACATCTATCTATCTATCTATCTATCTATCTATCTATCTATCTATCTATATATATATATCTATCTATCTATATATATATCTATCTATCTATCTATCTATATATCTATCTATCTATCTATCTATCTATCCATCCATCTATCTATCTATCTATCTATCCATCCATCCATCTATCTATCCATCTATCCATCCATCTATCTATCTATCTATATATATATCTATCTAGCTATCTATCTATATATATATCTATCTATCTATCTATCTATATATATATATATATCTATCTATCTATCTATCCATCCATCTATCCATCTATCTATCTATCTGTCTATCTATCTATCTATCTATTTGTCTATCTATCCATCTATCTATCTATCTATCTATCTGTCTGTCTGTCTGTCTGTCTGTCTGTCTGTCTGTCTGTCTGTCTGTCTGTCTGTCTGTCTGTCTGTCTGTCTGTCTGTCTGTCTGTCTGTCTGTCTGTCTGTCTGTCTGTCTGTCTATCTATCTATCTATCTATCTATCTATCTATCTATCTATCTATCTATCTATCTATCTATCTATCCATCCATCCATCTATCCATCCATCCATCCATCCATCCATCCATCCATCCATCCATCCATCCATCCATCTATCTATCTATCTATCTATCTATCTATCTATCTATCTATCTATCTATCTATCTATCTATCTATCTATCTATCCATCCATCCATCTATCTATCTATCTATCTATCTATCTATCTATCTATCTATCTATCTATCTATCTATCTATCTATCTATCTATCTATCTATCTATCTATCTATCTATCTATCTATCCATCTATCTATCTATCTATCTATATATCTATTTATCTATCCATTGATTTAGTCTTTGTGTGTATAAGTTAAAAGTGTGTGGCTCCATGTTGGTGCTATAAAAGCTCAATTGGTAATTCAAACATAGGTTTTCTCATGACCCTAAAGATCAAATGTATCCGGTCATTGCACTCTTCATTTCTTCAGAAGTATAGAAGGACATATATTCTTTCTATACTTTAAACTGGAGTTAAAGTAATAATTCAAAGCTTTGTTGCAGCTCTGGTTCGCACTGAGCAGACAGATGTGATGAGTTTATTTAGCAGTTACCACAAAGTCATGGAAGACTTTTTAATATCACCACCACATGTCTTTCTTACCACTAAATCTGCCTACACACCACAATGATGAATTAATTCAAATAATGTTTATCCTTACAGATTAGTCAGATTAGTCAGTGGAGTAAAAAATAATTGAAGAAAAATATTCGATGGCATGCTGACAGTATTTACTGTTTGAGTCGTTTCTACCAACTTTAAATCCTCTCTGTTCACGTCTACCTTTCAGATTTAAATTCTGAGAGAATATGGTAGAGTTTCCTGCTCCTCTGCTCAGGGCTCACAGCTCAGACAGGACATGTTGTTTACAGTAAAGCAATGACCTGGATCAAACTGGGTTCAACCATAATCTGCTGCACACACTAATATGTGTCACTTTTACTGAATGAGATGAAGTGAAGCAGAAACACTCTCTCAAACAGGTAGAAGTGAAATTCAGCAGTTACTACCAGCCGCTGCGAGTGAGTTGTTCCTCACGCGACGCAAAAGCGGATGAATTATCCATCAATTTAGATTAAATATGTCACATTTTAACACGGTACACTGTTGGCCCATTACTGTTGGTCATAATATCATGATTTTTCTCGAATTACAACATTTACCTTGCCTTCATCATCAGCTTTTAGGCTCAAAAGATGGATGGTTAGATATCTCGGTATTAAAACGTTCCCATTGTGTTTCACTTCATGAAGGTGAATTGTAATATTTTGGTGACCTTAAAATGTATTTTCAAGCGTTGCACTTGCCAAGATACCATCAGGAAAAACTCCAAACTCAAGGCTTTAAAATGGTTGTTCACGAACCAATAAGTGAGGTTTCAGAGACTTCATCCATCCTAAGTATCCTAGAACAGCGTTGTATTCCTATTGTGTGTCGATTTTTTGACAGGATTACTTCAATTGACTTGGAAGAGCTACTACCTTTAAGGCAAAAATCAGGGAACAGATGTTTTGCACAAAAAGCATTGCACGACTGTAACTTGTTTGCCTGCAAGAAGTGCATTGATACACATGTGTAGATATTTGTATGAAGGTTAATGATAAATCCCCATGCCCTTGAGATGGATTAACATCGCAACGCTTCTTGTTTTAGGCTCACCAAACAAAGATGAATGCCACAAAAAGAATCTGTGACAAGGCACAATGCGCCACAATCAGGCCAGGAAAGTATAATAATAATGACACCAAAATAAAATGATGAATGAGTGTCAGTGGAAGTTTACCTACCTGAATAACTCCTGTGTCACTGCCTCCACGGCGGCTTCAGATGGAGACAGAACAACAAAGATTCATGTTTTAACTTCAACAATCGGCAGCCAACCAATACTTATTAACACATCTACTATATGTGGGCATTACACTAAGATATTATTATGTTTAGGCTCATAGGCTATAGCATACGATTAGGAAGTGGAACTAATACAAAAAACTACTTTTTTACACACATTTCCGATTAAGAGGATCTATCAAAAGTATTTTGTATATCCAATGTTTTCAAGAACAGTTAAGAACGTATCAATATTACTTTTAAAGCTACCAAATGAACAAAGAATAGGTTGTTCTTATCACTCTTAGAAACAACAGGTTAACTATAGGCTGGTGTAAAAGCTAGCTTCATACACTTTTTGCTTGGGTTCACAATATATATTGTACAACTGATATTTCAGCAAAAACAGGCTCATTTGCAGAGAATGGAGCCAACTTTATACACATTTCTTGCAAATTCCCTAATTTAGAACAGCACATTTCAACCATAAACTTAGGTTTACACGTATACTTCTTATTTGTGCAGGATAGTAGCCAAAAAAGCAACACAATCCTTTTGAGAATTTGTGGCTAAGTACTAAATGTTATTTGGAAAGGAAAAAGCATTTAGCCAATATGAGTAAAGTTAACATGAGGAAAATAGCTGGTTGAGTAGCTGCTAACATATTAGCTGCTACTAGCTAGCCAGGCCGCTTTCATCCATGTGCATTGATTAAGAAATGAGAACGAAGCTTTGAAAATAAATCAGACAAACATGGTTATACCTCTGACTCCTTTGGATCGTGTGCGATGGCGTTTTTTAACCGCATTCACCTCCATCTGAAGAGAAAACACAAGTCGATACAAATCAAGTTGGGGTTTTTCTTTGTATCACATAATTGAGTTAAATTACTGCCAAGAAATAGAAGACTCTAGCTCAGCTGGTTGTGAGTGTACTTTACCTGGTCAGAGCTCGGTGTGGCACTGGTTCTTTAGCTAAAGAGTTTTTATAGCAAACTGAATTTCAGAAGCCGTCTTCCAGACTCATGATCTGCAAAATAAAACACAGAAATGTTTTCAGAGTTACGTTGCAAGAACTGTGGGCTGTTTTGAACACTTAAAGGTGGGGTATGTAATTTTGGAGAAACCAGCTCGAGTGCGCTAGAATTTGAAAGTACAAAAATCTGCCCCTTCCTTCAGACTTCCTTACAGAGCCCCTCCTCCAACACACAGGAACGTGCACATGACCAATGAGGGCACGAGATAAGTTTGTGCACAGATGGAAGGCTGACAGGCAGGTAGGCCATCCAGTTATTTTAGCCGGGCCGGCTCAGATGATTGGTCGTGCTTTTTACAGTACTACGGCTTCCACAGATGATATTTTTTGTATGTATTTATTGTCAAAGCATTTAATATATTCATTGCTATCGGGATGTTAAGAGCATTCCATGGAATATAACAAAAAGTGTATCTGAAATAAATTACATACCCCACCTTTAAGTCTCTATGAAATGTAAAATTATGATATCTTTATGACATTTCAACAATTGAAAGACTCAAATATCAAAACACGTTTCCACCGATATTTTAAAAACGTGACATTTTATTCATTCAGGTTTCACAGATTTTAGTAACCTTCAGCATAGCCGTTTATTCACTCAGTCAATTAGGTGTTTCTTTGGAGAGGTTTTATGGACTCGCTGCTACAAAACATTTTGAGTGACCCTGACCAGCATAGAAAGCAAATGACCCTTAACACATCCCAAATAAATTGATAAAATAAGTGTTTTTTACAGAATGTGTCTTAGTGAAAGGATGGGTTGCTTCAAGAGGGCGAAACATCTTACTAATACGATGAGGACGTGAAGATTTGCAACCTATGACGGTAAAACCACATCCAAATTATCAGAAATTAGGTTTTTAGTGACGTTTCTCCAACTGGAAACAAATTACAGTAAGACAAAAGAACAATAACTTATCATAACATCTTATTTTGTTGAATGAATTTCATTTCACTCCAACAAGAAAATACAATCTTCAATATTAACAATAGTATTAAAAGAGTTGCAAAGTGAAAGGATTGACTTTGGACATCAAATAACTTCAAATCCATTTGTCCAATGACTTAAATCCATCAATAATAAGTTCCATTTGAGCGATACTGGCAGACAGGCACCAGGCAATTACACACACAAATCAAACATTTTGATTAAAACTACACATTTACTCTGGGTTTGAAAATGTTGGAAAAGTTTGGGCCAATGTAAGAACACAAATCAACAAAATATATAACATAGGTGTAGTTTAAAGACCTTTTAATGCTCAAATGCTACATAATTAACACTTAAAGGTGGGGTAGGTAAGTTGGAGAAACCGGCTCGAGATCGCTAGAATTTGAAAATACACAACCGGAGAAAATCTGCCACTTCCTTATAGAGCCCCTCCTCCAACGCACACGAACGCGCACATGACCAATGAGGGCACGAGATAAGTTTGTGCACAGATGGAAGGCTGACAGGCAGGTAGGCCATCCAGTTATTTTAGCCGGGCCGGCTCAGATGACTGGTCGTGCTTTTTACAGTACCACAGCTTCCACAGATGAACTATTTTTATGGATTTTTTGTCAAAGCACTTCAGATATTCATTGCTATCGGGATGTTAAGAGCATTCCATGGAATATAACAAAAAGTGTATCTCGAGCTGGTTTCTCAAACTTACCTACCCCACCTTTAAGCATTGTTAGTGTTGTTAAATTATAAAGGCAGACCCCTATATTCGTATGCATTTTCCTTATAGTAAAGAAAATACTCCACTTTACACCTTAACCAGTTTATATGAGATGTAGATGACTCTAAAATGATCCCATTGCCTTCACTCCATCAATAGTTGAGTCTTAATTTAGCAATTAATTGAAATGTTACAAATACAATCCAAATAAAACTGCTGCATATTCTCTTTCTTAAATTCCAAATAGGACCTAAATCTCATGAGATCCTGCTGGGAGCGCAAACAGCAACATGAAAGAGACAACAGAGAAACAACAGGGTGATGATGATGATGATGATGATGATGATGATGATGAAGACGTGAAACACAGCGTCTCCTCGGCTGCAGTAAAGCTCGGGGGGCTTTTTCAGCGTTAATATAAATGTAAATTGTGGACAGCCTCGCCTGAACCCTCTGCCGACACCCATTATGTTGCCACGGCGCAGCGAGGCCGAGTGCATCTGAGGCCACCACTCCAACTCCACCGAGCTCCAACGCAACTTACATCAAACACACACACATACACACACACACACACACACACACACACACACTCCCCTCCCTCACTCACTCGCCGCAAAAAAAACTATACGACTGAGTGGGCTGCACACTTAATGGATGTGTGTGTTCTGCAGTGTGTGCGTGCATGTATGTACGTGTGTGTGTGTGTGTGTGTGTGTGTATGTGTGTGTGTGTGTGTGTGTGTGTGTGTGTGTGTGTGTGTGTGTGTGTGGGTGTGGGTGTGTGTGTGTGTGAAAGACGTACTGACATTCGTGTGCATGTGTGTCCTCACAAGTGTGTGTCTATAGGCTGTGTCCTCGTTTGTTTGTTTGTGTGTGCGTGCATGTATGTATGTACGTGTGTGTGTGTGTGTGTGTGTGTGTGTGTGTGTGTGTGTGTGTGTGTGTGTGTGTGTGTGTGTGTGTGTGTGTGTGTGTGTGTGGATGTGTGGGTGTGTGTGTGTGTGAAGAAGAAGACGTACTTGCATTCGTGTGTATGTGTGTCCTCACAACTGTGTGTCTATAGGCGGTGTCCTTGTTCTGCCTCTGCACATGTGTGTGTGTTCTCTGTTCTCGTACTACTGCCTTTGTGAGGACCGAGTTGAGGACAATTCGGATTATCAGGACATTTGAGCAAAATTAGTGTTTTTTTGTTTTGGTGTCTCATGTAAAAATACATCCACATGTGTGTGGGTGTACACATCTCTGTATCATAATGTACAATATTACTATTCACTACTATCATGCTCCTCCTAAAGAAGTTCTTTAATTTATTGTTGTGTTATGCAAGAAAACGTGAATAATTGAAGCAAAGAAATACACAAGTGTGCGTGTGTGTATGTGTGTGTGTGTGTGTGTGTGTGTGTGTGTGTGTGTGTGTGTGTGTGTGTGTGTGTGTGTGTGTGTGTGTGTGTGTGTGTGTGTGTGTGTGTGTGTGTCTGTGTGTGTGTGTGTGTGTGTTTGTGTGTGTTCAGTTGTGTGTTTGTCTGTCCTATATGGCTGGGTTGGCGCTGTGTGAAGAGGAGCTTTTTGCTGTTTAGTATTCAGTCCAACACTCTGCCTGTCTGGTACAATATGATGCAGAGCTACCCTATACTGACACACACACACACACACACACACACACACACACACACACACACACACACACACACACACACACACACACACACACACACACACACACACACACTTTAGTCAACCACACATAACAGCACAGAGCTTCACTCACTTTGCCATATAGAGAACACTCTGTACCTATGTGACTTTTTTGTGAACACACCCTGGTGGCTGCATCGCCCCCTGTAGGTCAAAGCCAGCACAACACTTCACATATACCATACAATTTAATATATATGTGACTTTAAAGAGGACATATTATGCAAATGTTCATGTTCCTTATTTGTATTTTTGGCTTTTTGATCACCCTCTGTCTGAAACCAGAGCCCAGTCTGCTCTGATTGGTTAGCTGGCCGGCTCTGTTGGTCAACCGCTTAGAGATGTCCCGCCCCTTAGCCTATCACGTACAATGTGTTGGAGCGCTAGCCAATAGGAGCACAAGTATTATATACTACAGGGAAAGGGAAAACCACAAAAAGCATAAAAGCGCCCCTTTAACTCATGAAATAAAATAAAACTTTAAAAAAATTATTTGTTTCTGTTTCCATAAAACACTTGAGCAGCTCAGTGAATTTTGGGATGAGTTCAAAATGAAAATGGATTAATGGTGCAGAGAGTGGAGGATCCTGCTTTTGGAGAAGTTACAACATATATATTTGTCTATAAAAAGTTCCCTTAATTATGTAGAAAGGTTTTATATGACAAAACGTCGATATGTGGGTGGGTCGACGGGATCTATTGGACACGGTCCTTGGCTAAAGCTGTTAAAAGCAGAAACTAAAGTGTTATTGCACAGGTTAACAAGTGAAATGCGGCTTGTTTTATTCCACCCACAACACAGGTTAGTGTGTAAAGCAATTCCCAGCCAAGTATCAGATCAGATAAAAAATAAAATTACCCAAAACCTGAGGACTCAATTGCACACACAAAATATTTGTTAGTCCCAACTCCCTTAAAAATGTTCCAGTTTCAGTCTGCCTCACCTGCAGCCAAACAATCACAGGCAAATGTTTGTGAGCCCAGACAAAGCACACACACACACACACACACACCACACACACACACACACACACACACACACACACACACACACACACACACACACACCCACACACACACACACACACACACACACACACACACACACACACACACACACACACACACACACACACACACACACACAGACACACACACACACACACACACACACACACACACACACACACACACACACACACACACACACACACACACACACACACACACACATACACACACACACACACACACACACACACACACACAGCAGCCAGGTGAAGTGTGTGTTTGCAGCAAAGCCCGACAGCAGCTCTGTGTTTCATTACAGCAGAGCACTTTTATCAAACCCTACAAACAGAAACACCTGGTGTGTGATGTGACGCTGCAGTGCACAAACCAAACAACACAACTGAACAGAGAGAGAGAAGGGGGAGAAAAGGGGGGGAGAAAATGGGGGAGGCAGTGCTTCTGTCTGTCTGCACATCAAGGGAGAGTTTGTGTTATTCTGGTCATAAACTGCGTACACGAGTGACGCATAACATCTCAAATTGTTAGCCACAGTGGTGTCATTTCTCCAGGGAGGCTAATGATTGGGTGGTTGGTTCTGTACTTTGGTCCAAACTTT